TATCAATTGATGATTTTTATGGGAAAGTTTTTATTTGGATGATATTACCATTTATTTCTAGAGAAATAGAATCAACAGGAATAGAATTTTTAATGAATGGATAAACACCTCCAAAAAATAGATATTAAAATTTAACTGATTTAGATATTAGTAATCTTTTAGTTTAAAATAAAGAAACATATTTATTTATTCCAGAAGATATTAATTTATTTGTATAATAATATGAAAAAATACTTTAAAAGATAGTTGATGATGTAAGAGTGTAATCAAATAATTTTTCATCAGGTAGTGCATATAAAGCTTAAAAAAGTGATTATTAAGAGATAGATTAATTCAATACAGTTACTATTTTCAATGAAAAGTTATGTGTATTTTTTTATGATGAACATTTAAAAAGACATTAGACACTAAATTTTGGTTAAACAAGGTAATCTGAAATGGTAAAAGTGTAAGGTAAACCATCATCACGATCATCCATATAAGAAAAATAATCATCAAATAGCGAAAGTCAAGAAGATAGTGAATAACTCAAAACAAGAGCAGAAAGAATATATTAAGATAGATATTCAAGATATATAGAAAAGTTTTCACCTTAAGATTTTCATCCTGTTCCAGTTATGTATTCAGTAAGTTATGAAGAATATAGATATAGAAAAAATGAAATTGATCACAAATAATAAATATTTGTTGTTGAATTAGTTGTTAATGAATAATAATTACTTAATACAGAAAAGGGATATAGAAGATAATTAAGAGATACAATTAAATAAATATATCAAAATTATCAATCTAAAAAATAATTATTAGAATAATAAACTGATGAAGAAGATTCTATTAGTGTTTAAGCTAATTTTAGTGAATAAAAAAGTGTGCATGATAAAGAAATAACAAATTATTAATTTCCTTCTCATCCTTCACATTATTTTGATGAGGCATTTTTATTTGATAATAAAGAAGTTTTGATTACTGATTAAATATTTAGTCCTAAATAAGATGATAAGGGTGACTTTTTTTTATTAAGTAATAGATCAAAATAAAGTAAACCATTATTAGAAGTAACTGAAAGAAATAGTAAAGACAGTAATAAAAAGAATAAAGCATCTATATAATCAGAACATAGTGTAGGTGATGCATAATTTAAAGGATCAAAACTTAATATCACTGAAAAAGAAATAGCATAAAGTGTTTTTATTAAATTTAGTTAGAGAAAGAAACAATAAGAATTTTATAATGAAAATGAATCTAAATTACCTTAAGAAAGTAAAGATTCTTAATAATAAATATTTGAAGAATATTAAGTAAAATATACTGAAAATTTAAAATTATTTGAAACCTAATATAATTTAGTTTAATCCTAATTAAATATTATTAGCAATCCATATTCATATAGAATATAAAAATATTTATTTTCAGCTACTTTTATTTTGATAGTTTGTTTTATTATACTCATTTCAACATCCACTTAAGGATAATATGATTTGACTAATTGCCTTAATTTAATTGAATTAATGATTACAACTTAAACTTCATTTTCATAAATTACACATAGTTTATATCGCAATGAAATTACAAATCAATTATAAATTAAAGATATGGAAATATTGAAATAATTTTATAATAATTAATTCTTTGGTTAACTTTAAGAATTAATTAATATATAAAATGATTATGCAATTAAAATTAATTAAGCTAATTTAAATGTTGAATAATTTTTTGATATCGAAAATAGAATTTTAAAAAATATAACTTTATAAGAAGTTATTTAATTAAGTCTCGGATAATTCTATAAACTTAAATAAACTAATAATAATCATTCATTTATAGTCGATTTTTCTATGACATTTGCATCAGTTGCTAATCTCAAAGAAATTGGAGAACTTCCTTAAAAGGCTCATCAATAATGCTATTAAGATAATCTTAATGATCATTAATACTCTCAAAATATACTTATTGTTTATATGGTAATTACTTTTTTCTTGGTAATGATGTTATAATTTACTTAAATTCCTCTTATTTCAAAATTAAGGAGAAATCACAGAACTCTTTATAAAGAAATCATTAAACTATAACCTTTAGAAGTTAATGAAGAAATTGAAATTTATGATGGTGTAGTCAATATATTCAAAAAATCCATTTATGAGTGGATGCTGATAGATTTTGTATAGGAAACATAAATGTTTGATATTAATAGACAACGAAAATCAATTGCTCATACTCCTGGATTATAAAAAATAAATAATCCTGATCTCGGACAATCTTCTAATTCAAATAAAAAAAATACAAATAAATTAATGGAAAAATTAAAAAAATCTAAAATGAATCAAAATAAATACATATCAATATTAATGGCTGGACTACTTGTAATTTTAGCATATTTCCTGGTTGTCTTTCTTATAATTTTTATGCTATCCAAAGATATTATTTCTAACATTGATGCTATATTCTAATCTAAATTAGCACAATCTTCAATCATTAATTTAATTAATAATGTAGATTTATTAGCTTATTCAACTTTATCAAATAATATTTATGATAACATTATGAATATCAGTTAATTTTAAACTTACTCTGAAGTTCTAAGTGATAATTCAACTGATATGTTTTTTGAAAAATATAAGAATTAATTACTTTCATCTTTTGTGGATGAATCATTATACAATAATTTTAATATTTTAAATGAAAAAAACATTTGCACATAAGAAGTAGGTATTGATTGCTCATTAACTGATGCTATATCTTTAAATCCTGGAATTATTGCTAATTATGAATAAGGAATGAAATCTCTTTTAACTTAAGTAAGTACAATTATAGCCTAATATCCATAATTTTATGAGACTGAAAATATTTAAAATTCTGAATAAATTTTAATTGAGTTTTACAATAATTAATATCATATCCTTTATATTGATTATGGTAGTGAAATATTGATTAAAGCATATAAATAACTCATTAGTATTGAAAAAGATTTATTTAATTAACTATTAGATGTATATAAAAAATTATTGCTCATATTTACATTGAGTGTTGGTCTATTTGGATTGATTATTATTTTATTTTTAGGAAAATATTTACTGAAAATGTAAAAAGATTCAATAGATACATGCCTAACAGCTTTATTACTTGTATCTCCTAAAAGATATCTAAGTAAATAATTAGGCTTGGTCATTTAAAAGAAATTATGATTAATGTTTATTAGATAACAGTTCAATTTAATACTGTTTATATATATTATATATAATTATATTCATTCTAATAAAATTAAAAAAGAAATTAATAAACAAATGAAACGTGCATCCTCTTTAACTAAATAATCTACACACACATCCAAAATTAGTACTCAAACTTCCTTTAAATAAAATTAAAAATATTCAAGTGTTAAATCAAAATATAAAGAACCAAAAAAAATTCCTGGAGCAACACCTTATGATCCAACAAATAGTTCTGGAAAATTATCTGCAATAACATAAAATTTATTCAGAATAGTAATTAAATTTAGCATTTCTAATTTTGCTGATTATATCAATTTAAAACAAGTATGTTCAAGGTTTTATTATGAATTGGAATCTAATATTCATAATTTTTAATACTTAAATCCTTTATAATATTAGAATATTAAACAAATTGTTGAATAGTTAAAAGTCATTTATTTTAACTAATATATCAATCGCTACACAACATTTCATGAAAAAATGAATTCTATGTTTTAATATGGAGCTACTAAATTAAATTTACCTGATAAATTAGTTGAATCTCTATAAATTTAGATTTAAAGTGCTAGAGTAAATAAAAAATAATTCACTCCTTAAATACTATTTAGGAAATTAAATTTTGCATCTCATTTATATTTCAAAATATTATTAGATGGAGTTCCAATAAATATGAAGAGTGATACTTATGATAGTATTTAGGTTTACTTTAAAATAGAATCTAAGTATTTAAATTTATCAAAAGAATTTACTAAAAACTATGAATGTTAAGAGATTCTAAAAAAATCAATAAATTAAAAAGCATTTACTTATATGACTGATGGTCATTATTTATTCACTTATTTTGAGAATGATAAATAAATGTTATATATTTTATGGGAAAATTCAACTGTAGATTTAATGTATTATTTTTGGAAATAATTAAAATAAAAGTATTTTTGGGTAAATAAAGTATAAATATAAAAATAATATAAATCAATAATGGAATCAAGATCTAAATAAAATACTTAAAATTAAAGAGCACTATCAGAATCAAAATAGAAATCATAAGTAGATGAAGATAGTGATGATGAATATATATCATTTTAATTGTAAAAATAAACAACTTTAACATTACCTTAAATAAAATCTCCTTAATAATAATAATAATAATAATAATAATAATAATAATAATAATAATAATAATAATAATAACTTCCTCCTAAACCAAAAAAAAAAGTTTCAACATTTTTAAAAACAAAAGTTATTTAAAATAAAATATAATATGCTTCAATGAAAGATTATATGTATGATTAATAAGATTTTGAATTGATGATCAATATTCATACAGGAATAAAAGGATAAAATTTATTTTATTTTGTTGATACAAAAGCTATGCCAAAATTGGATGAAGATTGTTTATATTTTACATATAAAATGAAAGAACATATAAATCTATCATATAAATTTTATTTAGATAATAAATTAGGAATGAAAGAAGTAGTTGAAAATTTATTTTTATGTGATATAACTTTTAAAGATAGAGATGATTTTAGAATTATATTTAGTGGATTTGTTTAAATGTTTAATGAAGATACTACATCAGTAGCTAAATAATATGATGTTTCTTATATGGATATAAAAGAGTGGAGATCTCTTAAATTGTGGGATGAAAATAGATTTGAACTAGTAATATTATTTGGTACCTAACCTTCAGTTATTAAACTTTTAGAACTAAAACTAATGGATATAAATTGATTAATTTTCTTATTAATATATGATAACTTGGAAAACTATCAATAAAATTATTATATATCATTTTTTCTATAATTTTGGTAGTTTAAAATAGGCTTAATATTGTTAAATTCTACTATCAATTTTAGATTAGATCTAATTTCTTCTATTTGTAATTTCAGTTTTCATTTTAAAACCTGGTAATCTTTTTTCAGTCGATTATGGTCTAGTTTTACATCATGATTTACTTATGGTCACTTTTTTTGTCAGATCTAGATAAATCATAGCTTTTAAGGTAATATTTATCTTCAATATCCTCATCCTCTTAAATTAAATCAGCAGGTTTGAATTCGTTAAGTAAAATTTATTTTGGATCTAATGAATCTAACTTTTCCCAATTCACAATTTAATGAGAGTTAGCATATAATCCATCTTTTTTTTATTTTCTTTCTTTATAGCTGCTTGTTTTGACATACAATGGTTCAAAAATAATTGATTTAGATCTAGATTAATTAGTTTGTATTATTAATTTATCTTTCATTTATTCCTTCTTACTTTTTTTCCACTCGTCAATTAATATTTTTTTTGATTTAAGTTAATCTGTTGAATGGTTTCCATATCTTTAATATGCTAGGCCTTCAGGTTTACGAAAACCAGGTTTATCCTTAGTATTGAAAGGAATATAAAGGGGTTTGAATTATTTTCGAAATTCCTAAGTATCAACTTTTATTAGTTTATAAAGTAAATGTTCAGCTATCTTGAGTTCTTTATTAAACATTTATTTTGAAAGCTCTTATAGTAATTGTATAAAGCTTAGATAAGTAACTTCATTTTAATTTTTGTTAACTCTTTTAAATAAGTTATTCTAATAAATTATTAAAATTAATTACTAATTCTTTAAAAGATAAATATTTAGCCTTGACATTTTCATTATTATCAATTATATTTTTAATTAGAATATTAGAATTTGGAGGCAATATATTATTTGATAATTTATTAGTTTCATCTATTTTAGATTATGTCTTTGTATGGTGAATCTTCGTATCTAATAATCCAAATTGTCGACAAAAAATAATAAATTTGCTCTCTGTCATTGTATTTGATTCATGATTAATTCTATTGAAATCATCAGAAGGACCTCGTACATAAGATATTTTAGAATAAAATTTATATATTTCTTTTAGATGAGCTTGTATTTTAGAATTAGAATAGAAAGACTCATCAGTTTGATTCTATTCCTCAATCAAACTAATTTCTCCAAATTTACTATTATTATCTGTAATTGGATCTAAAGTATGAAATTTGAGTTTATCTAATTATGTTTCAATAGATGACATAATATGTTTGACAACTCCCTTATCTTTTTGATGTGTAATTTAAGTTTCAATTATTTTGTACCTTTCTAATTATTATTCTAAGTATTATGATATGTTAATATATTCTTTATTTTCTTTTTATAATTCTTCTTATTTTAATTCATTTTATGCTTATTTATGTCCTAATCCAAATAATTAAAGTTTTGTCTCTTCCTATTTTTATATATCTGTATTTTATTGATTTCCTTCTTAATTTAATTAAACATCTCTTTATTAAAATGTATTTAATTTAGTTATTTCCAACTGCTTATCACTTAGATTAAAATTTTAGTTTAACATTAATAAATAGAAAGTAAATGAAATTTTATTTATTATTAAATCAATATAAGCTATGTCTAATAATTTTGTTTAATATTTTATTGAAATATGTTTATGTTATTATATATATATATAATTAAACTAATTAGTGTAATAAAATGTATGATAATATTTGAACAAAGTAATAAATAGATTGGAAACAGACATATTAATTGTCTAGAATAATAAGATCTAAATAATTAATAGGCTTTATTATCAATAGAATTGATAAATGAATAAAATATCAAATGAAAGGATTGCTTTCCTTAACTTTGTCAAATAATTCATGATATTTTTCTAATCCTTTCACGTCATCTTTAGTTGGTACTTAGACTAAGACTACACTTGTTGGCTTTTTAGTTTATGCAGCAGCTCCTAAAAATGAATAATTATAATTTATTATTACCTAATTCTAATCTGCTTCTCACATAAATGTAAGGAATTCCTAATTCTTCACATTAAAGTGGTAAATGAGATAATACATCTACGGGACTAATGTCAGCAGCAAAGACTACAATTCCAGGGGTCTTCTTTCTTAATGCTTTTCCAACTTCCTTTACTCCTCTTTTAATATGTTTAATAGTTATTTCTAAATCATCAATGAATCATTACATCTGGCTATAAATCTAAGAAGTCCTTTCTATAATTTGCTATTGGCTATTGGATTGGCAATAGGAGAGACATAAAATGTTTATTCTGCTTCTGTCATAAATTAAAAATATAAATAACCATAAATTAAAATAAAATGAACCTATTCAGACGAGTTTGCATCCCCTTATTAAGATAGGTACCTAAAATTGCTACTCCAAGAGTTGTGGCATTATCATTATTAACTTCTCACTTAATTTTGTTTCCTAAAAAAGTGAATGCAACTAGTATATCAAATCCAGAAGGAACAAACAATGGTTTCAATAAATATGAAAAATTCTCTGATTAAATTTATGAATAAATTCATTAAGTAAACAAATTCATAGTAATAATTAAGACTCATGATATTATAATTGTTGTAGATCCAGATAGATTTGTAGAACATTTTTTGGATGAATTACTTTAAGTTGTTGATTAAGTAGTAAAGGTTTAAAAAGTTAGATCAAAGAGACCTTTAAAAGTTTTGACTTTGAATGAACCTATTACAGAAAAATTGGTAAGGGATTTTGAGTAAAAGTACAAAATTACAATTGAATAGGATACTATTATGCTATTAAAGAATAAATATATTTAAAGGATATATAATTTCAATGCTAATGATTATTTTGAAAATAGAATTCTATTGATCAATTATTTTAAAAAGATTAATAAGTTAACATAAAAAAAGTTAAATGAATTTGAGTAAATATTATCATATCTACCATCTACAGAAACAGCAGTTTTAGTTTATGCTGATAAAACATCACCATAATATAAGAATGTTTAAACAAGATTTTGTATTATGTAATAAAATGATAATTATTAAAAAAATGAAAAATTACATTGGATTCTAATTGATAAAGCTGTTGCAGATAAATTAGGAATCTAAAATATATAAAATGGATAATTATTTTTCTTATAAAAAAGTAGTAAATTAAATAACTTTTAATCTTCTATAATTATTAACAATAAAAAGTTATTAATAACACCAGCTGGTACTTTAGGAGGTAAATCAGTAGATAATGTAATGGAAGATTTAACATAGGCATATAATGATGTAAATGTGTTTTCAAACAGAAGTTTTGGTAAATCTTCTACAAAATATTCTATTGTATTAGAATTAGATTTAAATAAAATACCAAAACATGAAGAAACCAGATTAGTAAAGGCTTTTGGAGAATTGAAAAAATATTTAAAAGAAACAAATCCTGAATTACTAGCTAAGACAGAATTTATATATTTAAATAAGACTCCTAAAGATAATCATTTAGGTTATTAAGTATATATAAGGGATGATTAAAAATATGGAGATCGTTTGAGATAACATTAAGAAACTAATATGGAAATTATGAAAAAATTAAGTGTATTCAATGAATTTGGATAAGCACATAGTTATGTTTATAGATTAGATGAATAAATATAGGTAAGTAAAGATTCTTTGATTTCATTTTTTATGGCTGTAAAGAATGGACATGCAAGTGAATATTTCTAATCTTAAGAATAGCCTAAATACAAAAAGTATTCTGTAAAATTAGTAAGTAAGATATTTGAAAAGGAAGTAATGGAAAGCAAGAAAGATTATGCAATATTTTAATATTCAAAGAATTGTCATGCATGTGGAGAATATGGTTAATATTATGAAAATTTAGCATTGGAATCATATAAATAAGAAAATTCTACTATGATTTATGGTAGAATGAACAATGATCATAATAAACCATCATGTATTCAAGATTTCCCATATACTCCAGTATTTATGGTTTGTAAAAAAGGAATTCAAAAATATCCATATGTTTATAGGTATTATTTAAATTAAAATAAAGAAACCAAAAATTCACTCCAGATTTATTGAAAAGCTTTTTTAGTGTAACAAATGCTATAAATTTAATTCCTGAAGAATAATATTAAAAATTGTAAGAAGAAAGAGCTTTATTCATGTAAAATCAATAATGAGTATTAATAATTTATGATTTATTCTTTATTTATAAGTTCCCAATTAAATATATTATGTTCTTTTTGTATATATTATTAATAAACTCAAATATACTCTCTCATAATTTGAGTACGGAGTCCAAATACAATTTAAGGGCATTTCCTGCAAATTTAGAATCAGGTATTTTTTATGTAGTACCATACAATGCACCCATATCACCTCCACTTTTATATTTGGATGGATTAGTTTTGATCTATTAAATTAATAATTAATTTACTTCTTTAATAGCCTCTTTAATTTCTTAAACAAAAACTTTTAAATTTTGAATATTTTATTGTGTAACACTAATATGTATTCCATTTGGATTTTGAGTTGTATTAAGATTCCATCCTTTTGAAGTAAGGATTTGATGGATTGAATAAACATTAATATTTCCTTTGCTTTTAAAACAAACACAATTTATCTTTGGTTCACCACAAACTTCTAATTCTGGTATTTCATTGATTTATTTAGCCAATTAAATTGTAGCATTTATAATTGATTTGCTTAATTCAATATATCTCTTTCTACCTATTGCTAACATAGTAAACCAAGCTCCTGCTGCTCCAACTCCTGTTTTTGAACCTTAAGTAGTTGGTACTGCATAAGCACCTCCTGACCAAGTGGCTGTAGAAAAGAATGCATATTGTCTCAATTAACGAGTTTTAAATAAAATTGTTGAAACACCTTTAGGGGCTAATCCATGTTTATGTTGATCACAAGATATACTTGTTACACCATCTAAAGTGAAATCATAATTTCCATAATTCATTCCCTTTTCTTTAGCAAATGCCACAATGAATCCACCCAAACAAGCATCAACATGAAAACCTATCTTCTTCTTTTTAGCAATAGCTGCTAATTCTTCAATTGGATCTTATGTTCCATATGGAAAGTTTGGTAATGATCCAACAATACAAATTGTATTTGAATTGATATGACTTTTAAGATCCTTTAGATCAACAGTAAATGTTTTTTAATTAACTTTAGCTGTTCTCACTTAAATCTTAAAGTATTCTCCTGCCTTATAAAATGCTGCATGTGCTGTTTCTGGAATCACACTTAAATAACTATTAAAATTACATATTGGGTTAAGTAATGCCTTTTTCTGCTTCTGCCCAATTTCGATAGGCAAGAATAGCTAACAATATTGATTCAGTGCCACCTGTAGTCAACATTCCAATAGCCTCTTTTTCTTATCCAAATAATTCTCCTGTCATCTTTATGACCTCAGCTTCTAATTATCTTGAAGCTGGCCATAAATCAGCATGCATAGGATTGGAATAAAGGAAATTCTTAGTAAATTCCTAACAATCTTCAATAAATTATTGATCATTATGAACATAAAGTGAGCCAGATACTTTACCACTGTAATAATTCTTACTATCACGGTCAATCCAACTTTTCAATCTTTCATTTATTTTATCATAACCCATACCATTTTCTGGTATTTTAAATGTTTTATTGGTGGTGTATTTATCAAGAGAGTGTGAAAAAGATTTGAGTGCTTCTTCTTTCTTTTTTTCCAAAAATGATTATACTCCAGGACAATAATTTATTAACGCTAGAAATACTTATGATTTAATAAATGTCCAATAGCCTCAATTTAAAATGATAATTTACTTTAATTGTAGTCTCTCCTAGGTATTCTGATGCGATTTAGTATTAAATGCAAAATCAATGTAATCAAGACTCCTAAGAAGATGATATCAAATTCATCTAGCTAGGTTTACCATTTAATAGAGCTTTTCAAAGAAGTATAGGCTTGCTTTAGAAAATCTATTGTTTAATACATATAATTAAAAAATGTCGATTATGAATCATAAGAAGTCTTAAATAGAAAAAGGAACTTCATAAGAAATGGAATACAAGTTCAAAATATCACTATTTAGTGTCATGCATAATATCATACAGAATAATTTATGTAACACTCTCATCTATTGTGTGTTGCTAAGCATTGAAAATCTTTAGCTAATGTACTATCCCATTCATCCAGTTATAGATTTTTTATGGGATAATTAAGGTCTATATTACTTCAGAATCATTCTTCGCTACTTTTAATTTAATTATCTTATAGATTAAGGCATAACCATATTCATAATTTTATTATACATTTCTTTTGGAGTGATGGTCATTATTGGTTTGATATTCTTTATTAGTTAATATTCATTAAGTCAATTAAAATATCAAGAACAATAATCTGGAATGCTTATCTTTAGTTTCAAATTGTTATCTTTATTACTTATTATTTTGAATACTGTATTGGCACTACCATTTTATAACATCTTTTTAGCTACTATATATTGCAGATCAGATTCGGCTGCTGGGGCTGATTTAGGTTGTTATTAAGGCATACATATTTTACATATGATCGTGGCCATAATTGGAATAGTGTTACTAATCTTTTTTCATTTTTCCACGACATTATTGTACTTTGATTTGAAGTATAGATTTTATTGATAAAAGTCCAAAATCAAAATTCCCTTTCAATGGCTATTAATCTGATGCTGAATATGCTAGAATGCTTTTTAAATTTGTTATTCCTTTTCTTATAATTTTTAATGCTCCAGGTACATACAATAGTGAAATGGTTGTTTTATTTGGAGTTGGAGATCTTATTCTCTTATTCTCAAGATATAATTATCCAACAGGATACAATAATTTCATGTATTTATGAATAATTTAATAAATAGACATTTCTACAAAATAACACTAGAAATAATTGTTTTATGGATCAATATCTGTGTTATTATTACTGACTTCTTAGATACTGGTGAACCTGATGATATGGGTTTATTATATTTATTTGTTTCAATACCATGTGTTGTATTTGGAGGATTGTATGCTTTCAAAACAATACTAAAAGAATCAATGACATTTTCAATAAAAAATTTGAAAAATGAAGAAGAGGCATATAACTATTTAAACACTCTTTTATAATTGATTTTGGATAGAAAATCTCCAAATACTAAAATAAAGTTGATGGGAGTATTGAAATTACATTATGTCTCTTGTACAAAAACTGGATGTGCATGCAAATAATTAATATCATAAGATCATAGATAGGAAGAGGGTACACAAGAAAATGAGAATTGGATGAAATTTTTGGGATCCATTTTGGATGACTTAATGGCAGATGAAAAATTCAAAGAGAATGCTCAATTCAAAATATTTTATTCTTATGTATGTAATGATGAATTAAAAAATAAATATAATGCTTTACATTATATGATGAAGGCTGAAGATACAAAAAATCATACTTTAAGAGATGAATTTTGTTTATTTCGTTTCAAATAACATATAGAATGTGAAATGTAAGAAGACTCTGAGAAAGCTTAAGATATTGATGTGAATTCAATAGTTTTCTTTTAAAATCAATTAGTGGTGTTAACTAATATGATATAGAAAAGTGCAGAATCACATTTAGAATTTTGGAGAGAATTATAAGAGGATTATCCAAATATATTAAAATTATAAAATATAGGAATGAAAGTATTATAATAGATTGATCTTTGTGAAGAAGGATATCAAGAACTAATAGAGATTAACAATAACAATTTAAATTTATTAGAATTTTATAATGCTTATTTATAATTGGTAGTGCATGATAATGAATAACATGAATAGTTATCTTAGTAGATAAGTTAAATTAAGAAAACAATATATTAAAGAAGATAAGGAGGAGGATAAGAGTCTAAGATAACTGAATCATAAGAGACTATAATAATAACAATGAGTGGAAATGTAGGTAGTATAGGAATAGTGGCCAGTTGTAATAATGAAATATAAAAGTCTTTGGGTTATCCTGCATCTGATTTATTTGAGTAGAATGTAAGTAAGATCATGCCAAAAATTATAGGAGATTAACATAATTAATTAGTTGAAAATTATTTGAGAACAAATAATTCAAATATTATAGGATTAGAACGTTTTGTACTTGCTTAAAATAGTCAATAGTTTTTGGTACCTTGTAAATTGATGGTTAAAGTATTACCAAATTTAGATAAAGGTATTCTTTTAGTTGGATTTTTAAAACCATTAGAGAAATTACCAGGCACTCATTATATGATATATGATGCAATTTCATAATAAATTTTAAATTTTAGTGAATCAATTAAAGATTTAGGAATAAAAATATAAAATATTATAATAACAAGTGCATAAGAATAATCTAAATTTTCATTTGGAAGAGTATTTAAAGAATTAGGTGATATTTTAAATAATCCTGTAAATTAAAATGATTAATCTTTAAAAAGTTTGTTGTATAAATTAGATGGTGATGTATATTCTGTTGAAACAACAATGAATGTTAAACAAATTAATGATACTTTAGTATAAATTAATCATGATTCAGACAATAAGAAAATGGGAAACTCTGCTTTAGATTCAGAACATTTGTATTTGAATAGTGATTACAAAAAGGTTAAATTAGAATTGATTGAAGAGAGATTTCCTTTAACAGATGATGGTTAACCAGCAGGTGGGTGTATTTATCATACAATAGTTATTAGAGAGGATATTGATTAGGAGAAAGTAAATTATGGAAAATCATCAATAAAACAGAAATTGGATGAGAGTAAACATCAGATTGTTTAATAATAATCAATTGATGAAGAAGATGATTAATAAAAGAATCCTTAATCTTCAGTTGATGATCAAGAAGAAAATAAATAGACTAAAGATATTAGAAGTGCTTTAGAATAATCAAAAACTCCACGATAGATTATTTATTTAAGATATTTATCTTTAATCTTATTTTTATCAACTTTGACATTATCTATAACCAAATTAGTTTTATCATTGTAATAATCAATATTAGTTGATGAGGGTGTAAGTGCAGTTCGTTAAGCTCATCGAAGACATTCATTAATGGCAGATATAAATTTATATTGTCGTTATTTACATTTAACATCTTTTGGATATTATGATTAATCTTTAGAAGGAGCATTTAAAGCAAATATAAGTGTTTTAGTTGATAAATTATAAGTGATATAATTTGATATGATTGAATTTAGAATAAAAGTAGAAGGAAGAAGTGGTTAATAAATAGATGATGATTAATATGATGTATTGTTTTTACTTTCAAACAATGAAACAAAAACATATGGCAACATTTTTAATGATGCTGTATTTGCTTATATTACTTCAGCATCTTCATTTAAAAAAGCAACACTTTCTTAATTTAATGATTCATCTAATTCTAATAGTGTTTCTAAGAATCTTTTTTATGTAGTTGAAAATGGTTTAGGTGTTCTTAGAAATGGATCTGAAAGAATAGCTGATAAATTTTATAATTTTTATTATGATTAAGTAGATGCTTAAACTATAAATGCTGTTATTATTTTAATTACAGCTTTAGTTATTATAGTAATTTGTGAAATCATTTATGTACCAATTTTTATGAGTATCTTTAATGAAAGAAAACTATTAATCAGTTATTTTGGTATGATTACAAATGATGATATCAAATATTTAATTGATCAAGGAGATACATTTATTTTAGATCACATAACAAAATTTAAAAGTTCTGATGATATTTATTAAGTTGATTAACCTCAATAATAAAATTAAGTAGAAAGTTCTTTGAATTAAGATTAAAGTCAAGATGTAATTGAAAGTCCAAAATAAAAAATAGAAATGGACTAAAGAAAATCACTTTTTGATTAAACTAAATAAAAACATCAAAGAATTTATGAAAGTTAAGGTGGTACTCATTATCTTTTAATATTTTCATTTATTTTTATTGGTTCACTATTAATGATTGAATATATTGTTATGTATGTTTTAGAAGATTAATCAATAAGTGATGCAAAATTAATAATGGATCATTACTTATATATATCTCGACGAGCAAGCATTATAAAATTTAATATACTTTTTACATTAGAATCATTAGTTAATAATGGTTAACCTAGAATATATTTGGATAATGACCTTAATAAATATTATAATGAGAAGGTGTATTCAAATGAATAAGATCTATTCAAAACTTTAACATATACATATCCCTCTTCATTTGATGATTACTTTACTTTCTTTAACAATGTCAATTTCTTAAATGTATGTTAACATATATCATGGATCTAAAAACTGTAATTAATTACATAATCCTTTGTCTTTGTTGATACAATTGATAATTTTACTAATTATACATTTTCCACATCAGAATTAGAATAAGAATGTAATACAGTAAAAGAAGGTATCCTTACTAAAGGTTTAAGAGATGGGATATTCTTAGTTTCTTTAAGAAATAATGAACTTTTAGCAAGATTTTCAAATTTTTCAGATAGTTTAGATGAATTTTAAATTTAAGAACTGTTACGTAAATACATTTTACCTACTTTTTGGGAAAATAATAATATTTTTTAAACTTGTTTTTATAAGTAAATATATTTAATATATATATTTAATTAGTTTCTTAGATATTCGTGATTAAATATAGATCTATAATTTCGTTGGGTTTGTAGGATTTTTACTTTTAATATTTTTATTTTTGTGGATATCTTATATTGCTAAAGTTTAAGCTAATATTTAATAATCAATGAGAATGCTCACTTTAATACCTGATGATCTTATAGATAAATACACAAAACTTAAAGAGGCTATCGAATTTCATGTCTTAGGTATTAAGTTATAATAATAATGAAATAATCAATCATTTAATAATTATATAATTATGTACAATCCAGTTGAGTATTATTATTCAAACGATTACTATGTATCTCAAATAACTAAACCAGAAATTCCTAGAGTTAATACTTCTTATTCACCTAGGAAACTCATAATGGGATATTGGAAGAAGGATTATAAATAATTTATTAAATAAAGAACAGTAAATTTGGAATCAAAGGAAATACAACCTCATTCAGCAAAGTAAAAAGGTATGAAATAGTCATTCACTCGATTGGCAGAATCTATATTAAATGCTAGTAATTGTTTTGAAAATATCCCAAATAGATAGACAAAGACAGATAGATTTGTTAAAAAAGTGAAAAATAATATTACCACTCCATCACCATAGCATTCTAAAGGACATAATCATGAGGTTCATAAAATTCCAGGAAGACTTTATAAGGGAACACTTCTTAAAAATTTAGAAAACACTACAAATTCATTTGAAAAGTCTTATATTTTGGATTCAAAAAAGGAATTTGGATATTCTTCAATAAGTCCAAAAAGTACAAAGAAAGATCACAGTTCAGAATAATTTAGATAAAAGCATAAATAAATTTCTAATACTGATTAAGTAGTAACACCTTATAAAGAACTTAAATAATAATTGATGATAAGAAGATCTACATTAAATAATATAAACTCTACAATTACTTTAAAAAAAACAACTTAAAATGTTGTAGATGAAAAATTAGAAGGTATGAAACTTGAATGTTTATTAATTAAACCTTGTCCAAATAATATAAATAATTTGGTGATGATTCAATTTGAAAATGTGTTAGGCTATGATGAATCTAGTTTTTTTGGATTATAACCTGATTTTATTGGTAGTAAATAACATGAAGAATATTTAGTATTAAGAGATCATTATTTTTAAAGAGCTTCATCAACTTCATCCTTTTATATTCATAAAAACATCAAAGAGCTTTTTAATTCTATATCTAGAGTATATCAAATAGGAATTTATACACTTAATTATTAATAACTTCTTAAAGATCTTATTAATGAAAAAAAATTAAAAATAAATGGTGCTTTTTAAATCACTGATTATAAAATAGATACATTTGTAATTGATATTACTAATGTATTAACTAATTTAAAGATTAAGAATCCTCAATTATTAATTTTTATATAACCCTTTAAATTACTAAACTAATAAGAATTCTTTACTCCAAATCATACAAAAATACCTTATTATGATTATTATGGATAAAGATTTTTCATACCATTCACAAAATCCATTCATCCAAATTAATATAGACTGTTAGCATTATCAAGTTTATAAATGTAAAGTTTATTTAAAAATGGTGAATAAAATAATGGATTTTAATAAATTAATTATTTTATTGAATAATTTACTCTTGCTTTATAAAGTGAAAGCAATTTTACTTAATTTCTTAGCAAGAGTCAAAATAAAATTAGGAGTATTAATCAATCTTCATACTTTAGATAAATAAAATAAAGATTATTATAATAAGTTTATTTTATTGATACTTTAAAACTTAATCAAGATAAATATGATGACATCAAATTAAAATAAAAAGAAATAAATGATAAATTATCTTTTAAGATTGAGAATACAAAACAAATGGAAATTTTATACAATGATATACTTTATAGAAACAAAGATATAATTGAAAAACTTAAGAATTTTAAATTTAATCCAACAAACAATCTATCATAATTACATTCAGAACTATAATAACAGTTGATTAGATTAAATTATTGTGAAATGTTTGTCGATTCTTGCTACTACTTGCCATTTTGATGTTTATATATTTATTTATCTTATATATTCTATATACTTTTAAATCATTTTCTAAATAAACCATTTCTAATATCTGGCAAGAACTCCTACAATGAAAGTTCCAATCTATCATCAAGTGTATTTGAGCATACTATTCTACTATTTGCACAACTAAGTACAACTCCTCCCAATCTAATATTAATTTAATTTATACATTGGTTTCCCCATTTTCTCTGTTAAATATTAGCTTTGATTGATGCTTAGAGTTGTTTTGAAGTCTTTAATAGTCTCTTTTTTGATGATTTATTGAAATTCTTCTTGGCATTCTCCCAAAATTGATCTTACTAATGATACATCTTATTCCAAACATGTCAATTCAATACGAGGTTCCAATAATTTTATCATTCCTTAAACAATCAAATTTTTCAATAATTCTCTATATACACTTTAATCTTATATTAATTTGGCCATTTTCTAACGAACTTCTTCTTTAAGTCTTTAAATTAATTCAAAACGAGCTTGCATCTTTGACAATCTTGATTAATTAATTCTAGAAGATCGTTGACTAAATATAATTATTAAAATAGTATTACATTCTTTTCTCGATTGTATAAGATTCTATTTTCTTTTTATACTCTTCTATAATTCTTTCTTTCTATTAATTAAGAAGCTTATTTTTTTCAATTCTGAATTATTGAGCAGCCATATCTTTAATTTATTCAGCCTTTTCTGTAGCCTAAATTCATTATTTATATATTCACCTCTGCCTTGATAGCATTAACCATTTTTTTGACTCTTTCTTGAGGATTAAAATCTGCCATATTAATTAATTTATTGTAATATAAATCTATTCATTTATATAATACATATAATAAATATCTTTAAAATATATTATCTATATAATTTGTTCAAGTTAAGTAAATAAAAGAAATAATTATAACTCTTTTCCAAATTGATATTTATATATTTTAATTTTCTCTTTGTTTCTTATTAAGAAATTATAAAATTATTGTTAATTAACAATTTTTCAGATTTATATCTAAAAGTAGTTTTAGAAAATTATTATAGAATAGTATTAAGAACATAATTTATTTAGATAATTAATCATTAATGTTATTTATTCACAATTATTTATCTTCAGTAGTTTATTTAATGATTCTTGTACTTGTGAAGACTTATCATAATTTGAGTAATTATTATATATTTTCATTGATGAATATGTATCTCTTCATATATAGTCTATTATCTTAATGTGAGATTATCATTTAAAAAACGGATTAGGTAATTTAATGAATATTTTAGATTTCTTTTATATGTTAAAGTAAAAATCCATGTTCTAATTATCTTTAATTTTTAGACTAGTATATTATTTAGAGAAAACAATCAATGCAAATGAAATTTAAGAGATAAATGTTTGCAATTGTAAAAGTAGGGTTATATGTTTATTTTGGAAAAAAACAAATAAATATTTCATTATTTTGTTATTGTAATGATTTCAGTGTGAATAGTTTTCTAGAGGAAAATCATCAATAGGTTATTGGAAATAATATTCACTATCTTCAAAAGTTTCGGATTCACTTTTGATTAGATTTACAAAAATTGCTGAATGAGATTCAGAAATATTTTCTTTCCATTAAATGATTTATTTATTTTTTGAATAGACTATGAATAATACTGCTAAATATTACATTCCCCACGTTTTTAGATTAAAGAAAGGATTTACTATTCTTAATCAGTTGCCTTGGTCTGCATCAAATTTAAGGATTCATAATGTTTTTAAATCCTTAAAGGTATTCTTCTATGCTTCTTTATCTTTTTCTATAACTTGAATTAAAAGAAGCCCTCAGATTCATCATCTTCAATCATTTTATTATTAATTTAATGTCTAATATCTATAAGGATATCTTAGAGAATTTAAGCTTATATAATTTTAAAGATATTAGTAAATAATCCATATTAATGACTTATTGTTAAAAGACAATTATTAATCAATTATATTTAGATTGAAATGGAAACATTAAAAAAAAGTATAGTATTTGTATATAAAATAATAATAATAGGTAGAATATATATATATATTAGATTTATTATGTGAATACTAACATATTTCATTGGGATTGCTATCATTTAAAGAAATATAATTTATCCTAAATATAGAAATGAAAGATTACAAATTTAGCAAATAATTCTTTAGTTTAACTGGAATGTGTTGTAGAATTATAAATAAGATGCAAATAATATCCAATCTCTTCCTTAACTCTTTCTTACCATAAAGGATAATCCTTTAATTAATTTAAGAGGTCAATATATTTATTTATAGCCTCTTCTAAATGATACTCATATGTAAATGTTGTGTATTCACTTCTAAACCAAGTATTGTGTGTTGCAATTTCTTTAGTCAATTCCAAATATAGTGATCTATATTCCCAAGTCAATCTATGTAAATCTAAGATGAATGAGTATAAATTTTCAAATTATACAAATTTCTATTTTGCTAGTTCATACTAATTCACTTCACTAAGATTTAGATATTATAAATTACAAAGATTCCAGTTTAGGATTCCAATTTCTAGCAATGTGAGAATAAAATCTGCATTCATAATATGTCATAGGATCTCTTTCTAAGAATCCTTCTTCTGGGTCTTGAAATCCAGCCTTACACATTTCAGTCATAATCCTATCAACTTATACTATTAATGGATTGATCATAATCAATATATACATGAGTAATTAATCACTCTACTTTTGATGAAATAAGAAGCAAATCTGGTTACAATAGACATCCTTCTAATTTTAATAAATTAATATAAATATCAAAACAATATTCATATTTATCAACCTAAAACTTTTTGTATGCTACTAAAATAAATTTCCACTTTAATATATAATTATTAATTTTTAGTACATAAACAATTAAAATGGGCCCAGTCTGCTCTGCCCAAAAGCGTAAAACAAAAGCTCATGAATAAAAAGAGGAATTTCGAGTCTCTAATTAACCCTGTCTCGATGCTACATCCTTAGCTGGATAATCTCTACCTTTAGAATTAAAGAATTAATCTGGCTTAGAGGAGTCAGTGTAAAACCTTATGAAGCTCTTTAAAAGATTCACAATGTTTCTAGATCTTGTTGGTAATCTAGCTTAATTACCTTAACATACTAGAGATAAATTAAATAATTGTATAGTGATCAAATAAAATATTTCTATTATTATTCAAAATAATGTGAAGAGAGTTATGAGAGAATAGTAAATAATTAAACGAATAGATGAATCAGATTATTATCTTATTTTTAATGACCGAAAATTTGCAAGTACATTAAACTAAATGATGTCAAAATTAGCAAATGTAGTATTAACTGAACTAAAACCTGATGAAGATTTTTAATCTGCCTTTCCTATATTGGCAGTGTCATTTGAAGAAGAAGCTGAAAAAATTAATAATATAGTTGAAAAGCTTAAAAACAATATAAATATTTCTATTAGAAAAGGAAGTTCTTAGCATTCAATCTCAATTAATTAATAATAATCAAATAGAAAAGCTTCACAATAATGAAATTATTCAATTATTCATCTTTCCATTCACTTTATTTCCTTTCATATTATCTATATTTTTCTTTATAATTATTGCAAAAATCCTTAAATTTTTTTACAAATATTATTCTTATTATACTAAAGGTTAAATTTTAAAACAAATACAATTTATAGCAACCATTCACATTTTTATATTTAAAATAATTGATAAAATGATACTATTCCTTACTTATTAATAAGATTTCTAATTTTTATTTTAACATATCGAAAATTTATTTATTAAATGATTTATTATCAATAAACCTATAATTTCAATTGAAATGTAACTCATTGTAAGTAAATTTAAATATTTTATGAATAATAATATTTTTATTTAATTTACAGTTATGAATTAAGACTATAACTAGAATTTTGAAGTCATTAACGAAATAAAATTAGAAAATAATCTTAAAGACCTTCTAGAGAGAGTTTTACTTAATGCTGAAAAATTCATTGATTCTAAAGAAGAACTTAATTAGATTGAAAGAGAGCTGAAAGATTATGAAAATTTATATCATTTGACAGATATTATTAAGGTAGTTTTTACTAATATGATGATGAAAGTAGAACAAAAATTAATGTAAATATTAAATTAAGTCTAATTAAGGAAATTAGAAAAAATGATAGATCCTTAGTAGACATTCAGTATGAGAACTGATTAAGAATATGAAAAATTAGAATAAAATATGATAAAGTATGAAGTAGAAATACGTAATCATATCAGGGTAATAATATAATAATTTTAATCTTAGATTGAATAATAACTGAAATTATATGCTGAATCAATTTAATCTAAATTAGATGAGAGTGAAATTAATAGAAATGAATTATTAAATACAACTAAATAATTAATTAGTGTAACTTATTCAAAATAAATTAGAATTTAAAAAGAGAAAATTAAACATATTATGAAGTCTAAAAGAAGTTAAAAAATGAAATTACCTCTTTAAATTAAATAATTAATGGTTTAGAGAAAGAAAATAGAAGATAATCTTAAGATCTAAGTCAAAGAGATTAAATAAAAACATAAAATAAAACAAATTAATAAACAACCAATTTATCAATTCCACTTTAATCTAGATCATAATAATATAAAATAGATTTAAAAAACGAAAAATCTTTTATAGAATAAAAAGGAAATGATATACCAATTAAATCTTAGTAATCCTTAAAATAAAACTATTATAATTTCATTAATCATGGCAATATAGCTAATAAGGTAGAAGTTTAAAAATTAATTTAATCAAAAGAAGTTTATAGAGGTAATGGATAAAGATTTAAAAGCAAAAATAATTCTCTCTCTAATATTCAAGATATAATATAGAGTGGATCTGTACAAGATAGAAAAAAAGGTTTGGTAAGTTAAACTATTTCAAAAAATAGTTCTTAAGAAAATAGTTAAATAATCAAATATAAAGGTATTTTATTTATTGAAATTTCTATAGAATCTGGAGATATAAATAGAAGTAAGAGTTCTAAAAGAGCTAATATAAGTCAAAAATTAATTCTAATGGAATCTTAAATAAAATTATTATATTGAATACATTCATATTGATATTTATAAGTAAAAGTTAATTATAATAAGTTTACTTTATTTATTGATTGAAAAATAAAATTGAACATTTTTTTTAGATTTCAGTATTTCCATCTAGTAAGTCTAATTCAAATAGAGTTAATTATGAATGTTCTTATGTTATCAAGTCCTAAAACTATAGAATTTAAATGAATTTTTTTAATCTTTCTTTCAAAACTGCATCTTATTATAAATTTAAGTAAAAGGCTATATGAATAAATGATTTTTCTGGCTATTTATATTATTAAAGCATTCTTTTTTGTTTATATCTTGGAAGGTCTAGGCATTTTTAATTCCTTAAACTGAATAACATAATTGATAATATATAATATAAAATTATGATTTAATAATTGTAGCAAGTATTATAAGAATCAAATATAGAACTAACATTGTATAATAATATAAAAAGTTGTATATTTTGTTACAAATCATTTTCAAAAGTAAGTTACTGTATTTTAATATTATTTGCTCGTTTTTTATTCATTTATCTTCTTTCCAGATGTAGGTATCAGATTTTGATGATGACTTAGAACACTCTTGGGTATCTTATTTTTAAGTTATCCATTTGTGAGAATATCATGAGAAGGGGGCGATTAGGGTCCTTTCATTTAAAATCCATTTTATGACATTTCATGCATAAATAAATTAGCATCTGTTAATTTTGGAGACTTTGGTGAGGTTGGTTCATTATTTATTTAATATTTATTGAGTTCCTGAATAAATACAACATTCATTTTATCTTCTTACATAGTTACTTTTGGAGATATTTATTTGTATAAATAACCTGATCTAATTACATTTAATCCATCTCCTTCTTTTGATGAAAATCGCTTTTATTTTTATTATGATTAATCATCTATCAAATAACATAATATGCTAACTTTTTGGTATAAGTAATTTTCCAGTACTAGAAACCTTCTTTAGTTGAAAGTTATTTATCTCTGTTTATTTTTAAATACTTTATAGATTTCCCTTTAAATTATTGCCATCTTTAGTTATAATCGAGGGTTTTCTACTTCCTGAATTTATACATGTTGCTTATACATGTTCACTCAAACCTCTTTTCTCTATTATTATTAAATTTTTTGGTGACGAACTTTTCATATATTTAATTTATTCTTATTATTCTTAAGGTAATTAATATAACTTGATGAGAAAATAAATATAAAAATTTCAATATATCTGAAAATTTGATTTCTGTTGATTTAAGATCTAATCTCCTAACCCTTTTTTATTCTATCTTACCTAATAAATACTCTTAAACTAATATATACATTTTTTTCATTTTCACTTTATTAAAAAACCTTATTATATGGTTTTAAGACTTATTGTTCTACTATTTTAGTTGATTCATAAATTAATCGACTTTAAGGATATTTTTTTTTGCCTTCATTTTTATTTTAATTAGCTTTTTAATAACTTGTTAATAAATGACGAAAACTATCTTCATATTGAGTTGCTTTTGCTCTTTCAGTATAAATTTAAAAGCCTATTTTAATTTATATACTTTTTACATTCATTTTAAATAGGAGAAGTCTATAAATTAACAAAAGTCTTTATAGATTATGATTTTTTATGTGTTTTAGAATTTCCTTATTCTTCATTTCCATCATTAACTTACATCTCAAATAAAAAAATACTTTTACTTAGCTAATTGGTAAATTTATTCTATGATTGAAATCCTATGATTTTTGTGTACATGCTCTAATTATAATTAATATTAATTACTTTACTTATCGTTTTGGTTCTTTGTAGGTACTCTCCTAATTTACATTGTAACGAGTACTTGATTATATTCTTGATTGTTTTGGTGAATTACATTTTTCAATACTTGGATTAATAGTTCTTTAAGAATTTGCTTCTATCTATCTTTTCCTTTCACTTGCTTCATACTTATTTTTTTAATTTTAAGTTATTTCATGAGTATCAGAATAATCAAATATTTTGGAAGGTGAACACAATGTTTTATAGGATTAAGTATTTTTATTCCTCAATCCATTAAGAACAGTTGGATGATATTGAGGTTTTTACTTTAGATATATCTTGGATTTTATACTTATAATAGATTTCCTATTGGTGTTGAATTCTCTGACATTCTATTTGTTAGTTTGAAAAATGAATCATAATTATCGAATTTCTTCATAACAGATAAATTTAATTTTATCAATAATTCTTAGGTCAAGTATATTTATTGTTTCTAATTTAAAATAAACAAACCTTTTGGTTGAATGTTTTCTTTTATTTAACAAAAAAACTATATTTATTTAGGTTGATTTTATTACTTCCAGTGCAAATTTATGAAATTAATTTTATTTTAGAATACTTATAGACAAAATAAATATAAATGAGTAAAATGAAGATGAAGCTCACTTAATCCACAAAAGATTTATAATCGAATCAAGATAAAAAGAATTTACGGAATTAATCATCTGAAATAGAATAGATGATGTCATCACCAGAGGTTAAAAAGTTTGAAGCTTTCTTGTTTGAATCAATTACTACTAAATAAAGACTCTCTATGAGATTTTCTTAATTCACTCCTGTTCCCTCAAAAGTAAGTCATATTTTTGAGGATGAATTCAGTTGGAATCATAAAATTGATCATCGAAACATTGATTTTTGATTAAACCTCTATATTTTCCAATAAGTTTATAATCATTTTCATCTTATATATTAATAATACTACAACCATTCATATTAATAAGAACAATATTTGTTTAAACTTATTTATCTAATATTTAAAAGCTAATTCTTAAAAAATCATTATTTTTCAATTATTATTCATTTATATTGTAAAAGAAGGTTTATAAAAGAAAGAAGAATAACTAAACATTGTATTCTTATGATAAAATTAACATAATCATTGAAATATTAATGTTATTCGTTTTGTGAAATTGATATTTATTATAATTAAATTAAATTAAGTTTTATAAATATAATAATCATTTACTTAAAGAAGAAGAAAATAATAAGAAATATATGAGAATTTATTAAATATATTAAAATTCATTTTATTTGTTTTATACTTTTTAAGTACACAATACCAAATTTAATGATTAAAAAAAAAACAATCTTGTAATTTTTAGATTTTAATGAAATTAAATATAATCAACTTCAAAATTTATTAAATTATAATTAATTCTTTTGCTAAATCTATAATTTATATAAGCTAACTAATGGGAAAGTCTAAGTAAAATTTTAGAATGAGATATTATTTAATAAATAAAAAAAGATTAATAATATAAAAATTTAAATAATAAAAAGGACATAAATATTTGGAATATATGTTTTTTTAGATTGATAGAAAAATTGATTTTTATATTTCACAAAGTGATGATTTAGTAAGCAGAAGTAGAAAATTAATTAGAATTAAGGAAATTAAAAAGTGAAATTGATACTCAAATTCCTTTATACATTAAAATTTGTATAATGGAATTAGGCTTAGATGAAATTGAAGAAGGTGAATAAGCTGATATATTAAGATTATTAAATGCACCTAAGTTTGAAAGTAGATAATAATTCTTAATTGTTATACCAGAATACCTAATTAAGCATTTACTAAAAATTAGATAAATAGCATTACTCAATTGTCCAGAAATCAATTATTCAAATCCTACAAATTTAAAAAGTTTAATATATGGTTCTCTTCTACCTTATGAAGATCCTATATTTTAGAAGCATTTAATATTACAAAACATAGTAAAAAATACAAATCTTAAAATTATGGAATTGCTTGAAACTAAAAAGAAAGCAATAAATGTTATAAAGAAAAGAGAGATTCAATTATTGAATCATTAAATAGAAGTTTCTATAAAAAAATAAACATCTAAATTTACATAGAAATAGAATTGTCCATAATGCTTATGTAAATTTAGAGGTTTCAAAGCAAATGAAGAATTAATTAAAACTACACAAATCCTCAGATGTAAAGAATGTAAGGAGTATTATCATTCTTGTTGTATACAAAAATAAAAATAAGATAAATAAACAAATCTTATGTGTCCAGTATGTCAATTATAATTTGTCAGCCCATTGGAGAAAGTAGTATCTATATTATATGAACCAGAAATTATTAATTTGGTTGATGAAAACAAAGAAAAGACTTTATTATTTGAATGTCCATATTCTGAATCAGAATATTAAATTTAAATGAGATGTTTATAAATTGGAAATATTGATACATTAGCTTGGCCTGAATCTGGAGAAATCTATTTAAATAATTAAAAAATCATATAATTTGATTAAAAGATTTGTTAGAAGAGTGGTGAATCTTATATTGTTACTTAATCAGTCAAATTTGGAGCAACTAATAAAATCACAATTCTATATTAATAGTCAATATTTAAATAGCTTATGTAATTGAACATTAATTAAAAGTAACAAACTGAAAATCAAAAATTTTATATATTTGCAGTTTATAGTGTTAAAGTCTTTAGTCCTAAAGATTTATTATTTGATTTATAAAAAGATGAATCAATATCTATTCATGAATCAAAAAATCAAATTGCAGCATTCATTAATTAAATAGGTTAAAATACCTTAAAGGTTTCCTTATTAGATATATAGACTTTAAATTTAATGAAATAGCCTGGAAAAGGAGTTAGATGTAATCATATCTAATGTTTTGATTTAGAAAAATTTATTAAATTAAATTATATAGAGAACAAATGGATTTGTCCAATTTGTTAATAAAAGTGCCATAAATTAGTTATAGATCAATTTTAAAAGAAAATTATTGAAAATGTAGTAAATTAATAATTGAAAAGGACAGAAATAGAATTTGATAGAGAAGGTAAAGTAACAGAAGAAATAATTGATTATCTAAATTATAAGAGTTCAAATTTGGATGATGAAATGTAAATTGAACTATGAAAACATATATCTATATTTTCAGATGAAAAATTGTTATTATATATGATACAGATCAATCCTCATCTAAGTTCTTTTAATTATAGTAAGATTATCCTAATAAGGTTATAATAATAATTTTTATTTATTTCATCTCATATAAAAGATGAGAAATTTCAGACCTTATGATAGAGTCATTACCTTCTAAATACATATTGTGTTTTTCATCCTATTCTCTCTTTAACTTTGCTTTCATTTTTCTTCTTAAATATCTTCTAATAAATCTTTTAATTGCTCTCATACCTCTTAAACCTTCAAATAAAACTCTTTATTATTATGGTAATAGTTCTTTTGTAGTATCAAGATATCGTTATTTTTATGCAAAAAATGATTTCTCATCTTTCTAATGTTTAGGAGTTTATGTCTTAGGTTAATTATTCGAATTTTTCATATGAGGAGAGGAAGAGGAAGCCTAAAGATTATTAATTTCATAAAAAGCTCTTTGTTATTTTGCAAAATTAACTTCAACTGTTAATCGAGTGACAATTTGTTCCTCTTGTTGATTTTCAAGATTCTCAAGAAAATATATAAATTCTTCTTCTTCAGATCTTATCAAACAAGCAATAGCAGCTAATCCTTCTCTATTAATTTAGATTACATTTTTTTTTGTTTTTTTCTTCTTATCACCTACTATCATATCTTTAACTTTTTGTATTGTTTTTTCATATAAAATATCTTCAGTATTCTCCAAATCTTTATATCCTGAATCAAGATTATATCTATGAATGATTAACAATAATTATTTATAAGCTTTACAATTTTATAAATTAGTTTTAACTTATGTAAGCATTAATTTCCATTATTTAATTGGAAATGCCAATTTTAATTATTTAAGTAAACCAATAACTTGAGTTGCTTATTTTGATAAATCTTCATATTATTCTAATAAATATTATCTTTCTGATAATAGATATAATGTTTCAACAAAATGAGTATGATAGTCACCTATTGCTTCTTAATAAATAATTAAGGCATCAATTAAAAAATTAAATATTTAACTTTAAAATTCATCAATTTATTATCCTCTAACATTCTTCACTTTAGATTTCTAACTTTAAAATTTAGATTGACTTCCATAATATTTTGAAATGATTGAAGTGTAATTAACAAAGAAATATGCTTCAAATCGTTATCTTTCCCAAAAATTTAATATTTATCCCAATAATCTATAAATATCTGCAATAAATAATAAATTAATATGTCTTTTAGATTTCAGCATTTCAAAAATTTCAGTTCTTCTAATCTCAAAAACTGTTAAATTACCTTTTTTTGTATCAATTCTATTAAAACAAGAAATAATTTTTAAAATTCCTTCTGAACTATTATGTATGTCTTCATCTTTATCATGTCCTAATACAGCAATTTTACCTAATTCTGGTGGATCATAATCAATACCTTAACTTAAATCTAATAATTTAATTAATAAATCATAAGCATTTTCATATTATAAATTATCTACATATAATTGACAAATTATTAAGGCTATATCAAGTGAAGCTCTATCACTTGATTTAATTTATAATAAATTTTTAACATTCTTTTCTCCTGAAGATAATTAATTAAGTAAAAGCATTCCTTATTCATTATCATCAAGTAATTTGATAAATGCTGTCAAATATAAATTTAAAGCTTCTGAATAATTACCATATTTATGATGATAACTTGCTATCATTCTATCAATTTATCCATCTAATTTAGTAGAATAATGAGTTTCACAAACAATTTTAAATGTTTCAATTAATTATAATGTTGCTTTTCTAATAAGTTAATTCTTATTTCTAGCTAATAAAATTTCAAGTAATTTTGTTCTAGTTTATAATACTGGTACTGATACTTTTCCATACTCTTCTTCAAAAATAACTAAAGCACTTTCAGTATGTACTCTTGCATCTGTAAATTAACCTAATTTAAATAAGAGATTTCCTAAATTTGCATGTTTATAGGCAATTTATAATGGATTTATTTTTTTCTTAACTTATTAAAATAATTAAAGAGAATTCATTAAATATTATTTAGCATCAATATAAAATCCTTAATTAGCCAATACTCTAGACATTTAATCATAAATAAGACTCATCTTAATTATTAACTATTGATCTAATTAATTGTTATCATAAAATTCTCTGATGATTATGAATGATCTTTTAAAAAATATAAAAGTCTCTTCATGTTATCCTCTCTATCCATATATATATCCAACTAAAAAATAAACATCTGATCTGATTGAACTCTTTAAAACATTTTCAAAAATAGGAGTATTTAGATATTTATCCTTTTCAAGAAAACTCAAAAATTCTTCTACATAAGTAATTGATAACTTCTTTAAATTTAATGATATACAATCCCAAATTATACGCATATAATTTTATACTAATAATATCAGAACTGGAGCTTATTACAATTTGAAATAATTTTGTTCCATTACATTTCTCCTTTATATCTAGAGTTAAATCATTGAAGTTCCAACATATTCAACTCTATTTGAAACTTAAAATTATGAATTCGCAACTTAATCTTCTCTTTCTTATGATAATAATTTAGGATCACTTAATTATGTACCTATTCTACTATTATTAGTTTATGTTTTAGACACTTCATTAACTTACTATTACTTATATAGTTTCATCAATTCTTCTTTTGAACGTTCTATAGCAACCTTTGCTGAAGCATCTTTATTTTACAATAAATATAATAATCCCATCCATCTACTGATATCACTTTGAATTTATTAATATTCAAAATATAAGTCTTCATCTACTTTCTATTTTCTAAGATCACAAGCCAATTAAGAAAATAATTTTAAACTTTCATCATATTTTTATAAATAAAATTAAATTTTAGCCCATCTCATTGTATATTCATCAATCAAAGTTTATTCAAATCTAAATAAATTGTACATATATTATTCATATAATTTATAACATAACATAGCTTTTTTCTCTTGATTTTATTTTATATAGATATATCCTAACCAATCATATACTTCCATTAATAATCTAACAGTTAAATTATCTCTTTCAGGTGGTGGTAAAGTTGTTTTAAATTTTTTTTATTATTCTTGATATTCCTTAAGCATTTGTATTTTTATTTGTTAAAATTCTTTTAATTAATGAACTGAAATATTTTATGTCTATTTTATTCTTAATTCATCAGCAATCTAATATTACTGTAATTAAACAGCATCTAAAAAAAGTTCTTATGCTTTCTTAATATCTCCAGCATAATAAAACATCTTACCAAAAACAAATTTCTTGAAAAATTAATCTATTTTCACTCTTTTATTGTTATCAATTGTTAATTAAAATAATTCAACCTATTAATACATATCTTCTAAATCTGTATATAAGGATTTTAGAAGAAATCCAAAAAAATTAAAAAATAAAACAACTGTCTCCAAACAATGAAAACTACTCAAAGCCTCTTACATTATACTCATTGCCTTTTATAAATTTGACTTCATGTTTTCCATATCATTAGTTAAAAAATGTAAGTAGCTCAAATAACCTAAATTTAATAGTCTAAGAGAATCCATCTCACTCCCTGAACGAGTAATATTTTATATTAATTTAAGAGATATATCAAAGTAATGTTTACTGAGTTCAAATTAACTTACTTCATAATAAGCTTTGCCTCGATTATAACATGATAATATCAAACTTTTACTTATATAATCATATTTTTAGCATTATTATTCATGATATTCATTTAATTGTTGAATATACTTAAATGCTTCAAAATAACCATCTTAATCAAGTTACAATAGAAAATAATAATGTATAAATTAATAGTATGCTTTTTCGTTGATTTCTTTAAGGTTATTTTTAGAAATTTAGAGTACTCTATTAAAGAGTTATAATGCATCTTCTGCTTCTCCAGATATAAAGGTAATAAGTCCTTAATAAAATTTGATATTTGATTGATTAATCTTTTTTAAAGTTTTAGGATCTGCATTTGAAATATCTGATTCAAGTGATGTAAATGTTGTATATGCTAATTCTAATTCTCTATTTTACATATAACAAAATCCTAAACAAAATTTTAGAAAAACATATTCAGTTTTTGAAAAAAAAATTTAATTTGGATTATTAATTTTATAATGAGCTAATTTATTTAGATCATTAATTTATAATGAATTTATTGTTTTTAAAATATATTTAGCAGCTTCTTACCCTATTCTAGTATTTCTTATAAGCATATATCCTTAAATTTAATAAAAGTATTTTCTAATATCATAAAATTAATCTGACACATTAAATGCTCTTATTAATAATCCACCTTTATCTTCTTCATAATCTACAATAGTGGATAACTCTGTTTTTGGTAAATCAGCTTAAGGTTTTTCTTATTAGGCAAGATTGATTTATTTTTCAGATTTTTTTTTGTCTTATTATTATTAATTTGATGTTTTTTCATTCTTTGATTTATTGGTTTATTCATTTTCAAAATTACTCTTTTAAAAGAATATAATATCATTTGGTGGATCAAATTCCTCTTCTTATAATTAATCCATAATCCTTTTCCAATCACAATTTGGTTTAAGCATATCTTATAAATATAAAATAACAATTTAATAATTTTGTTATTTATTGTTAAGTAATTAATATTGTGCTAAAAAGGACATAATTTCAAGATAGTTCTTTGCTTGATATTCTTTAAATTCTTCAAAATTCTTAACTCTTTAATTAAGATAAATTTCATCAGTGTGTAAACCACTAAAGGATTTTATAAATTTGGCTGCTTAACTGATATCATTTTTGTTACTCTAATTAGAATGATGAGATGTCTTCTATTTATTTTGGCACCACTTTTCAAATTTACCTAAACTAATCATTTGAATTGCTATAATAGCTAAACTATAAAAGTTTTATTGCATTATTAAGGAATTTAAGAGCACTTCTTCAGTATTCCTTACAAGTCTTTCTTTTTTTGCTTCCTCACTCATTTTATCAAAATTTTTATTCCAATATAAAAATAAACCCTTTTCTATTACTGGTCTCATTGTTTCATTAAAAAAGATTAAATGTCTAGGTTTAACCTATTTGATATAGTATTACAAATAAGAGTAGGTACAACATAATTCATATTATTCTGCTTCATCCTCATATCTACTCTCATCTTCAACTAATAATTCTTCACTTTCAGCCTCACTGCGATTATCTGAATATATTTTAGATGTCTTTTTAATTAAAGTCTAACTAACAGGTTTCTTAACTATGTAACTAGTGATTCTTAATTCATTAAAACCTTTAATTCTATATTATCCATCTCCACTCAAATAGATATTTTCATCATTAACATTTCCATGATTAATATAGATAGATTTTGCATCTCTTAGAGCTCTCATCATAAGGATTAAAAATCCCAAGATTTCTTATTCTTTATAAGCTCCTTCCATTTTAGGGAATGAAGCTCTTATTTTAATAACTTCACTTAATGTAGCTATAGGCATATCTGTAACTCTTAAAAAGATGTTTGAATAATTTAATAGAAACCATTATTGCTAATAAGAGACATTATAAATATCTGATGCAATAGTATCTTATTTAGTTAATGCTAACAATTATTAAATAGATTTATTGAAGTAGAAATTCTCTTCAAATTATTAAAGGTATTCATTTTTCTTAATTTGTGTGATTTCTACTAAATATTATTATTTTAGATTGGATAATCTTTTACCTGTCCATAACATTGATTTATAACTTTCAGATTCATCTAATTATATAATTTCATCCAGTACAATATTTTATAAATACTCTGAATGATCTTCCCATAATAATTCATCTGAATTTTTAAGTGGAAAATATGCAAGTGGTTCACATTATTTTTCATTTAGCATTCTTATAGTAGCATATCCCATAATTTATTATAATAATTCATCTTTGTCTAATAAACCAAAATTATATATTCTTTGTTGAGTGGCTTCATCAAAATACTTAAAATCTCTTCTCAAATATCTTTTTTCCATTTATCTTCTTTATATTTTTTCAAGTTCCTATTTCAATTTCCTTTCTATTTCTTATTCCTACATTTTATCTATTAATTCTAACTTTTTTTGTTCTTCTTTTCTTTTCTTTGCTGCTTATTTAAATTCTTCCTTTGAAATTGTAGAAGCACCAATATTAAAATCAACAAATTTCCCTTTTTTGCCACCTTACTTAGCTCCTTTGCTATCACCTCCTGAAGCAGTTCCTCTTAATGTGTTGTTTATATTGTTACAAACATCAATGCAAAAGTTTCCCATTTTATTTTAAATTATATAAGTATAACTACAAATAATGTAAATTCTTTTAAAAACTAAAATTCAATTTTATTACTATTATTATAGATTAAAAGTGATTAAGATCATTTAAGAGAATGAATATAAAAGATTACTATTTTGAAAAACAAAACTTATAATAATCTATATATATTTATATAAGATTGTAAATAATATATATTCTTTTTTAATCATGATAAGTATACTTTCTTCATCTTTATTACTTTGACTCTATCAATAGGACATTAATCAATTTTTTTTGAACACTCTTCACACACACAGACATGTCCACAGGGTTTTAGTAAGATACAGTATTCCTTTTAGAGACATATCACACAAAACTTTTAAATCAATGAATTCTTGTAAAGAGAAATTTGATTTTTTGTTTTAACTAATTAATCTTCCACTTTTTTTATATCTTCAAAACTTTATTGTCTAATAGTTTCAAAATCTCCTTCATATAATTTTATTTGTTATCTCAATTAATTATTCGCTTCCTCAATCTATTTCCCTCTACTTTTCTCAAGTTATAACTCATGATGAATCATCAAAAAATCTTATTACAAAGTTTAATTTTGTTCTCTCTTTTTTTTTTAATCCCAAAATTGATTACGACTTGAATCCAAATATTCTCTGAATAGTTTAATCACTCGAAAAAGCTGCTTATGTGCTAATGTTAATTAATCTTGCAATGAATTCCCAATGATATCTAAGCATTGAGAATCAACTAGGCTTCGTATATCATCATCATTTTAGCAACACATAATCTCTTCTACAAGCATTTCATCATCCTATTCATTCATCTTTAAAGAATAATTAAATATGAAAATTATATTCAGACATAATTACCTACATATTTATTATACTTATTAATACTATAATTCTAAATTTATAAATATTATATTACAAAACAACCCTAATATATGTGAATTAATGATATCACTATTAATATTTTATTCATAGCTTTATTGTTTTGTCTCATTCAATTTAATTCAATTATTTTAATTCCTTTATTATATCTAAAATATGAAAAAATGAATTTTAATTAATACACTCTAATTTTAATCACATTTAGAGATATTCCATACACTTAAATTTTTATACTTTACACCTAAATATACCTTCAGAACTAAATCTATGATTTAATTCATAATATAATCATAATATACTTTAGATGAATATCTGATTTTATTTATATTATTTGTAATAATTTTTCAAAGAAAATATATTTTGTATAAATGACTGAAGAATAGTGTGATTATGTGTTCAAATTCATCATTATTGGAAATGGCAATTGTGGAAAAACTAGTCTTCTTTATCATTATATTCATGGAAAATGTAATTTATACTATGAATTAAGAAATTGCAAATGTTAAGTAGACATTAGGTGTTGAATTTTCTGCCAAGATAATTTAAGTGAAACAAAAGAAAATTAAAATGTAATTATGGGATACTGCTGGCTAAGAGAGATATAGAGCCTTGACTAAGGGTTATTATAGAGGAGCTTTAGGTGCTTTAATAGTGTTTGATGTTACTAAGTAATAATTTACAGTACAATAGTTCAGACTCTTTTGAGGCTCTTAAAGAGTGGATCAAACATGCCAGAGATTTTTCTAAACCATCAATTTAAATTATTATCATAGGAAATAAAATAGATCTAGAAAAAGAAAGGTAAAATTACATTTATCATATAGAGTGATTTCTGAATAATCAGCTAAATAATTTTGTTAAGAAAATGATGTTTAATATGTGGAAACAAGTGCAACAACTGGTTATTAAGTCAATGAGGCATTTACTCAAATAACAATTAAAATTCTAGACTTATTGTAGTAAGGAGTCATTGATGGAGGTATGATCAAACCAAAATTCCTTACGTCAAAAAAAGCAGATGAAAAAGAGAAATAATAACAATGTAATTGTTGACCACTTGTTTTTATTAGTTTATAACAGTAATTATAAGAAATAAAATTATTTTTTTTTAATATTTTCTTAATGTTTCTTTTATATATAATTATATATATATATATATATATCATAAATGATAACCTTCTCAAAGGTTTTCTACGTTACCACCTTCATCATCAAGTTCTGAGGTCCATAATGTCAAGTTATCTCTAATTAATTACATAATGGTTGTTGCATCTTTGTATTGATCTTCTTAAATTTATTCAATGTCGGCAATAGCATCATCAAAAGCCTAGAATTGATTAATTAAGATTTGTTACTGATTTAGCTAATTAACATGCCTTAGCAGCATCATTCAAAACTTCATAATAGAAAACTGAGAAATTCAAAGCAAGTCCTAATCTGATTGGATTTGTGGTTTTTAATTCTGAATTAGCAACATTGGAAGCAGCTTAATAAGCGGCAAGAGCACCATCAGCAGCTTTCTTGTGTTAATCACCAGAAGCATATTCAGAAATGTATCTGTGATAGTCTCCTTTCATCTTGTGGAAAAAGACTTTAGCTTCAGGTGTTGAAGCAGTTTTGATCAAATGACTGTCAATCAAATTGAGGATATCGTGGCAATATTGATTCAATTCTTCTTCAATCTTTTTCTTGTAGCTTCTGATCAAGACAAGATTTTTTTATGAGGCTGGTTGGGATTGAGCCTAAAATTTAAATTTTTTTTTTTACTTTTCCTTCTTCCTTGTTTTCAATGCTGGACAAGACTCTCCAAGCTGTTCTTCTTCCACCGATGCTATTTTTATAAGCGACGGAAAGAAGGTTTCTCTCTTCGATTGACAACTCTTATCCATTTTGAACCACTTATTTGATGTAATTGACCATATCTTCGAATCTCTCTGTTTATTCTGTCAATTTGGTCATATAGATGAGTTCTTCCCTAGTGCTCATTTAGATATTTTAAAATTTAAATTCTTATTTGTTTCCAAAATCAAAGATCACCCTTAAATATAGCAAAATACAATATATTCAATAAATCTAAATTTATTTAAATATATAAAAGTATGAAGTATTATTATTTATATATATATATAATACAACTTCCAAAAACTCATATTATTTAATATATTCCTCAAATTTAAATTCTCTTTAATCTTAAATCTCCTTCACTAATTAAAACAAGAAAATCAAGACCTTTTCTTGAAAATTGAAAATTTGAATTTAAATTCAATTTATATTTTTTATTGCAATATATTAACATGATTTCTAAGTAATCATCATTAACTCACTCATTTTGTTATGTTCTTCAATAACTAATGATATTGTTATGTATAAATCCATTAATGATTGTTTATTTTTTTTCAAAATTATGATTTTCAATTTTATTCATTCTTATTACTTTTTTGATTACTGATAGCAGATATTTCTACAGATAAGATTATTCTAATATAAAACCATTTACATCTATTTCTAATAATTTTTAGTGTGTTTTATAAAATTTATTCTTTTCTTCTATTGATTTTTAACATTGTATATTAAAGTTGAGTAATCGCAATGAATACTTTCAAAGACTTATTAATATGAATTTATTTAAGATTAAATCAACATGTCTTTCGATAATATTACTAAGGATGAAGATTTGTAAAATATATGATCTAATAAGTCTTGAAATACAAATATATAGTTATTATATACAAATAGCCACATTAAAAAGATTTTTAGATATACTAAATAGCAAAAATTTTAATAGGCTATTATAATAATTCATTATAAGACTCACATTTAATTATTTGTTATTTTTTAAATTTATATATAAGAATAATAAAATTTATTATCACTGGAAATCAAATGTAATAATTTTAGAGGGAATTTAAATTATAGTATATATCTACGATGGAACAATAAATAAGTGTAAATTCATTGAATCCGCATATTTAAATTTGACTTTGATTATGTAAAGGATTAGATGTAATATTGAATGATTGAAAAAGGAAAATAAATTTGTATGAAATTAATAAACCAAAATATTATTGAATTATATGATGGGATAATGACTGAAAACAAATTCATATTGTTTATAAGGATTTAGAAATATTAATTATTCATATTATATAATTAAATATGCAAATATGCAAATATAGAAATTAAGATTGAATTAAAAATTTAAGGTATTTTTGTTTTTGTTTGCAACTTTTGATTATTAAATAAAATGACATTGTTGAAATTCTATCAAATTTAGATTAATTTATTTAATGCTAAATATTTTGGCTATGTTAATGTAAGCACAATAGAAAGATTAGAAATAGCACAAAAGGATTATTGAAATTCCATTTAAAAATTTAATATTAACAAAATTATAAGTATTAGGATAATAGAGGAAAGAATTAATTATTATTTAGGATATATGAGGAATGCTAAGAAATTCTATTTGTGATTTTTACTTCTTAGAAATGAAATAATTTGATTTATTTAATTATAATTAAATTTTATTATGTTATCAATTTAGAAAGTAAATATTGCCACTCTCTATAACAGAAATGAAGAATATAAATCATGTAATCGTGAGACTGATAGAGAAGATGGTTCTAAAATTTGTATATCTCTATAATAATTTTAGAAAAGTTTAAAGAATTACTAAATTAAAATATTATCCCTATCAATGAACTACTTCATTTAGCTTGGTCAGGAGTGCCTAGTGAACTCAGAAGTACTGTATGGAGATTATTACTTAAATATTAATCTCCAAATAGGGATGCAAATGTATATTGGATAATAGACTTGGTTAGTTTACAATCATAGAGAGAAAAAGAAGTGTATACTTTGGAATGTGTGATATTTATTTTGCCAAAAATCAGCAATATGATGAAAGAGAGAAAAAGATATTAAAATAAATATCAGAAGATGTTAAGCGTACAATACCAGACTCTTCAGTGTTTAGAAATCTTTAAATTTAAACTTTATTAGAGAGGATCCTTTTTATTTGGAATATACGTAATCCTGCTTGTGGATATGTATAAGGAATGAATGATATTGTTGCTCCTTTTTTAGTTGTATTTTTGTCTGACTATGTTGATATTGACACAACTAAATTACAATTTATTAATGAAAAACAATTAGATCATTTAGATTAAAGGTTGATAAGATAAGTAGAAGCTGACTCTTATTGGTGTCTTTGTAAATTATTAGAAAGTGTTCTTGATAACTATACTAATTCATAACCAGGATTGGTTAGATTTTATAATAAATTTAAGGAGATATTGTAAGCATTAGATAAAAAGCTTTATGAACATCTTACTACTTCATTATGTAAGAATTTATTTTTTAATAATAGCAATGGAATTATATGCATTCATTTTTAAATGGAGTACATGTATGTTATTAAGAATGTTTTAATTTGAAGTTGGATTAAGATTATTTGATACTTTATTAGCAGAGGAAAATAGTATATTATTATAATAATTATAGACTATTTTGAACTGTGTCTCTTTATTATTATTTCTATTTTAATGAAATTTTCTCTTAAAATTTAGAAATTATAATATGATGAAATAATGATTCTTCTAGAAAAGATACCTACAAGAGAATGGTCAGAATCAGATTTGAGTCTTTGTTTATCAGAGGCTTATGCTTACTAAAGGATTTTTTCTAAAAAATGAATTATATCCTAAATCTTAAACATATTATGAAAATTTAAACTTTTTTAAAAACATTACTATTACAATTATAATATTTTTTTATTAAATATTATAGATGATTTTCTTAAGAGTCTTATTAATTTATATATAATACATATATATTTTCATTGTTGCAATTTAATAGTCTAAATTTGAGAATCTGATTTTAGAAACTCATTTGAAAATTATGATTGATTTCCTCTATTTAGTTAGATATTTTATTAAAGTAATCCAAAAACACATTGGATAAGTGTTTTATTATAATGATGTTTTGCTAAGATTTATTATCTCACTCTAACTCTTTTTAAGGATGTCTTCAATTTCCAAAATTCAAATAATTTTCTAGTTCTTTAGTATGTATATATCTTCTTTGCCTATTTCTCTTTTACATATTCCTTCCAAATTTTAAAAAACCATTATAATGTTGATGAAATTGGTTATGTTCTACGCCATTTTAGGAAGAATTATTTCATAATAATTAATTGTAATGCTCTTTTCTTCTATTTTGGCATAATACTCCATTAAAATAGTATTTATTTTAAAAGAAAATGTTATATGTGAGCTTTTAAGTTATTTGCAATTTTTTAGTATTACTATTTTTAAACTTATTTATTATAATTTTTAATTAATTCACACCAAATATTCCTTTAGAGATTCTGTATTCTGGCCTTACAAAAATATATTACTTATGCAATCTATTTTGTTTATCTTATAATTCTTTTAAATTTCTTATTTTATAATTATTATGCCATATGTTCCAATTTACAATGACAAAATGGTTATATCACTGAAATTTGTTCTTAAAATAAAGAGTTTTTTATATCTGTAAAATCTCTATAACTTTATTCAACTTTTGGTATTTTAATTGATTATTGTAAATATGATCTATTAGGTGTTTTGATGCATTTGAAGTATTTAGGTTATGGATGCAACTGATTTTCATAATACCGTAATTTAGCTTTTCGATCAAAAGAAAGTTATTACTCAAGTTCTTGTTCATATTGTTATCTCAATTGTTTACTTTATTATAACATAAATAAAATATCAAATAATTTTAATCATATTTACACAATCATCACTCAAACAAAGTATTAATAATTAAAACTTTAACACAAATATGTCAATTAATCAATAATGAAAACATCATGCATATCCCTTGATACGTTATTACATATTCTTCAGATGGAGTTACTAAAATTACTTACATCTTATAGAATATATAATATAGTATACTATTACTTCTAATTAACTAAATATATAATATATGTTATTTTATTTAGATTTAACAATTTTATTTAAAACTCTCAATTAAATTTATTATCATATGCAAAATTGAAGTAGCGAGAAATTATATATAATTAATATAAAATATAAATTGAAAAATTACATGATTACTTTTAATAATATAGAATATATATAATGACACAATCAAAATTACTATTCTAATTACAAATTCATTACAGACTGATTAATTTTGCAAATTAAGTTGCCAAATGGTTGTCATCTAAGAATATTTGCATAAAGTTTTTGGCATTGAAACCATCTTCATATAAATTTGATATATCCTTGCATCCTTTTTCAGAAATCACTACAACATTAATCTTCATGTTGTAAGATGGATTTACTAAATTGTTAAAGCTAAGATGTATGAGAAACTACTGAATTTAAGAAAAGAGGTCATCCTCATTATTTGCTATAAGATCAGTCTTATTTTCTTTATGCGATATGTCCCATCCCTAATCAATATAAGCCAGTAAATGCTGTAATTACATGAAGCTTAAATTTAAAGATTCTGATAGTGGGATTTACAAAGTTTGCATTAAAATAACTGTAATATTAGTATCAAAGGAGACAGGCATTTTCTTAACTCTAAAAAATTGTATATATTTGATACATTAATGTTGATAAACGATGAGCAAAGAAGAGCATTTCTCCTAAACCAATAATATTGATTGTCTTAGTATTATTTGATAAATATGGTTTAATAAAGTCATGAACTCTTTCTATATACCTAAATTCTTCATCAATTGAATCTGATAATTGTTAGACTTATAATACTTCTGTATATGGAGTTGAAAATACAAAAAGTGTTGCATTCAATTATTAAGCCAATTCAGGTAATTTAACTTAATCATAAAAATAATTAAAAGATTAACCAAGTGGAGGGAATATGATATATAAATTTTCATATAGATGAGTGTGAATTTCAACTTAAAATAATTGATTTATTCTTAATTCTGTTCCTAAATCAATTATTGAATAATTATATAAATTAAGCAAATCTGATGTTGTATTTATACAAACATTATCTATTGATACACAATCTTCAACACATTAATTTTATTTCAATTTGTATGGATGAATACATTAAACACATCTCTATTTATATTCATGATAACAATATTCACAATTTTAGGAACAACTCATACAACTGAATTTACTAGTATCAAAAGAAGTATTAAGTGGACATAAAAGTTCTGAACGATTATTAGGATTATGAAATGGTAAGATATTAGGTTTTTGATCTTCTCTTGATTTCTTAGCTAACCAACCCATAAAGATCAATGAAGAAATTGCTATAAGGAGAGCAAATACTCCCAAATTTAACAAAACTTTATTATTTTATTGTTTGTGTTATTATCTATCTTCATTATAATCACAGATTGGATGATGTTCAGCATTTATATTAAAGTATTCTTCCTCTTCTTCTTCTGACATATATAATTTATATATTATATTAAAATTGAGAAAAGTAAATATAATTAAAAAATGTCAATATAAAGAGAATGGTAGAAATTTGTGAGACCACCTAGATATAATTATAGTTACTTTGATCTAGGTTGTTTATTTCTTATTATAATGGTTAGGTCCTGAATATATTTAACTACATCAAAGTTATATACGTAAACATGAAAGGATTATTACTAATCGTTAAAATTGCAAATTAGAAATGTCATACTTTGAATTGAATCCAAAAACTTCAAATTGTATTATTTATTGTCATGGCTACAATGGATGTAGAATAGAAGGCATTAAATATGCTTAAATTGTTGCTTAATATGGTTTCAATTTTTGTACATTTGATTTCTAAGCATGTGGTCATTCTGAAGGGAATTTTATTACTTTTGGGTATGATTGCAATAAAAACTAATAGACATCTTGAGAAGGATGATATCACTTCAATATTGCAAGAATTAGAAATTAATTTTTAATAGAAGTAGTTTATTTTATGGGGAAGATCTTTAGGTGCAACTACTATTCAATTAAAGGAATACCCTAATGTTAAAGGATTGGTATTGGATAGTTGTTTCACAAACTTCAATAAATTAGCAATTAGCATTATACAGAAACAAACTCGTTTACCTAAATTTATAATAAAGGCTATCATCTTCTTAACCAAAGGTTCAATTGAAGAAGAAGCTGGATTTCAATTAAATGATATCCAAGTTTAATGTAATTCAAATATGCCTACACTCTACATTTGTAGTGATAAGGATTCCCTTATTAAGGCAAAAAATAGTTTAAAATTATATAAGTAACACAAAGGAATCAAGAAATTAATAAAAGTTGATGGAGAACATAATGATTCTCGACCTCTTGAAATTATTCAATAAATTTGTTCATGGTGTAATGACAGAGTGTAATTACAATAAAATAATTACATTCAATATAATTCAGTCCCTTAAGTAACTAGATTACCATTAGAATTAATATATGATTCTAATATTTAGAGTGGGATGTAATCTTCGTATAATAGGATTCCCAAGAATCCAGCTATTAAATTAAAAAATCAAATAAGTATTTAGTTAAGAACAAGTTGTAGAAATTTACATAGTGCAGTTTAATACTGAATTTATATATATATATATATATATATTTAAGACTTAGAAAATAGTTAATTGGTTTTTCATTATTAAAAAATGTAATTTATAAATGAGGGAGTTGAATGGTTTGAAATTCATTCAACAATCTTGGCAAATGATATAGCATGTATAATAAATGGTTAAAATAAGTGTTAAAAGACAATTATATTATGAATTTTCAAGGAAAGCATAGACGTATAGCTTTAGGCAGTTCAATTGGGTTGTTGATGTTAACTCAATTGGCTTAACGAAATCCTATAGGAGCTTTACGTATTGGTGCTTTTACATTTCCTATTCTCAGTTATGTGATATGTCCTGAGATATACAATTCCTTATTATGATATATACGTGTAAAATAATTAAAATGTTCATAAAATTTGAGAGACATTCAGATCGTGTAAAAAGTGTTTCATTTCATCCTCATCGTCCCTGGATATTAAGTGCACTTCATTCTGGAATCATTGAATTGATTGATTATAGAATTAAGAAAAGAATAGCTATATATGATGATCATAAGGGTGCTGTTCGATCAGTTTAATTTCATCCATAACTCAATTTATTTTGTTCAGGAGGAGATGATTTTACAGTAAGAGTTTGGAATTTTAAATAATGTCAATTCATATTAAAAGGACATTTGGATTATGTTAGATGTGTGACATTTCATCCAATAAATCCTTGGGTATTATCAGGTTCTGATGATTAAACAGCTAGAGTTTGGAATTATTAAAGTAGACAAACTATTGCAATTTTAACAGGACATACACATTATATAATGGCTTGTCATTTTCATCCAACTTAAGATTTAATTATTACATGTTCATTAGATTAAACAGCTAGATTATGGAATTATGGAGTACTTAAATAAAGATATGCTTAAAAAAAGAATTAAGAATATGTATTATCAGGAGCAGAAGTTTAAGTAATTTCAATATTAGATGCACATAAAGATTAACTTAATTGGTGTGCTTTTCATTAAACAGAACCATTTATTATTACTAGTGCTGATGATAAAAATATTAAATTATGGAAATACAATGATAATAAAGCTTGGGAATTTGATACTTTATCAGGTCATACCAATAATGTTTGTTGTTCAGAATTTCATCCAAAAGGATAAGTTATTATATCAGATTCAGAAGATCACACAGTTAGAATTTGGGATTTTTCTACTCGTAAATAAATTGCTATTTATGAGAATAAACACTATGATCGTTATTGGATAGTATCATGTCATCAAAATAATTATTATTTTGCATGTGGCTCAGATACTATGTTACAAGTGTTCACCTTACATAAAGATAGAGTTCCTCTTATACTAGTTAATGATAGATATATTTGTATAGCTGAATAAAAAGTTCTTAAAGTAGTTGAATTAAATAGTGGATAATAATCAATCATTAGAGACATAGCTACTGTTATTACTCCAGCTCCTACTCTTTTGGAGGATAATATTGAATTTATTGAATATAATACATATGATACACAAAAAACATAATTGATGATTAGATGTATCAGATAATTTAAAGAGCCAACTAAATCTAAAAGACATTTATTAATGGTATTTTAATAATAAAAGGGAGATTCAGGAATCAAATAATTTTTTGCTAATTGTGCATGTTTTATTGGAAAGAATAAAATTGCTAGAATCAATCAAGATTAATAAATAGAATTATATAATTATGAAACAGATGCTGTTCAAATAATTGATGAGAAATAATCATCTAAAATATTTGCTGCTCCTGGTGGTAAAATATTAATTCAAAGAATTGGAACTATTCCTTAATTAGAATTATTTGATCCTATGACAAAATAAGTATTACATTCTGTTGAGTATACTAATGCTAAATATGTATAATATGTTGAATCCTACTTAATTATTTCAACCAAATTATCTCTAACAATTTTTACTAAATAATTATAGAAATTAATTGAAATTAAAGAATAAATTAATATTAAATCATTTATTTGGTTTAACAATTTTATAATCTATACAACAAAAAGTTAAATTAAGTATTTGCTATTAAATGGAGACATGGGTGTTTTAAAATCAACTGAAAATATATTATATATGGCAAAAGGTGAAGAATAATAACAAAACAAAATTAAATTAATTGCATTCGATAATACAGCCAAATATATAACAGATATTCTTGATATTTCAGAACCTTTATTTAAAATAGCAATTATGAACAAGGATTTGAATACCATTCATAAATTTATTGAACATAATCAAAATGAAGCTATATTATCTTATTTATATTAAAAAAAACTTGCTTCTATGGCATTAAAATTAGTTAAAGATAAATATGGTAATTAATTATTATATAATTTTAGCTAAATTTTCACTTTCTCTAGATTGTGGTAATTTAGAATTTGCATATAAAGCTGCAGTTGATATTAGAGATCCATAATCATTTGAACAATTAAGAACTGAGGCTTTAAGATAGGGCAATCATTTATTAGTAGATATTTGTGATCAATAATTAAGTTAATTTGATAGATTGTCATTTTTATATTTATGTACTGGCAACATTGAAAAGTAAGAAAAATTATAGAATATAAATCCTAATTTTATATATCAATCCTAATCCTAAAGGAAAATTGTAATTAAAAATTGCTTACCAAAATTATCCTAAATCATGGATCATCTAAATGGAATTTCATAAAAATTAGATGATAATTAAAAAGAAACAATAGAATGGATTAACTCTTTAGGAGGTAGTTAAGCTTTGATTCCTCCTATTCCCATAATGAAATACAAAAGTGATCCATGGCCACTTATTTAATTGAATGAATAAGACATTATTAATCTTGAAGTAACTGATGAAACTGTAGTACCATAAGATATCTTTACATTATAAAAGTAAGTAGTAGAAGAACCTTAGCTTGATGAATAAGTAAATGATGGATAATGGGGTTTAGATGAAGAACCAGAAGAAGTATTTTTGGAATCTAAACCTAAAGATTCAATTTATAAAAATATTGATGAAGAAGCACTAAGAGGAAACATTGTCAATTAAAAAGGAGATATTGCTATTAAATACTTTGCTGCTGGTAATTATGAAACTGGTATCAAATTATTAAAGCAATAAATCAATCTTAATAACTATTAACAATTTTATAAATTACTTATAGATTTACCTAATTTTTAGGTTGTGACTTCATCACCATATCTTAGTAATGCAACTTTACCAGTGAAAATCAATAGATTGAATGAAATCAAGAATTTGATTAAATTAGGTAACTATTTAATCTAATATATTAGGTTATAAATATACAACAGATGCTAAATTTAATGAAGTTACTAATTGCTTCAGATCTGTTTTATAAAAACTATTATTGACAGATTACGAAGATAATTAAATTGATGATATTAAAAGATATATTAATATCAGTAGAAATTATCTTATAGCTATGCGTTGTGATTAGCTTAAAAAAGATAGTAATGTCTTAGAAGTTACTTGTAAAATGGCTACAATTGATTTATTACCTATTCATAGAATATTAACACTAAGATAAGCTTTAAGTATAAGTTACAAATAAAAGAATTTTATTACTTGCTAATAAATTGCTAAAAAATTAATTGAGTTATTAAGAAATGACAATACTCAAAAACCTGAAGTTTTACAAAATGCATAAAAGGTATTATTAATTAAATATATTGTATTTAGTATGAAAAAGCATCTTAATAATAAAATTCAAATGCAATTTAAATAGAATTCTAAGAATAATGGTTGAATGAATAACCAATATATTCAGCAAATACACTTAAAAATATTTCAATATACAAATCATGTCCATATGATGGTAGTGTTTATGAAACAGATTACTAACAAAATTGTTTGATTTGTGGGTTATGTCAAGTTGGTAAAGCACCTGGACTTAAATATTAATGAAAAATATATTTTATTTGAGGATAATTATTAATATAAAATTTATAAAATGGGAGCAGCATTGCGATCATTTTTTGTTCCAGTTCCTCACCAAACTGTTTGTGTTTTATAAAGGTTTGGGAAATACACAAGAACTCTAACTCCAGGTTTAAATTGGAAAATTCCCTTTATTGAAGAAATTGCTTATGAACATTCACTTAAAGTAGAATGATACTTATCTTAGGAATAAGCCTTCATGATTTATGCTTAAAATGCCGTCACAAAAGATAATGTGATCATATAAATAGACGGCGTATTATATATTTAAGTTGATGATCCAGTTAAATGTTCATATGGTGCCTAAAAACCAATTGATTATGCTCAAGTAGATTTTATGCTTAATCCTCATAGATTCTTGCTCAATCTGTTATGAGAGCTGAAATAGGTAAACTCACTCTAGATCAGACATTTGAAGAAAGAGAGAAAATGAATGCTCTCATTTTGTCTGGACTCTCAGAAGCTGTCTAAGAGTGGGGTTTAAAGTGCTTACGTTATGAAATCAAGGATATTAAAGTCACTGAAAATATTCGAAAGGCAATGAATATGGAAGCTGAAGCTGAGAGAACAAAAAGAACATAGATTTTACATTCTGAAGCCAAATAGCAATCATAAATAAACTTGGCTGAAGGAGAAAGATTATCAAAGATTTTAAAGGCAGAAGGATTGGCTGAGTCTATTGTTATTAGATCGACTGCTACTGTTTAAAGAATTGAAGCTATTTCTAGTGCTATGAATAGTGAAGAAGGTGATTTGGCTGCCAGATTCAATTTGGCTGAAGAGTATTTGGAAGCATTTAAGAAACTTGAAGGAAAATAGGTTCTAGTAAATAGTGATGTTAACAATCCTAAAGAAGTCATCAAAAAAGCTTTGGATATGGTTGATGCACGTTTAAAGTGAGAATTTAAATACACATTGAATATCAAAATAATTTTAATAATTCCATGCTAAATAATATTAATTTGTCATTGAGTCAAATTGAGGAGTTAACTAAGGATGAAGTATAAAAGGATCAATCAACTAAAGTCAAAGTTGAAAAAAAAATTGAAAAAAGATTGGGATCAACAAACAAAGAGGAATCCACTAATGTTTAACTTAAAGTAGAAAAGAGAATTGGCTCAGCCAAACCTAAGGATTCACTTTAGTAATATACAAATACAAAAATCAAAAATATTTACTAATTTTTAGAAAATGTTGAATCGGACTAATCTTAAGTTAGTTAGCAAACTCAATAACAACCAGTGAGAAGTATAGAAGCTATTGAGAAGGAACATGAATATCAATCAAAAATTTAATAATTACAAGGTATTGTCTAAACATAAAAAATTGAATTGGATGAATAACAGAAAACTATTGATAATTTAAAATAGCTACTTGAAAAATCATAAGCAAAATCGAAGGAATCAGAGTAGATTTTTAAAGAAACCATAAATCGTAGATTAAATGAATAGAAGGCTGAATTAGAAGTTGTTATTAATAGACATCTTGGATTTATTGATCAATTAATAAATGATAAAAAAGAACTTAATAATTAAGTAGAATAGTTGACTAATGAATTAAAGGGAATTGATAAATAATAGAAAAGATAATTAGAAGAGTTAAAGAATAATTTTGCAAGAGAAATAAAACAAAAATATGAGTAATGGTAAATATAAGAAAAATAGAAAAGAGAAAAATGGGAGAAAGAGAAGTTAGTTGAATTAAAAGAATAAACAATTAAAGGTTTAGAACCTGAATTGAATAGAATGATAGAAAAGAATAAATTAGAAATTAAAAGAATAGAAGAAAAATATTAGAAAGAAAAAGAACTTTATAAAATTTAAATAGTTGATGAGTCAGAAATGAAAATTTAATTATTTAAAGAGAAATGGGCTGCTGAATATGAGTTATTGCAATAAAAAGAGAGAGAAGCCTAATTAGTTAAATAAAAGGAATTATATAGAACATATGAGGATTAGTTTGCTAAAGAAAGGGATTCATATAAATAAAGAATGTAATAGGATATTGAAGATTGTGAAAGAAGAAGAAAAGAAGAAGCAGATACATATGTTAAAAGAATGAAATAACTTTCAGATTCTTAAGCTGAAGAAATAAGAAGGATAAAAAATGATTGTTAAAGAGAAATTGATGAATATAAAGAAAAGTACTTCAATATGGAAAGTGAAGTAAAAGAAGCATTAAGAGGTGATTAAGAAGCTTGGAAGTAACAATTTACTATAAGAGCAGAAGCAGATATGAATAGATAGATTGAAAAGATTTAAAAAAAGTTAGAGTAGGACAGAAACGACAAAATTGAAAAAATAGTATAGAAATTGGCTGAAGAGAAATAATAATATGAATAGAATGTTTAAATGAAATATGATAAAAAGTTAAGAGATTAATAGGCAAATAAGGATGAAGAGATTAAGTAATTGAAGAAGTAAATTAAGGCTTTGGAAGATAGAGAAAATAAGGAAGGTAGTGAATATTAGGAAATTTAAAAGACTAATCAAGATTTGTAAAGATTGATAGAGAAACAAGAATAAGAGAATCAGAAACATTTTAAAGAATATAAAAAATTGAAAGAGAAAATGCTTCTGTAAGAGATGTTAATATTTTAGATATAAGGACAAATTAATTTAATTTAAGGATGAATAATAGTTGGAATTTAAGGGAATAAAAGAGTCTCATGAAAGAGAAAAGAATTGGCTTATAGAACAGAATAATAAATTATAATTTGAGTTGGCTAATTAAAAATAAATATTGGAGGAAACATGTAATTGTATGTGAATTCATGTAGTGAGAGAATTGGATATAAAACATTCATAAAATTTGGAAGAAATAGAAGAAAATGTAAAGAGAATTATTTTGAAGAAGGATCATGATATAAAATAATTGAAGGAAGAATTGAGAATGAAATAATTGGCATGTGAAAAATATGACGAATTATTGAAGAAATAAAGATAGGATTTACTAAGATAAGTTGAATAATGAGATAAATATTATATGACTTATGTGACTATATATAAAAATTAAAATTATTATTTGTATGCTTACAAAATATTAAAATGAACAATCCATCTATAATGCAATTTACTTAAAAAGAATCTGAATTTTGTTGGTTAGTTGGTTTAAAAGCAATAAGTACCAAGTAACCAATGATTACAATGTGGTTGAAAAGTGAATAAAGAAAAGTAGATCCATCACTATTAAAAAATGAATTTATGAAATAATTCTAATCAGGGTTTCTCCATCTTAATAGTATAATAACAGGAGATAGAAATAAGAATTCATAAATTATTAAATAAATTTCTGATACTACTGTAATAGCAATAGTAAGAATAATAAGAGAAGAAGGAATTAAAGAATTTGAACAAATTAGAAATGACTTTTAAAAATTGATAACTATTATAACATATTTAAGTTTAACAAGATCAGTGATGAGTGATGCAGTGATGAAATTTTTAAGTAATTAATAAAATGAAAGTCATCAATACCTTGATAATTTATTATCAACTTTAGCAAAAATGGAATAAATGAAAAATGTCATGAACATAAATAAACATGATCCTATTAAAGATACATAATTATATAAGTTGTTATTTGGTAAAGGTAATTTTTATGATCCATTTACATCTAATCAACAAAACACTAGTTCAACCTAATAAACTCCATAAAATCAATAGGTTGTCTAACAAGTTCATGTAGAAAAATAGGCAGCTTAAGTTGTATCACCAATGAGATAAGCATTGACACCAATATCTGAATAAAAGTAGCATTAATAATAGTAGATGAATTAATAAACAATACTACAACAATCACAAATAAATAAATAAACTAGACCATTAGTACAAGTAGAAGATTTTAGTGAAGATTCTGGTGATTCTTCTGTGGATTTAGGGAATAAATATATAGTAAATGCTAAACCATAGAAGTAATAAATAAATGGCACTGATAGTGACTCTGAAATTTAAGAGATACCTAATTTTAAGATTTGATATTTTTAAGTAGCTATCATTATATATATAAACCAAATAATAGTTAATTTAGCAAAAATATATTTTTATTTAAAATCAAGTTTCAATTTATCTAAAATAAAATGGACATTTAATTTATATTTTTTTAGAGTTTCTTCCTCCTCCTAATCTTCTAAAATCTGAAATACTTAATAAATGATTAATTTCTTTTTGATATTTTAAATTAAAAGTTGATCAATTGAATTATCTGATTGTTAATAAAACACATATTAAATCGAAATAACTTATTCTAATAATTAATTCATTAAATTACTATCTCGATTATATTATATATTTATCATTCAGAGTCAGAACCACTTATAAAAACAAATCCTAATTCTTTTTTAATTGATTTTCTCTCCACTCTACTTTTTATAATTTATCATTAATCCAATCCCTCATTATACTTCCTATGTCTTATTTAAATATTCTAATATTGAATGTAGATTTGTATAAATTTCTTTTTACAAGTATTCTATTTCTTCTTTATCATTTATTGTATTATTTTCTAACTACATTAAATTAAAAAATTTTGAAAAAAATGGAAGACGATGATGATTTTGATCCAAATGCTGAAAAAACTATGTTTAACATTAAATATTCCAGTATTAAGGATATAAGAGAACTTTAGAATGCCTAAATGTTAAGTTTAAGAATAATGCATAGTCCAGATCTTATATCAATGCAAGTATTTAAATTTCTTATAAATTAGGGGATTGAACAATTTAGATAATTGAAATAGTTGAATCTATCATAAAATTCAATCTAGGCAATGAATCTTAAAACACTAAATTAACTTGAAGTCTTGAATTTATAATCAAATAGAATCAAAGTAATAAACTGTGAAGGTTTGAGATCATTAAGGGTTCTTAATTTATCTTATAATTTGATAACTTTATTGGGACCATTATAAATTGTATGAGAATTGAACTTATTCTAGTTCACATAATAAGGCTATTAATTGAAATCGTTAGATTTAAGAAGTAATAGTATAGCTGATTTAAATGAACTTAAATATCTGCAAGGAATTAATTTATAGGATGTGTTCTTTAATAGTGATAGAAGAAAGAATCCAATTTGCGATAACTTAAATTTATATTACAAATAGATTATCAAATATGTACCTTAAATAGTTAATGTTGATAATAAACCAAAAAATGAATTATAAGAAAATGATAGAGATGGTTCAAATAATATTACATTTAAATTACCAAAGTAGTAATAGGTAAATATAGAGAAGGAAGCAGAAATGAGAGTTGAAGTGATTTAATTATAGTAAAAAGTGAAGGAGTTATCTTAATAAAATAAAGAAATAATTTATAAATTTGAGTGCAATGAAAAATATTGGAGTAGTAAATGTTCAAATTTAGAAAGAGAGATTATTGATTTAAATAAGTTTAATTAAGAATTAAATTAAGAGAATAAAAGATTTAGAAGAGAGATAGAGTCTTTAAATGAATAAAATGAATATGATAAATAATAATAAAAAGATTTAATTAATAAGAAAGAAAGAAAAGATGAATTAATAACATAATTACAAAATAAAATTAGTGAATTACTATAATTAAATGGTCAATTAAGCAAAGAAAACTAAATCTTAAATGAATAATAAAATGCTTAAAAAATAAAAGATTAAGAAAAGGATTTTAAATTAAATGAATACAAAATCTAATTAAAGGAATCTGAAAAATAATTACAAGAATTTCATAAGAATGCTGTTGAATAAGCAAGTTAAACACTTATGAGATAGGAGTAATTATAATCAAAGTCTGAATAGATTAATTAAGAGTATTAATATAAAATAATATTAGAAATCGATCATTATATTAAGATAATTCATAGTTAAAAAGGAGAATATAAGAATTATTAGAAATATGTAGAGAATGGGAAGTTAAATTTGAAAATTCTCAAAAAGAAAATGAATAACAATTTTAGATTTAATTATAATAAATCATGCATGAATATGAATAAAAGCTTTAATTATAGTAAAATTAACATGAATAATAATTGTAAGAATTAGAAACAGAGAGTAAATTGATGTAAGATTAATTAGAAAATGAATTTCGAAATTTATTTTAAGAAAATATGGTATATTTATATAATGAAATAAGGAAAAATTTAAATAATTGAAATTATAATATGATGAGAAATGTCGTATAGAAATTCAATAGAATTAAGAAATTAAGATGTTGTAGGGTAGATTATAAGAATAAGAGATTTTAATAAAAGAATTGTAATCAGCTTTAATTCGTTTAAAGAGAGAGGTTTAAGAATTTTGTTAAGAAAAAGATTTAGCTAAAAGAGAACATCAAATTATTCAATCAGGATTACAAAAAGATATTAATATTCTTTAAGAATAATTACTTGAAGCTTAAACAAAATTATAATAATTTGATAGAGAATTGAGATTGAAAAATGATGAATTATAGACAATTAATCAAGAAAATGATAGATTAAGAGTATAAAATAAATAAAAAATTTAAAATGAATAATTAGTAGATGAATTATAGACAAATTTAACAATTAAAAATAAAATGTTGGATGATAAAAATGATACAATAGATGAATTAAAATAATAATTAAATTAATTAAGAAATTAAGAGGGTAATGCTTCAGATGACTATTTAAAATTATAGAAAAAGTATGATAGATAAACATAAATTATTGATGAATTAGAAAATTAATTATAACAAATATAAGAAGAATATGATTAAAAAAATAAAGATTTAAAAGATAAAAAATAATTGATTTCTATGTTTGAAAAAGAGATTGAAGAAATAGAAATTAAATAAGATAGAGAAATTAATGGATTAAAATTAGAAATGTAAGAAAAAGAGAGTTAATTATAAGAATTAGTTAAAATGTTGAATAATGCAAAGGAAGAATTAATAAAAAAAGATGAAAAAATTAGAGAACTCTTAGTTTAATATTAAAATATAGAGAAATAACTCTTTGTAATTGATAAATAAAATGAAATTACAATAAAATAAAAGGATAAATAAATAGTTGAAATGAGGTCTTAATTATAGCAAATTTAGGAGGAATTGAATTTGATGATTTAGGAAAATATCTAATTGAAAACTAAAGCCAGAGAGAATTTATAAAATTTGCACAAATTATTTTAATAATGATAGTCGTTTTTGATTTTTAATTAAATAAAATAATGAAAAGTACTTTAATTGCTTGTCTTGTCTTGAGTGTTTTTTGTGTTGAAATATCTCTCAACAATGTTGCCACAACATAAGCACTTGAGAAATTAAAAGAATCTTAATGGGCATCATTTATAGTTGATTTTGCTGAAGTGGAGTTATCAAGTGGTGGTGCACTTACAGAATTAGTAGAAGCTATTAATCAATTAATTGAATAATTAGAAGAGGAATTAGATGATATTAATCATGCCTATTCCAAAAGAACAGATGAGCATAATCGTGATGTGACTAGATTAGAATAAGAGATTTAAGATGCTGATAGAGGTATTGTATTTTCATTTAATCTTTTTATTAGATATCTTTAATGGTGAAGATTTTATTGATAATGTTCTTATTCCTTAAAAAGAGAGATTTTAATCTGCTTTAGCATAATTGAAAACAAACATTGAAGAAAACAGAAGAGTCCTTGATGGAGAAACTGTTAATAGAAAGAAATAGCATGAATAATTTTTATCTAATATTGCTGAAATCAATGAAGCTATTGGTGCTGTTGATGAATCTCTAGGATTATTATCATAGATTGCAAATCCATCACTTGTTTAATTCAAGAGAGTCTAAACAAATCTTAATAGAATTTAAACATCATTCTAAAATCATTCATCATTTGCACCAATCATTAGAGCACTCCTTGAATTAGCAACTGAATAAAATTTCGCTGATTAAGGTTCTCTTTAATAAGTAAAATATTCAATTTATTATAGCTTGTTAAAATCTTTAATGAATTAAGAGTCTAATTTGTTGATTCACTTAATCAAGAGACTGCTGATGAAAATGCTGCAGAAACTAAATTTGCAGAAAGAGTTACTTAATTAGAAAAAGAATTTGCTGAATTCTAAAGAGCAGTTATGATCAAGAACTCAGAATTAGCTGCTAATGAATGTATTTAAATTTAATAAAATATATAGAAAAACTAGGAGAAACCATAGTCTATGTAGGATAAAGAAAAGATGATAGAGCAACCCTCTAAGCTTAATTATAAGCAGAAAATGATAACTATGCTTCTGAAACTGATTTATATAATAGAACTGTCACTGAATACAATAAAGAAATTGAAATTAGTAAGTAGGCTCTTGGTTTATTAACTTAACCCAGTTTCGAATAATACGTTAAATCAAAAGTAGGAATTTGATTAATTATTATATTATATATTCAGTTCATAAATTTAATTTCTATAAGTCTTTTTCTTGATAATTATACAATTATCAGATATACATTTTTATTATAAAATTTCATTCTATCTTTATAAATATTTAAATTAAACAGAGATAACTGGATTATAGTATATACACTTATAATAATAATTTTTATATTTATCTTGTAACTTAATGCAATCAGATCCATACAATTGGCCATTTCCAAATAGAAATGATTTAATGAATCTATCTACCATAAGTATGAGTAATTGAATAAATGAGAAAATTAAAAGAGAGAGTTTATTTATGATAATAGAGCATAATCAACTATGTCAATAGAAGGCATTGATGGAGCTGCTCCTAAATTAAAGCCTTATCAATATATCAATAAAGAATAATTTTGCAATAGAGATGATGATATTCCAGGAACTAAATCTAGACCTTTAATCAGATATACAAACAGATCAGATAATCAATTAATGATTGATGATATTAAAGGAACACGTCCATAAATCTGTAAATTTTAGACTAATCGATAACCAATCGATCCCCTTGAACCAATTTACAAAATTCCCTCTTATGAATAGGCTGAACCTTATAATCCTAAATTTATTAGAGATAGCTATAATGTCACTGATATTGAAGGAACTTAACCATCAATAATTAATCCAAGATTAAAAAAATAGCCAATCCCTTTGCCTGAAATTGAAGGCTCACATTCAAAATAATTACATGTGTAAAAAGGTATAAGTCTTTCTTTTACTAAATTTCTAGATGGTGTTAATTCCCTATTAGTCAAAGATATCAACAATGATATGATACATAAATACATAAGAAATACAAATCCAATTGAACCAGTCTATACTCATAGAGATGAAGATGGGTATTAAGAATTCTTAATTTAGAAAGAAAATCGAAATAGGTTTTGTTGAAGGCAGTAAAACAAAGTAACTGCATCCAATAACTATAAATAAAAGTGCATCCTCTACTCTAGTTACCTAAGATATTATTGGTGCATAAGCAGGATCTCATTCTTAACATTTCTTAAGATCCAGTGATAGAAAAGATTATAGATAAATTAATAATGTCTAAGACATTGAAGGTGTATAAGCAGGATCACTTAAAAAGGGAATTGTGAGTAAAAGATATACAAATCCTTTGATGCCAGCCTACTAAATGCCTGGAAATGCTGAAATATAGTAATATTATCTTTAATTTTAAGTTCCACCTAACCAAAAAGTGTTTTCTCAAAGAATGCCAGTAATTAAATGTTTACTAATGCTTAAAAAATGGATAAATTTTTATCACTAGGATGAAGATAAATTCTAGATTTAATTATAAAAAATATTGTTTTAAAAAATTAAATTAATAGTGTTATTTATAGAAATTGTTAATCTAGTATGTATAATATCATTTCAAATGTTTTCTTTGAAAAGTCTGCCTATAGAAGTTTAACTTGCTTTAATGTCAATATTTTCTTTATACAATGATGATTTTCTAACTTCAAAATAAGTTGATTCCTATTATATATTTATTTAATGATATTACTTTAATATTCTTAATCTCTAATCCTCTCTTATTAAATGCTTCGAATTCAGCTTAAACCATCATCAAATCTTCTTAAACTCTATGATAATCTCTATTTAAAATAACAAATTTCTCTTTCCACATTTCCACTTCATTTTAAAGATAATTAATTTTCTCCTCTAAATTCAATTATTATCTTTAATTTGTTTATTCAACCATTTATAATTATTTATCTAATTCTACTAATTACATTTATTTAACTTTAATATCTTCTAATAAAGTTTCAAGTTTAAATTTAAGAGTATTTTCAATTTCATTTTTATTATCTAATTCTTATTATAAATTTTTTTATTGTTGATTAGTCTATTCATTTAGATATCTTAATTGTGATTCCACCTCTTATAAGTGTGATATCTAAACTTAACAAAATTAGTTTTTCTTATTTAATTCTTCATTTAATTCTGCATATTATTTTACATCTGATTCTAATGTTTAACATTAAATATTTAAATCTTAAATTATAACCTTAAATTATTCTATTTATTTATCCTAAACTTCTTATAATTATTATTTATTTTCAATGACTTATGTTGATTATTCATTCAATTTTTTAACTTCTTCAAATTATTAATCCAATTTATCTTTTAAATTTTTATTTTCACCTTGAAGTCTTTATACTTCTAAACTTTGCAATAATAATTACTCTTACAATTCTTAATTACCATTTACAATTTATTCTTCTGTTCTTTTTGATTATTATAAACATTCCTATAATTAATTAATTTCTTCTTTTAATTAGATTACACTGTCTTCTACACTTTCTTTTTCTTATAAAATATCTGAAATCTATTTTTATTATATCTACACTTATTCAGATAACTTTTGAGTTTCTAAATTTTAATCATCAAATTATTATTTCTATCCTTACAGATCATTAGCTAAATTCTATTTTGATTGATCTAATTCTTCAATTTTATCATTCAATTATTTTATAGTTTCTAATAGTTAATTATTATTTTCTATTTCTTTATTAAAATCATTTTAGATTGATTTTTCTTTAGCAAACCTTAACTATATTTCCTTTTTTAATTCTTCATTAATAATCAAGTAATTATATAATTCTTTATTATTATACTCAGCAATTTAAGCAAATTGTTATGTTATTTCATATTACAACAGTTCTATTTTATTCTCTTTATCATTGATTTTAGTAGTAAGATTAACAACTTAATCATTTAAAGAATTTATTAAATTATCCTTATCTTCAACTTTCTATATGGTATTATATAATTCTTATTATAAATGATGTAATTGTTCATTATTTTGTTATTTATGTTCATCTGCTTAACTTTATAATTAGAATTCTAATTGTTTTGTCTGATTCTCTATTGAATTTATGAGATTAGCATTTTTTTAATCATTTAACAATACTAATTCATTCAAATGATTATTCTATTCTAATAGATCTTATAATTGTTATTGTAAATCTAAAACTTTGTTATTTAAATCTTAATTTTGATTTTCAAATTCAGCTAATTTTTATATATTTTGAGCATCAAGATTTTGATCCTATTATACCTTTTATTCCAAAAGATCAAGATTTTCTTTATAATTAGAGATTAATGAATCTTTTTATTATAATAATTGTTAATTTTGTATATCTTTTTATGATATTTCTTATTTCAATTAATGAATAACATTATTTGATGTAATATATTCTTATTCATATTATTTAATTTTATCTAATAAAATAGAAATTTGAGAATTTCTCTCTTCAATTACATTTTCTCCAACTTACAGCTACTTTTCATAATCTTATATTCTATATTCTTAGGTTGATAATTATTCATCTTTATCTTGAATTATAAATTATTATCTTTCCATATCCTATTATAATTTTGTATGATTGGCATCTAAATTTTGATGCTATTATGTTATTATTTTAATTTTATCTTCTTAATTTTGACATTTAGATTTAAGATTATAAATTTCAGTATTTAGATGTTAGACTTCTTATTAATGATTCTTTTAAGTTTCTTCTAGCAATTTTCTCATACTCTCTATTTCAATTGCTGTACTCATCCAAGTTTATTATTCACTATCATACTTATCAATTTAATGTTCTAACTCATATATACGTTAATTTAATTTATTATTATCTTATGTTAATTGTTCTATGAGATTTTCCTTAATTTATTTTAATTTAATTTACATGTCCTTAACATTTCTTATCAGTACAAAGTACAACAGTTCTTGTTTCAATAGCTGGTCTATATGTTGTAGTTGTAATAGTAGCTTTTGGTCTAGTTTAACAAGTTGTGATTTTGGCCAATCTACTACATGAATCTTAGCGTGTATCTCTAGGAGGAGAACTAATAAAACGAGTAGTAGCAATAGTTTGTGTTTGTAAAATCTTAGGAGATTGTGGTCTCATTTAGTTTTTAATATTATTCGTTAAAATTATTAATAATTTTAATACAGTTAAATGAATCAAGCTCAAATAATTCATTAAGTGTAGCAAGTATTCAATAAGTTATCCTAAAATCATTTATAACCTATGAGTAAAGAAACTATTATTAGATTTTTGGATTAGCAATCAAATAAAATGTATGACAGAGTTTTATTTGAATAACTTTATACAAGAATGTAGAAAACTGATAATGGTTAAATTACAATAAATGATTTCATTTAAATATTAATGGAAGCATTATAATCATTAAAAAATAAAATATCTATTTTAGAATAATAAGTTGCATAAAAATAACTAAAATTAGATGATGATCAATTGCATTTATAGTAATTATAAACTATTGAAGAATATAATTCTTATAAAATATGTAAAGGAAGCAAAGTTAGAATTACAATTATTGATGCTAAAATTTAATTTCCAGGAAATACTAGAGTGGCAATCATTTTAGGTTGTGATGATACTAAATACTCCACCAAACCAACAATTAGATAAAATCCTATTTGGAATGAAAAATTTGAATTTAATATTAATACTGGAGAAGAGGAAATCTATATTGTAATATTGGATGAAGAATTAATAGAGAAGCAAGAAATTGGAGGATAAGCAAAACTTAATTTAAAAGAGTTTTATGATTAAAAACCTCATGATATTAAATTGGAATTAAAGGATAAGTATGGTGTTGTTCTTTATTCCATCATTAATCTAAGAGTTTAATGGATACATTCATAAGTATTTTTAGACTTTATTTTAGACTAAATATTTCAAAGAATCTATCAAAGAAAATTAATAAGTCATTGATGATTTAAGTTAAGATATTAATGAATATAAAAGTGATATACTTTAACTCTTCTATCCTTTTGATGAAAAACATCAAAATTAACCAAATGAAAGATATCTTGCAACTGAACAATCAACTATATAATAAATCCATGATTTTCATTTTTATGATACTTCTCAAGCATAACTTTGGGTTAAATTAGCATTAGCTTTAACATTGATTTAATTCATTTTAATATTAATTGCTAATCTATTTAAGACACAATTTTTAGATGTAAAATACTTCTTTAATAATAGTTAATAGTATTATTTTATAGCTTATACTATTATATGAATAATAATAAGTTACTATCATTATTACACTTTAAAATTATTTCAGCTATGATTATTGTAACTATTATTTTCGATATCATTTGGTTTGTTATTTACACTAATCCTTGGACAACTAATAGTGTTCTCTTTTTTTAATTGGAACATAGTTTTTAAATGTATGAAGTAATTATATCATACATTTTACTTGGTATCAAAGTAATATATATTTTGTTTTATTTAGGTGATTCTAATAAGTATATATGCTAATTTATATTTTATGTGTCCAGATAAAAGAACAAATATTTATGATGCTCAATATGAAATCATATTTGGACAAAGAAGTATAGAAAATGAGGATCAAGATTCTTATAGCTTCAGAAATACGAATCATTATCTGCATTAATCATTTTCTAAAAATTTCTGATAATTTTGAATATAAACTTAAATTTTAAGTTATATTAATTAATAAATATCTTAAAATCTTATAATAAATTATAGAAATTATTAAAATGAATTATAAGGTTTTTGTTAAAATCATTTATTTTATTAAATATTTTTATATTTTTAGAGTTGCCAAAATTATCTTTTGAATTACATCATCAAAATTATTATATTCTAAATATTATATCTTTAATTTAGAAACTAATTAGATCAAGATATTTTAGAGAAAATTTGTATTTTTAAGAATTACATTTTATTATTACAAATATATATTAACAATATTAATGAAAATACATGTGATTTTACAATTATTTGTCCTTTGTAAATGTATCAAATTTTCATTGACTGTCAGATGTGCTTGTAATGAATATGATGAGGAATACTGTATCTCTAGAAATTATTGTTCTTGGAATGGATCTTCTTGTATAGATTTATAATGCCAATATCAAAAAGAAGAATATTGTAATACTGATATGACAGAATATCAATGTAAATGGAATGAAACTTTAAAAGTTTGCTAAAGTTATTCTTATTAATGCAGTGAATTAAAAATGGATGAGTGTTAAAATTCTATGTATTACTTAGATTGCTTTTGGTTTATTAATTAATGCGTACCGCATGAATGTAAAGACCATATTGACTGCAATCCCGATTAATGTTCATCATCACCATAAGGTTGTGCACATAAAGTTGATAATTTAAATTGCTCATCTTATACTCAAGATATATGCATAAAGTATGATGGATATGGAAGTGGTTGTGCTTATAGTATTATGAATGGTTGTTTTGATCTTAGATCTTCCTGTTAAGATTATAGTGAGAGTATATCTTTTTGTAATACAATGTGTTATTATGATATCCATTCATAATAATGTATTCCTTAAGAGTGTAGTTAAATAACTGTTAAATCCAAATGTAAAAGTTTTATATCTGAAATTCCAAATTAATAATTTATTCCTTGTAAATGGTCAAATGGATAATGTAAAGAATTAGATATAGAAGATTATAAAGACATTGATCTAAATAAATGTAAAATCTATTCAATTAATTCTTTTTGGCAAGATTCTACATTGACATGTAAATTATGCAATTCTTTTGTAAGTCACCCAAAATATAATTAAAAATAAAGAAAAAATGTTACTAAGAATAATAATCAGAGTGCATTAAATGATACATAGGATATATTAGAAAATCAATAAAACTAATAGAATGGTATTTATATTTTGTAATTATTGCTGATATCATATGTTTTTATAATTTGATTCAAATATGTGTCTCATTTTTTTTGATTTCTAGTCATTTAAATTATTATAAAAAATATTAAAATATGATAACATACAACATTATATGAATATAATTGTTTTTGATCCTACAATAAAATAAGCTTAATTTAATCAAAATGATCTCATAATATTAAAAAAATACTTATTTATATAATAATTAGTAAATAAAACTAACTATATTTTAAATTACCATATAGATTTAGAGTTTATTATAGTGAATTTAAACTAAAATAATTAAAGATTACAAGCTTAGATAAATTCTGTTTTACCATTCTTAGAGATTAAATACTATAATCTATTATATATATATAGAAAATAAGAGTTAATAAAAAAATATTTCAATTTTATTTAAAAATTTCTTAAAATATTAGTAAGAAATAGTATGGGTTATTGGTGTTGTTATTTTATGTATGCATTATTCTGAGTCTAAACAATTTATAATAAATATTTGGATGTACAAATACATGTTAGAAATAATTGATTAAGAAATAATTGAGATTTGTTAAATATTTAAAAAAATAGATATTTATATTTGATTGCATGAGCAGAAAAGAATAAGACATTAAGAGATTGATTGCTTCACAAGTAAAAATGTTATGTATATGATTTCTTTTAGTGCCACATTGGAACAAAGCAACTCCAATTTGATATGAAGAGATATGTATCACATAGAAGTGATAATGGTGCATACATTCTCAATTTAGAAGAAACCTGGTAGCACATTAAATTGGCTGCCAGAGTTATTGCAGCAGTTGAATAACCTCAAGATGTCATGGTATAATAAATAATGAGTATTTAAGGTTGTCTCATCAAGACCAATTGGATAAAGAGCAGTCATTAAATTCGCTCACTATACTCATGCTAGCTCAACTAGATCATCAAGATGGACACCAGGAACATTGACAAATCAATCCAACAGTGCCAGTGGAAAATTCCAAGAACCATAATTATTGATTGTCACAGATCCACATTTGGTACATATTTCCATTAAAATTTTCTTAGGATAAATAAGCCATTGTTGAAGCATCTTACGTCAACATTCCAGTTATTGCTTTATGCAATTCAGATAACCTCTTATAATATGTTGATATCCCAATTCCAGTTGGAAACAGAGAAACAAAGGCAATTTCAATGATCTATTGGTTATTGGCCAGAGAAGTCAAGATTTTAAGAGGTGAATTAAGATAAGGTAATGATAATAAGCCATAATTATAGATGAAGAATGGGATGTCTTGGTTGATTTGTTCTATCACAAGGAAATTACCAATGATTAATTGGGTGTTACAGATAACTAAGTCAAATAAGAAGGTGATGGTGAAGAATAAGAACAATAAGGTGATGCAGAGAAAGCTGATAAAGATTGGTGATAAAATATATTATAATTATGTAAAGTACATGTATGTCAATTTGGTTATTTTTATATATAAATTATATTTAATAATTTTATTAATGAGTAATGCATTTAAGTCTGCTGCAGGAAATACATTATCTAAGAATGACTTAGGCTAAACTGGATAGAGTTTTGGAGGATCTCAAAATCCAGCATCTTTGAAGGGCAAACTTATGAGTTTAGAGGTAGACTGATTTATTCAATTAAAGGAAACAATCAAAGGAATTTAAGATGAAATGAATTTTCATAAGAAAGAAGTTCAAATACTCAAATCAGAAAAGGACACTTTAGAATCTGTTTTGAGTATGAAAACCTAAGATGTTAAAAAAACACTTACAAATGAACTAATGAGAATAGAAGAGGAAATGAAAAGGTATTCTGTCTCATTTTCATATATTAGACATTTTGCTCATTAAAAGGCTGAAAATTCAAGATTATAATAATAAATAACTGCTTTGAAAGGTGAAAAGACTGCACTTTAATAATAATTACTTGGTCTCTAAAGAAGAATAGCTGAATTAGAATTATAAGTAGGTTAAGAGCAAGGTTGAAATATTATGACAGATAAAATATTATGATATAAACAACCTTTGTTATAATAAATTCAAATGCTTTCATATTACCTATTGATATGTGAATCCTTCGAAATATTCATTTGATATTGATTCTGGAGTTTCCATTATAGGTTATTATAAGAAAGCAGGAGCGAAATTAGATAAATCTTAAACATGTTATATTTTTGGAATAATAGGTGGTTATAATTTGCGCTACTCTACCAATTTCCAATCAATTCCATTAAAAAAATTATGCTTTTTTATTTCTTAAATTCCATTTGATCCTAATCTCAATCCTGGCTAATCATAGTTTATTTTTTTTATACATCTTTTGTTAATAATCCTTTCAATAATGATGCTGCATAAAATGAAAAACAAGATTTCATTTCAAGAGGTTTCTCACATCGATTTTTTAGCATTTCTCTTTTATCTTTTGAATAATATGGAGGAGTTCCACAAAGCATCTCATATATCATTGCACCATAACTATAAAAGTCAACAACAAATGTGTGTCCCCTTTCTATATAAATATAATTAAATTTATACGATATAGAATTTCTGGGGCTACATATTCTGGTGTTCCACAAAATGAATAAGTCATTTCATTTCTTTCAAATCCCAATTTTGATAATCCAAAATCTGTTAATACTATATGTCCACTCTTGTCCAATAATATATTTTCTGGTTTTAAATCTCTATATATAATATTAGATTAATGAAGTATATCTATTGCAACCAATAATTCAGCAGCATAGAATTAAACCCAGTCCTCTGGAAACTTGAATCTCTTCCTAAGATGTAGAAAGAGTTCACCTCCTTACATAAAGTCCATAACCATGTAAAGACGTGAAGGACTTTAAAATGCATAATGTAATTTCACCATAAAAGGACTATTTATTAATGACATGATTTTCCTTTCTTTAATAGCTTAATCTTGCTATTTCTTCTTAGAAAGCATTTTTTTCCTTAAGATTTTGACTGCAAATAATTATTAATCATCACGCTTTTTAATAAGTAATACTTTTCCAAATGATCCTCTACCAATAACTTTAATTAAATCAAAATCTTCTAATTTTAACTTTGGATTGGAATTAGTACTCTCACCTTCAATTGGTAATTATGTAGTTTCTCCAATTTTTTCATTTTCATCGTCTTCTTCTGGCATTTCATCTTTAAAACTTGGAATTTTTGATGTATATTCTGCTGGCTTATTTTAACACATACCCATTAATAAATATATTTATAAATAAATTTCTAAATTTATTTTCTATTTCTCTGATATTATAATATATATTTATTTTATGGCATATGATTTAATTAAGAATATATATATTTACGTATTAATATTGATTTAATAATTGTATAACTATTATTACTTTGTTTATATACTTATCAATATAATAATATTTTATTTTTTAAATATTAATTCCTTTTTCAAAATTACAAATGAACCAAGATCCTAATGAAAAGGATATGATAGGAGATCTTTTAGATGGTATCTTAATTTTCTCCAAAGTTTAGATAGTTTTGAAAATGTCACCAAAATCAAAAAATCATTTACTTCAAATAGACCTACTGCTCTATAAATTAATTAGAATCATAATTAATCTCCAATATATTATCCAAAAGTATATTCTCCTCAAGTGCAACAAAAACAAAAGTTTTTTTATCTTTAATAGTTTAGTTCTTATGATTTAGATTTAAGACTCACCAAAGTCCTTGTATAATAAAGTGCACCTAATTCAGCATTAATACCAAAATCTTATGATTATGTACCACAATTTAATCTAGACGATGATAATTCCTTAGAGGGAGATTTAGTATCTAATTACACTTCTATTTAAGATATCTAAATGTAAAGATTAAAACGGGGCTAGAAACATTCAAAAAGCTTTTTAAGAAGGTTCTTAGACAATCAAAGAATAAATTTTTAATAAATTAGAAAAGGGGTTATTGTCTCTTTCAAAAGATGTCTTTGGAAATTATGTAATTTAAAATCTTCTTGAATATGGTAATATATTTGTTAATAAGAGGAACTTCAATTCAATAATAAAAAATACTAAGCATTTTATAACCTCACTCTTCATAATTAGCATTTCATTAATATGGATGTAGAGTTCTATAAAAATTATTATAAAATGCATATAATACAACAGATTTTCCAATATTATTTGATACTATAAAAAATAAAGTTAGAGATTTAGTAATTGATTAACATGGAAATCATGTAGTTTAAAAATTAATACAATTAATGGAGAGTGATATAAGTTTATGGGTATTAGATGGAATTGAAGGATAAGTTAATAAACTTGTGATAAATTCATTTGGTTGTAGAATAATTTAAAAAGCTGTCTCAATTTCTAATAATCATCCTGATAGATAAATGAAAATTTTAATTGAAATAGTGAGGTTAGCTTATGAACTCATTATATCTCAATATGGAAATTATATAATTTAATAGCTATTAAAGGAAGGACCTCTTATTATCAAAAATATCATTTAATAAATTATAATGGAAAAATTAGAAGAATATAGTTTAAATAAATTTGGAAGGTTATTATTAATATAATAATTTTAGTAATGTAGTTGATTGTGCTATAAAATGTTCTGATAATTAATTTAAATTAAAAATTATGGAATTGTTACTTAGTCATAATAATTAATAAGTTTTATTTGTAAGATTATCAACTAATGCATATGGTAATTACGTTGTTTAAAATTTTTTTAAATGTGCTGATATAGAAATACAAAAAGAATTATATTTAAAAATTACTAATAATTAATAACTCTTATAAGAAATACAATAATATAAATTTGGTAACTTATAAATTAATATCTTTCAAGGTCAATTTGTTTATTAAATGTTGACTTAGAAATTAGAACTAGAAAACTTCAATTTATGATCTGTGTTTATGATTTGTTTATATATGTAAATTGTAATATTTTTAGAACACCACCAAAAATATATTTTATAATTAAATATGTAAAAAACTCAGCCAGTTAGCAGAGATTCTTAGATCTTTGAGACCTTAAATTATAAAGATGGTATAAGATGATATATTCAATTTCTAGATTCAATTCAAGTGTAAGATCTAGATTTTTTTGGACCTTGGCATAAATAAAACAATTCAATATAATAATAAATTGCTTAGATTAGAAAAACTTATACATCCTCAACTAATCATATTCAGAATGAAATAATAGAAAGACCCGAAACTCAAAATTCGTAGGTTAGAATGATAAATACCTCATTTCCTAATAAAAGAAGAAAAACCAGAAAAATATCAATTGATTAATCTAGTTAATTTATTGAAAAACCTAAATATAATGAATCTCGTTAAGTATAAAAAATTATTTAAGATTTCTTTGTTGATGAAAATAAGGAGAAGAAAAAAAAGTAAAGAAACTATGCTTTTTTTATCCCTTAAGCTTCAAAATCTAATAATAATACAAAATGCAATGGTTCTTCTTTTTAAACAACTCAAGCATATTTTGATGTAAATTTCTTCATTAAACTAAGAGAAAATAGCTCTAAAAATGTTAAAATTGATGCCTAATCTATAGAAATCACCATCAAAATCGATTAAAACCTTAAAAAATGTAAACCTCAAATAAAAACTTATTCTTGATTTACCATTAGCTACAAAAAGTTATTTTCCACCTTAATTATTAATTAACACTACGAAAACTAAGTAAGTCACTCCATAAAATTTGAATTCTTCTCAAAATAAAACTTAGATCAAAAATTTAAATTTCCTTGCGAAAACAGGTAAGGGTCCTGTCTGGAAAGTTAATAATTATGCTAGTATATGATTAAGTAATATGATGAACACAAAATATAATAAATTTTATTTCTATCATTAACTTAAAAAATTAATATATATTTAATGATTTTATTTATTTATTTAAACTCAAAAAGATCTGAAATTTTTATCTATTTTGATACATGCATCTTCCAATAATTTTAATAAAGCTTCTGTTGTAGCTTCTCTTTCTCTTCTCTCAAGATTAATATCTTATTATAATTTTCCATGAACATCCTCTATCATTCTAAAGATTTTCCCTTGAGTTTCTTCTCTAACTTTCTTTTCAATTAATAGTTAATCTGAAAATTTATTAATTTCAGAATCTATTTATTCAGATAAAGATTCAGATGATTCTTCTCTATAAAATAATTATTATTATTACCTTGATCTCCTTTCTTAATCTAATTAATTTTTTACTAATTATACTTATTGTAAGACTTCAGCAATTTTAACTTAACTCCTATCTTCATATTAATGAGTATTCCTTGTGATTGTGAGAGTGATTTATTAGAATCTTTCATCAATTTATTTTTATAGTTTTGTTTCAGCTTATCCTCTGCTATTTCTTTCTTGATCAAAAGATATAGCTACATTATCGGATAGAGTTCTAAAATCTTTTTCTTTTTTATCATCAAAGGCCTTAAATTTATAAATTTAATGATATACTTCTCTTTCAGATTTTTGATTGTGAGCATAATCTTGAAGTTTTAATACTTGATCCTTAAGGATTTTAAATCTTTATTCATCCTTAGGTTTTTCAGAAGAGAGAACATCTTCAATAATTTTAATTCTTTCCTCGAGAACTTCTCTCTTTTCTAATTTATCTTTATCTATTCCATTTTGGATATGATTCCATTTATCAGATAATAACTTAATTCTTTATCTGGATGGAGAATCGAGGTCTTATTAAAGATAATTAACAGTAGATCTTTAAGGACTCTATAATTAGGACTTTCCTAGTTTTGAAGTTGACAATTTAGATGTAGATAAAAGCATCCTACTTTTTTGATTTTTAGAAATAAATTTATTTACGATTTAATCAAAAAATTTTAAATACCTAGTTAAACTATGCAATAAATAGATTAGAGATTGAGCTAGGCATTTCCTCCAAACTCTTAAAGTAACACTAGTTACATTGCTGAAATACATAGTGTATTAGCAAATGTTAAGATAGATGACATAGGATTTAAAGATATTAAATTTAGAACTATTCAAACTAAGAGAGATATTGCTTAACTTAAATTATTGCAATAAGAATGGTTCCCTATTAATTACAGTGAACAATTTTATTTAGCTATTTTGAATGGGTTTACTTCCTCTCTTATAGCAGAAATAGAAATTAAATTCCCAACAGGAAGAAAGGAAAAATACATTATTGGAGCAATGATTTATTAATCACGTCAGAGTAAATCAAAATATCAATAGACTCAGACATGGAAATAATGGTTTTGTTCATTGTTTTAAACGAAAAATGCTCTATACATAATGACAATAGGAGTTATCAATGAGTTTAGGGGAAGAGGAATTGCAGAATATATGATTGAATAGTTAAAAAAGAGAGTATTAGAGTCCAATAAGACACTTTCTTATATCTATCTGGACATGGTTGTTTATAATGAGGTTGCAGCTAGATTTTATTAAAAGAATGGGTTCAATAGAGTTAGAATTAAGAAAAACCATTATGAAATAGAAAATTAATAATTCGATGCATATGTATATGTCTGGTTACCTAATTGAATTCATATATAATTGTTTATATTAATATAATAAAGAAATTAAGAATAAAAATATGTATTAAGATTCTGAACATGATTTTATAAGAAGAAAATATTGGTGGCATTTATTATTGTTAATGTTGACATTTTCTATTATTGCCTTAATTCTTATATTAGATATTAACTGTTTAAAAATAGAGAAAGATCATAAATAACTAATATATACAATTCTAGAAATTATTTTTTGCCTATTAGTTTTTATATTGGCATGTATGGAATTAAGATATTTTTATAAAGTTAAACAAAATAATTTTACTTTCACATATACATCTATAATATCATAAAAATGTTTGAAGATTTTAATTTTTTGTTTAGTTATAATCTATTTGACAAATCTAACATTAACAATTATTTATGTTGTTGAATTATTGAATGATAAATATAAAAAAGATTGTTATTACTTTGGATTGAAAAGCAAAACAATATAATTGATTTTTACTGTGATTATTATATTTGGTTAGTTAATTATGATGCTTATTCCATTAAAAATTAAAAAAACATTAATTTTGTTAACAAATTAGAAAGAAAATTTGGTCTAGGACATTTTTGAATGTGACTTTCTTGAGTATAATATTTAGAAATATCAATAGCATAACACCAAATGATGGTAATTTTTGTATAACTAAGGCTCAAAACAAATAATAGATTTAGTATTTCTCTTCATCTAGGCTTAATAAATTCATGTGTAAAATTTGCATTTCTAAAATAAAAAATAATTAAAGTGTTATAAAAATCAGTTGTTAACATATATTTCATGAATAATGTTTCAAAAAATATGCTATGAGTTTTATGAAATAATAATCTTTTATATTAACTTGTAAAATATGTAATGAAGGTGTAGATGTTGATAAATAAGAACTATATTTAATTAAAGAGGTAAAAAGCAAAGTTTAATATAAAAATTGAATATTAAATTTTATATTTTGTTTATAAAATCATTACGCAATCAAGCTGAATGCTATAATCTCTGCAGAATCCTAAGGTAAGAAAAATTATAGAGGATGTTATTGGAGGTTGTGATTAATAGACAGCTACTGTTCTTGATATGTCTTTTGTACATCTTTACACTTGTGAAGAAGGAAAACATAAATTTCATCATTGTAGAGTAGAAGGAATTTTAGTATTTTTGATTGATAGAAGGGAAGGAAAAGTACTTAATATTTTAATTCAATAGGCATTTTATTTAAGAATACTTCATCCAGCTTCATTAGAAGTTAGATTCTCTGTCGAACTATATTTTGGATTTATTGATAGTTGGGCTCCAGTAAGAGGATTTACTAATTTTTATGCATTCCCATTTAGCAAAGGATTTGTTGGGATGCTTTTTATAAATGAATAAGAAGCATAAAGGGTTACATAAAAAATTAAATAATATGCCCCAACCAAAAAAGATCTTGAAAAACTGAACTTGTAGATTAAAGAAGAGGAAAAGCTTTTAAAGGCTTATTAACAACAAGAAAAAGAAAAAGACACATTTTCTTATTAATTTAAAGCATTTTTTGGTAAAGAAAAAGTTGAAAAAGTATAAAATAAAAATTAATTATTAAGCCAATTTAAATTGGGACACCATAAAATGTTAAAAGAAATACCCTTTCTTTGAATATAGAAACTGGTGAAATTGATATTGACAAATTGCCACCTGTATTAATAGAAGTCTTTTTAAATGCAGGAATTACAAAAAAAGATCTTCAAGATAAAGCCAAAGCAAAAGAGATTTTTAAAACAGTAGCTAGATTTAGTGAAAGATCTTAATTAAATACAGTATCTTAATTTTATCTATCTAGCCAATTCAATCAAATTAGTAAAATAAAAATTAGACAAAACCATAATAATAATAAGTGACAAATCAACCTTCTCAAAAATCAAATCCAGTTTAACCATAATAATAATAAAATAAGCCTTAAACAATAAGTACAAATAAAGGTGCACCTCCTCCACCGCCTCCACCACCTCCACCTCCACCTCCTCCACCACCTCCTCCCCCACCTCCTCCTCCTCCTCCTATTCGTTAAGGTGGCAACAAACCTGTGGTATCATAGCCTCCCTCTCAAACATAACAGTAAAAACCATAAAGCCAAGCTTAAAATTAATTAACAAACCCTCCTACTTAAACTTAATAAAAACCATAACCTCATTCTATTTTAAAGAGCTAGGCTGATTAAAAAAATCTAGCTAAAGAAATTGAAAATTCAACTGGTTATAAAGTTTAAGGTCATGATATTAAGATGGATATTGGTAATATGAATGCTAAGGAGAAGGAGGATCTATCAATTATGCTTGAGGTTAATGTGAAAAATAGAAGAATAACTTAATTTGCAAAAAGAAAGAGTAGTGATGAAAGTGGTTGGAGTGATGATTGAATTAATTTAAAACTTAATTTCATTTGTAACAATATAATCCATTTATATAACTTCAATAAAATCTATAATTATAAGTAATTAATCACATATTTTGATATAAATTGGTTATGTAGTTTTCATATTAGTTTTATTATATATTAAGCTTATTTGCTGTATCATATAAAGCTATAATTAAAGCTTATTATACTTATTATTTTTTGGGAAATTTGTTTTTTAAAAAAGCAGCTATTTTAAAGAATTAATTTTTTTTATCAGCTTCTGTTTTATGAAACATTGTTGAAGTTAATTACATTGATTCCTCCATTCTAGGAGTTAAATTTCCTATTTTGCTTTTTTCTATTAAACTTGTTTCTGTAATTGGAGAAAGAGATTATCTATTTGTTTATTTAAATTTGGATTAAAAATTATCTTTAAGTGATTAATGAATATTATTTTGAACATTTTCAAAAGGGTTCCTATATCTATTCAATTAATTATCATGAACTTAAAGCTTTTTTTACAATCCTCCTTCATTTGCCAAGGAGGTTGCAATAGATTCTTTAAGATGATTGATCACATTATTTTGATTGCTTTACAAAATTCTAGCTTTTCTTTCTGAAAATTGCATTATCTTGCTTATAATAGTCAAAATTTATTGGATGACTTATTCAATAGCTATATCTTATTATTGATTTTCAAAGTATTATTGAAATAAATCTAAATCATCTAAGGATTGTGAAACCACATTATAATCTGAGGCAAAAATGATATTACTACAGCATTTCCATAACATTTATAAATATTAAATGATATATTATTAATCAGATGAATAGGTTTTTAACATCTTTTTGATTTTATTTATAAGAAAATTACATTTTTATAATTTAGCTTGCAAAGAATCTACTTATTCATATTTATCACATTCTCCATTACAATTTTGAGTATGAATGTTAATTTATTCTAATGGAACATAACTTTCACAACTCATACAAAAAACATCTTAAATTTAATTAAGTATTTCTTCAAAATTGAAATATTATTCATTAGATTTATTTCCATATTTTCTTACTAAGTATTAATGTGTAGTAGTTCGATTTATTGTCTTTTCAAAGGATGAACCTGTATATACATTCATTCCGTTAATTAATTAATTGATAAATATTATTAAATAGTATTATAAAATAATGAAGATCCAAGTATAAACTCCTGTAGTTGAATTAGATGGAGATGAAATGACTAGAGTAAATCTTTTATATAATTTAGATTATATGGTAATAAATCAAAAAGTATTTAATCTTTCCATTTTTGGATTTGAAGATTGATTATTATGATCTTGGAATGGAATATAGAGATAAGACAGATGATAAAGTTACTATTGATGCTGCTAATGCAATTAAAAAGTATAAGGTAGGAATTAAATGTGCTACTATGTAAAATTATTAAATATTCATATTATAGCACTCCAGATGAAGCAAGAGTCAAGGAATTTAAGTTAAAATAAATGTGGAAATCTCCAAATGGAACAATTAGAAATATTCTTAATGGAACAGTGTTTAGAGAACCTATAATTATCAAGAATATCCCTAGATTGGTACCAGGTTGGAAAGAACCAATAATAATAGGAAGACATGCATTTGGAGATTAATATAGAGCTACAGATTTTTTAATAAGTGAGCCAGGAAAATTAGAGATGGTATTCACCAACAAACAAGGATAAATCACAAAATATCCTGTATATGATTTTGAAGGAAAGGGAATTTCTATGGGTATGTATAATACTGATGAATCAATTATTGATTTTGCACATTCTTGTTTTAAATATGCAATTGATCGTAATTATCCTTTGTATTTATCAACTAAAAATACCATTTTAAAGAAATATGATGGCAGATTTAAAGATATCTTTTAGGAAATTTATGAAAAATATTACAAATAAACATTTGAATAAAAAAAATTATGGTATGAACATAGATTGATTGATGACATGGTTGCATATATGATTAAAAGTGAAGGTGGTTTTGTTTGGGCATGCAAGAATTATGATGGAGATGTATAATCAGATGTAGTTGCTTAAGGATATGGTTCATTAGGATTGATGACTAGTGTTTTAGTTAGTCCAGATGGATCAGTAGAAGCAGAAGCTGCCCATGGAACTGTTACTAGACATTATAGAATGCATTAATAAGGAAAAGAGACATCCACTAATTCTATTGCAAGTATTTTTGCTTGGACAAGAGGACTTTTACATAGAGCAAAATTAGATAATAATAAAGAATTACATAAATTTTGTACAACTTTAGAATAGAGTGTTATTTAGACAGTAGAAAATGGAATAATGACTAAAGATTTAGCAATTATTGTACATAATGATAATAAGTAATTCTATTCATATTTAATTTAGTGTTTCGAGAACCAAGTATGTGAATACTGAGGAATTCATAGTCAAGGTTGGAGAATAGTTGAAGAAAAATTTAGGTATTAAAGCAAATTTATGAGAGTATATAAATAAATAAAAAAATATTAATTAAAATGGTCAGATTTAAGAATCGATACTTTATATGTGAATATATCTAAGAGTATTAAGAGAAAGAATTTTCAGAGAGAGATCTATTAATTGAAATTAGAGATTAAGTTTAATATCATTATGGTGATTTTGGATCTGCAAAAATATAATTTTCCTTTTAAAGTATATTTTTTAAATATATTTTAATAGTAAAATACTTAAATACTATTTCAAGATTGTTTATATTGAGAGTGGCTAGAGATTATAAAAATATAATATGGTCAACTCTCATATTTATGAATATGTTTAAAGGAGTCCCAATCAAAATTAGAATTTTAGGTTGTTCAGGTACAATAAAAAAATGTGAAATCAAAGCCAGAAGATTACTCACAAAATGGGTTCATAAAATATTAAAATGTGATATACCCAAACCTTTGAGATCTACTATTATTAGGGATTATTAATAAACTTAAGAAATACTACCTTAATTAACCTAATGAATTTTAATTATATGAAAAATTATATATAAAAAGAGCAATTGTTTTGAAAATTATCAATAATTATTTTTAGAATAAATAAATTTTATTAAATATAATAATATGCAATCATATTATTATATTTAATAAAATTGTTTAATTTGATGTTAATACGCAATAATAGTATTTTATAAAATTTTAAGTCCAGGCGTAAATCATTTATCAAATCTAATCTAAAAATAACTTAATAATGAAGAAATCAATAGCATTTTGTGCAGCTTGGGCATGTGGTTATATCATTAACGCTTCTTAACCTTACCTCAAGATGCTACAGACCTCCAATTTAGAAGAAGAATCTCATAGTTTCTAAGAATTTATTCAAAACTAAAACTACTCATAACCAAAAATAATTGACTTTCTTCACAGTTCTCCAGAAAGACACTTTCTTCATAATATGATAGTTCAAAATGAGAAGGCATTCAATTTTTTTAAAGTTTATTTACCTAAAGATGGTGATATGAAATGTTCCGAGAATAATCCTCATCTTCATATTGTATTTAATGCAGCAGATGAAGTTAGAGGAAATAACAACGATGTACATAGTGGATTGTTAGCTACTCTAATTGATAATGCATTTGGATAATTAAGCTTTTTGGCAACAGGATTCATACCCTCAGTGACTGCCAATCTCCAACTTAATTTCAATCATACTATTCATACAAATAAAGACTATTTAATAAGTTGTGAAGTTGAAAAAGTTCAAGGGAGAAAAGTATTTTTGAAAGCCATTGTATATGATAATGAGAAAAATATTTGTGGTGAGGCCACTGCATTATTTATAACAGTGAATTGGGGAGGGAAACAATGGAAACAAGCCATTGAAACTCTTCAGAATACCAGATTCTTTAATGAAGGAGTCCAAAGATTTCTATACTGATAAGATAAATTTGTTTAATATTTATATAAAGTAGTATTCAAATACTTTCATCTAATCATCTAAGGCAACAATATAGTATTTATTGGTTATGCCTCTTCTTTTTTTGGAAATGCATTCCAGAATCTAAGAGTTTCATCACCTGCACCAGTAACAATGGTTTCTCCATCTGGAGACATTGCTAAAAATAAGACTCTTGAAGTATGTCCCATAAGAGTAGTGACCTAAAATTTTAAGAAAGGACTACCTTTTATAAAGTTGGATATTTCCAACAAACTATTTAATTCATACTATAACCATGAGTGGAAACAAATTCATTAACATTCTTACTGAACATCAGATTACAAACTTATGAACCGGTGTCTATCCAATCTAATTGTTGAGTAGTCAAAGTATTAAAGAATCTAATGGTTCTATCTGCAGTTCCTCCACCAGATGATAATAATCCATGTCTATGAGGAGACCATGCTATAGCTTTGACAGCCGCTTAATGTTGACTGAATTTAGCTAGAGGAATCTATGAACCTAATCTCCAAACGAATAATTTATTATCATTTCCACCTGAGGCTAATTAGTATTCATCTGGTGACCATTTCAAACCACAAACTTCTTATTTATGTCCTTCAAATTTACCAGTCTATTTTTTCTATCTTGGATCATGGAGTATTATTGATCTGTCTTTAGAACCAGAACAAAGAGTCTAAAATTTATATTAAATATATACATGACCACTCCATGCCAATGATCCCACTCTTGCAGAATGACCTTCTATGATTTAAATTCTCTTCATCTTCTCCTAATCATATATATGGATCTCTCCAGAACCAGTACCAATAGCCAATTGATTACCCATAGGATTCCAAATCAATGAACAGACAACATCATTATTTCCAAAATCACAAAATTTAGTTACTCTATTATTATAGGCTGACCATAAGTAAACACAAGATGATAATGCCACTGATAAGACATTTTATGAACTCCAATCTATCAAATTCAAATAAAAATCATCTTATAATTATGGAGCATCCAAAACTTTAAATGGAACCTTGTTTATTTTCCTTTGACTGTATTAATAATCCTAACTATTTTAGTATTATTCTCTATATTCTATCAAATTATTATAGGTTTCCAATACTGAAGGATTAATATCTTATAGAATCTTTCTTTTTTAAGGAGTATCATCATTGAATCTGAAAATATTTTTGGATTCCCAATGTAATTATTCATTTTATAAAGGTTGTCCAAAAACATGCATCTTATAAATATCCTTTAATGAAACATTTCCTTAATCTTTGTAATCACTTCCCTTCTAAGGTTCCTAGTTTTCATCTTCGATCTCTCTATATTAAAATTCCTCTATCAAGGTTTATTTTTATCCACTCCTTAAAGGAATATATCTACAAGTTTTTCCTTATTGAATTTACTTCTTGGGAGTACTATCTTATTCTATTTCGATTTAGTCTATGGAAAACGATTAATTAGAAAATACCTCCTTATTAAGTACTTTGAATCTCTACTTTATTTAACATTTTAATAAGATCACTCATATCGCAAGTCTTTGCCTTAATATGATGTGAATTTTCCTTATTTTATTTTGAAGGGGATATTTGTAATTTATCTTCAAAACATGAGACTTCTACATCTATATTACGTTATTGTAACATTTTGATTGTATTCGTTGACATTTTATGTATAAAAAGGTATTTGCAAACAGATATTAAATTAATTTACGTTAAATTTTATTTTTAATTACACTTATAAAGTCAAAATAAATATTATTTATAAGCATCAAATATGATAATATTTTTGAATTGCCTTTATTAAGAATAAGAACTATAATATAGAATAGTCAAATAGTGAATTATTAAATTATATTAGAAAATAATTAGTATTAAAAAGAGTATAATATAGTAAAGACACAAAATATTTAAAATAGATAATATATAATGAATTTGAAATATATATATGATACAATTTCATTAATGTTTTTTGTTCTCCCTAAAAGGGTAGAATAATAATAATATTAATAATCATTTTAACTTATATTTTCTGGATAACTAGCTGGATTGCTATGATGCTGCCGGTTTACCCCAATCTCTCAAATTACTCTTCACTATTTAAGTACTAATATCTAGTGAGACACCTTAAAATCTTTTTGAGACTTATTGGGATGTTTGTTCTTCATCTTATTTTATTTCTTCACTATAAAATTTATGAGATACTTGGCAATTAGACTGATTTATTTGCATTATCTACTATTGTGACATTCTCTGCCATAGTATTATTAATATTCATTTAATTAGTATCTGACAAATTTAAATTCTTTTTTGTAAGATATTGTTAAGCTTACATTAATAGAATACTCATTATTGCAGTTTTTTAATTTGATGTCCAATCATTAACACTCTTCTCTCGTCTAAACAATAATAATAATTATCATTTACAATTCCTATAAATCTATCACATCTTTTATATCTTCATTAGAATTATTCTTTAAATATTCCAAATTACTTGCTAAAATAACTGATAAATTAGCAAATTTATTCTCTTCCAATCTTATAGTATCTAATCTTGTAAGAAGATGATTATTTTCATTTCTTAAAATATCATTATCATTTTATAATTTTGCTATTTTCTTTTCTAATTAAATAAACTCTTATTCTTTCATCTTTTCAACCTCTTAAGGAATTTCTTTCTATTATGGATTCTATTCCTATTCTTCTAATTATTATTATTCTTATTAGTCTTCTAATTCTTTAATCTTTGCTGTCAATTTCTTAATTAATTTCTATGAAAAATGAGATCTCTTTGCTAATTCTTATTCAACTTATTTATGAATTTCTATATCTCTCTTTAAACTTGTTACTTATTCTGATAATTTTGAATTCTTAAATAATAATTTTTCTGTCTATTTTGATTGATATTCTAATTCTGTAGTCAGTTAATGATTTTGTAAAACTGTTAATCTAGTTGTAGTTTCTAATTATTCTTTTTTTAATGCCAACAATGATGACTTTGTTTCTTGAATTTTATGAAGCATTTCTTTCTTTAATTGATCTATATAAATACATAATAATTTCATTACCTGTTTCTTTAACTTTTTCTTTCTCTTTATCTGCCAATTCTCTTTATTTATCTTTCCTTTCTTATGCTAATGTTTCTATCAATTTTGCTCTCTCATTTTCTAAGTCTGCTTTTGTTTGTAGAAAACTATCAATCTTCTCTAATCGGGCTTCTAAATATTTTATTTTATCTAATAATGGTTATTTATCTGCCTCAAAGAGTTGTCTTTATTTCTCCATCATTTTTTCTAGTTCAATAAATACTTCATCTTACTATAATCTTCATCTATATCAGCCATTTTCCTTTGTAACACCCCATACTCAAACTCAATTTTTTGTTTTTCCTCTCTCAACTCTTCCTTTTCCTTTTTATGAAATTCAATCAAATCTATTAATTCTTTTTTTTCATCAGATAGTTTCCTTTTCACCTCTACATTCTCATTCCCAAATTTATCTCTCTCATTTTCCCTAAATTCCTATTACAAGAAGTTACATTCTATCAAGACGATCTTTCATATTTTTATGAGTCGATATTGCTTTCATAAGGTCTCTTCGTTAAGCATCCAATTCCTATGTTAATCCATCTTAATTTTGATTTTATCCTTTATTTTACTTAGACATTATTGAAAATAATTAATTTATATATTCTAATTACAATAAAACTTAAGATTATCTACTAATTATTATATCAATTCCATTCAAAATTATGGGTTTTCAATTAAGAAAAAGAACTTAATGCATTTAAAAATAAGTAATAAATATTCAATAAAAAAGACCTTTTAAACTTTTTATAATAAATTATTTGACTTACATATGTTCCTAATTAATTTTAATGAATTTATGTCCAAATATTGTGTTATTAGTAATCATTCAATCATTAAATTACTATGTATTAATAAACATCTAAAAATATATCAATTAAAAATAATCATATATTTATATTTAGCAAAATAAATATATGATTATTATGTTTATAATCAATTTAATCTAGAAATTGAAGAAAATAAATATAAAAAATTATTGAATGATCAAAGAAAATCAAACACCCATTAATAAGGAGGAATTGAAAAAATTAAATCAAATTTTATAATAGCTTATAGATTCAAATGATAGTTTAGAATTTCGATAACCTGTTGATCATAAAACACTAGGTTTGCATGATTATTTAAGTGTAATTAAAAAACCTATGGATTTGGGTACTTGTTAGAAAAAATTATAAAATTCAGAGTATAAATGTGTAGAAGAATGTTTAAATGATATCTAATAAATATGGGATAATTGCAAGTTGTATAATGGTCCTTCAAGTGTAAGTATACATTCTTATTTTAGTGGATAACTAAACTATCTGAGAAATTAGAAAAATCCTTTAAAAAATATGTGAAAAATTATCTTCCATTAATTAATATACCTTAAAGTTCAATAAAAGTTAAAAAGGTTACTGAAGAAGTAGTTTAAGAAGACACTCAATAAACAATATCACATAATGAGAAAGTAGAGTTCTCAAACAATCTGAAATAATTAAATCCTGATTAAATAGGTGCTTTAGTTAAGATCATTTAGACTAGTAGTCCAAGTGCCTTTGTTGAAGTTAACAAAGAGAGATTCTAAATTATCATAGATAATATTGATTTTGATACTTTTACAAAATGTTAGAATTAAATTTAATCTTGGATGAATGGAGAAGAAATAAATAAGAAGGTGAAAATATGAATTATATAATTATTTCATATAAACTTAATCATTTTAAGTTTGTACAAATAAACTGATTAAAAATATTATAATAACTATAATTTGTCTAATTTTGTGGATTTAAATAGGATATATTAGTCTAAATTAAGGTAAGAATTATAATTATTTTCTAATATTGGCTTTATATAAAAAATTAGATGCATTTGAGAATAAAAAACGATTTCACTTCAGAAACACTTAAACTGGATTTTTAATAATCAACTAACTCAAAAATTTTAAAGTCAGAGTAGAATTTTATGTAATCCTTCTAAACATAAATTTGTCCAGAGATTCTTTTAGAATGTAAAACTGATAGATCATTTTCACCAAAAACAAAGAGAAATTAAAAAAGGTATCTAACAAAGTCATAGTAAATTTGGTTTAATGAAGATGATTAAGAATTTGAGGAGTATTCAATTTGGGGAGATTGTGAACAATTACCTGTTGGTAATAATAAAGAAAATACATTAATCTCATTTTTAGAGTTATATAAGTATAGATATGAAAGGACTACAAAAAGACCTGTGTCTAGTTATAATGTTATTTAAATAACAAAAAGGTAAATACATATAGTAATAATTAGACTTATTAACAGACATTCTACTTCTAAAATAAAATATTTTGGAATAAATAAATTATAATGGATTGATTTTAGAGATTGGAGTAAATGAATAAAATCTTTATCTTAATGATTTTATAATTGATTTAAATTTAGCTTTAATTATTCTATATAATGTATTTAATTAATATATATATATATGTAAAATAATAAATAATTGAGATTCTTTGAAAACGTGAATAAATTAAGTACAAAAAAATATAAATTATTTACTCAAATATATTTAATAAATGTTTTAAGTTTATATAATATTTGTATGAGAATATTTAAAATATAATCTAATGATGTATTTATATTATTTAGAAGATGAACAACGAAGATTTAATGAATGTTATAATTTCAAGTTTTGATATTAAATGTAATTTTATAATAAGCTAAAACATAAATTTTAGCAATCAAAGTAAGAACCATCACAAACACCTCCAACAAATGAATTAGGTCTTAGTCAGCATAAACCACCTTTGGTTGATTCAAGATAATAATGGAATACAAATGTTTATTTAGTTCCAAAATGGGAAAGGAAAGAAATTAAGAGAGTTGATTCTTCACTTCATACTCCATTTCCAATAAGAAATTATATCAATTATGTATAATAACATAGTGGAGGATTTTAAGAAGAATTGAATCTGGATTTCTTTAAACATATTTTTAGACATTTCGCAATTAATTAATGGTGGATAGAAGAGGCACGTAAATTCAAATAAACTATTCCTATTAATATACTATAGAGTCCTGAAGAAGTTAGATAAAATCCTGAATATTGTAAATTGATGATATAAAAATAAAAGGATGATCTAAAGTTTTATTAAGAAATTCTAAGAAATGTAAAATCTCCCAATCCACCTTTTCCATCTAGATAAATTCCTGAATATCGAAAATCTATAACATATTAAGTGTTAGATTTACATGCAGGATAAGAACATAAGGATAAATCATTGTTTCAGTTATAGGATGTTTTTGTTAACAGAATAATATAATTGATTTCTGAATAAGGAATTTAAAGTTTAGGGTATTATGACTACATTACATTTAAGAATATAGTTTAGGATAGAATAAAAGGAGCAGGAGATGCAGAAAATTTTATTAAAGTATTAGAAATCAAAAAACTATTTAACTCTGTTGATTAAATTTAAAAGGAATTCGATAAAACTGTAAATGAATGGCAAAAAGAATACACACTTACATCTAACAATACAAAGAGTAAATTTCGAAGATGGTAATAAGAGAAAACTTTATTTTCTGATGAATTACTTTAATTAGCAACCAATGTTGGATTAGATGCTAATCTAGTGAAAGCAAGAAAGAATTTTGAATTAAATAAGACTGAATAATAATTTAAAGAACTAGTTAAAGTTGGAGATTAGATTTAATTAAGTACTCATAAAACTATAATGGATACTTTGTCTAAGATTGCTTAAGAGGAATTTAATAATATATCTATTAATAATTCAGTTTTACAAGAAGATGCATTATAATTAGCTAGAGTATAATATGAAGAACAGAAAAATCTTATTTAAAAGGAGCATTCTTCTGAAGATTCAATTCCATAATATTCTGAAGTTCCCAATAGTAGGGAATGTAGTGATATATTTTAGAATATTTTAGGATAAAAGTAGAATAATGATTCAAATTAATAATTCTAATAACCAATTTCAGAATAACGATCCAATAATAATGTTTCAACATAATTGCAGAAACCATTTTTGTAATATGCTAAATAACAAAATTATAAGACTTAATAAAAACAAGCTAATAGTACTTCACCATAAAGAAGAATACTTATGGTATCAGAGAATAATAGTAGATCTAATAACAATAGTAGTAACTAAAATAATACTCATAGGATTTAATCTTAAGGATAAGAAAAAATGTTATAATCTTAATGGTCTCAGTAATCTTTGAAGTCTCTTGAAGATATAATTAAACCTGCTTATGAAGATAATTTTAAACATTCTGATAAAACTTCAAAGGAATAACTCTAAAAAAATAGTATGTAATTTTATTAGAAACTTGATTATAAAGATTAAAAATAATTTGAAAATGCATATAAAGATGCAAATGGAAATAAGAATCTAACATAAAATACTATCAGTCATCATTAATATAATATATAATAAAATCAGAGTAATAATAATATGAGCATTAGTTTACATAATAAGAATACTAGTAATAGTATTAATGATGATATCAAGCTCTTGAGTGATTTTGTATAATAAAATAGAATTTCATAACAAAAATTTAAAGATAAAGTGTTTAGTTAAGATAAAGAAAAGGATGAATTAAGATAACTTTAAGAGGAACTTGAAAATATATCAAAAGATGATAATGTCAGTAATTTCAGAAAAAATACATTAGAATCTTTGGATAAAGAAAAGAGTGTAGATATTCAAAATTAGAGTAGAAGTATATCTTCAAAAGAAGATAAAAAATATAAAGAACAAATTGAAAATTAAGTGAAATTAGATTATGGATATAATGTTCCATCTTCAATGCCAGGATCATTATCTAATAATACAACAGCCAGAACTTCTAGAAATACAAGCAATTATAATTCTATTTAAAATAAAAGATCAAAAGTAGATAGTATTGAGGAAGCATCAGATGAATAAATAATTTAGTAACAATAAACATATGTGGAAAATGAAAATGTTAAAAGAATTTCACCAAATAAATTAACAAGATAAACATCAATTAAAAATAATTTAAAAATTAATGAATAACGTAATGATATTAAATAATAATCAAGGGATAGTAAACACTCAAGATAAGATAAATCATAAGGTAGAGATACTAATCTTTAAATTAATTAAATCAAAGATAATAATTAAATATAAGATTCTAAATTAGATGAAATTAATAATTATTAAATTTCTTAATAGTCAAGTGATCTATCTCCCTAAAAATCTAAAAGAAGTACAAAAAGTCCAGAAAAAACTAAAAGATTTTAAAAATCAGTAACTAAAATAATTGATTCCAATAAATAAACAAAAAAAGAATAATAATAAAAATTAGAGGTTATTAATAAACCTTTTGAAAATTAATAGTAAACATAATAAGATGTAAGAAAAAGCAGACATAAAACAGGAAATAGGGAAGCAGTTGATGAATCTTCAGAAGAAGAGTAGGATTAAGAAAATGAAGATAAAAAAAATAATAATAGAATTAAAAGATAAAAATCTATTAAAAGAGGATAATTTCATTCAGTTTCAATGCCTAAAATTGGAAAAGATGAAGATCCTAAAAGATATTTATTGATTTTAAAAGAAGAACTCAAAGAATTAATTGATAAAAAAGTGAGTTTAAGGGAAATAAAGGAGCATATTAATTTAATTCTTAGTGAAATTGCAGGAGTAAAACTTGATCCAGAATTGGAATATTATTTATAATTATGTAATTATCTATAGAATATTTTAAGATAAATAAAGAGTTATGGAGTTAACTTAAGTGAATCAATAATCAAGAGAAATTCATTTTTAGACACTTTAACCGACAGTTGATTTGAATATGAAACGAGAAATAAGAGGATTAAAATTTGCTAGAAATTGTGATCGAATTCCTAAATTGTAACCAAAAGATTTAGAAGACACTTTTGTTTTATAATAGTAAATTAAATAATCATAATATTATATAGATAATTTTAAAAAGAATAAGATCTTAATGAATAGGAATTTAAAATTCAATCATATTAACCAATATTCAGATATGAATAAAGACCTATACCAATTTAATCTGATATTATATAGGTTTCATTAGATGTTTCAAGAAGATAAACACCAAATACATATCGTCAGGAGAGAGCTGGATCATTACTTGATGTTGATTTACCAATTCTTACTTAAAGAAAGAGTAATATAGTAGAGAATAAAAAAAAGAAAAAGACAAGATATACAGGATAGACTTCTATCAAGAGAGATAAATTGAGTGAAGATTATCCTTTTCTATATAAATACAAACCAGAGTTATTGAAGAGTATATTGGAAGCCCGTATTAGTCTTGAGAAATTGGTTTGATTAATTAAGATTTTATTTATGATGCTTAAAATTAAGTATTCCTATATCTCAACTCAAGTGCTTCGATCATAAAATGTTGTTAGATTCGATGCTGAAATCAAACAATCACATTTATTAGGAGAGCAATTTGGATAATAGGTGTTTGCAAAACTTAATCATTATCATAAGCATAATATTTTGACTCCAACTATGTTAAATTAAATTCATAGATATTTGGAAAGTTATGATTTAGATGAGACAGTGAATATTATTTGGTTAGATTGTTAATCTAAAGGAACAGATTTGAAATGTATGCAAATTTAACAAAAAATTAGATTTATAACACTTATCTTAACAGGAGAAGATTGAATATCTGAGACAAATATAAAATTTGGCAGTCTATTTTGGAAAGTACAATAAAGTATTGATGCCTATAATAACAGGAGAAGCAAGTGGATCAATGGCAGCCTTAGCATGTTCAACTCCATTCTAATTTTTTGATTAAAAAGGAGGCATAAGATTTAATGATGTCAATAGAGGATTTGTACCACATGCAGGGTAAATATGTAAAAGAATAATAGTGCTACATTTCATTTATCCAGATTGCCTGATTAATTAGGATTATTTTATGCTTTGACTGGTAGATGGTTAAAAAATGAGGAAGCATTAAATTTAGAGTTGATATATGGAAATTTGAAGGATAAAAATTAGGCTATTGAATATATCAATTAAACAACATAATAATATAAGACACCTAATACTATTTAAATGTATCCAAAATAAGTTAAACGTGAAATTTAAAGTTTTAGAAAAGGATAAAAGATATTCTTAAAAAAATTGAGTGAAGAAATGATGATTAGAATGAAAAATGAAGATGCTTAATTAGTGGCATAAGAATTATTATATAAACTAAAAAGATTCTAAGAAGAAAATGTTTTAAATCAAAAGAATGATAAACCTAAATAAACTATAGCTAATCCATATCTTCACTTTAAAACAATGAACATTGATAGTTTAGAAGAAATGGGAATAATATCAAGAGAAAACTTAGTTAAATTAGATAAGGCCTTAATAGCCAGATGTTTTAGTGGAGAAAGTGTTTAAGAGATTATGGATAAATTGAAAGCTGAATAAAATTAATTTGCTTAAGAGATCTTAAAAGAATTAGAAGCATAACCAAGATTATCACTTGAACTTACTTTCAAATTAATAAGATAAGCAGAAAAATGGCAATGGAGAGATTGTTTAGTTGCTGAACACAATGTAGCTTCAAATCTTGCCAATAGTGGTTAAATGGAGAAATAAGAAAGAGTTTAAAATATTGATTCATTTTTCAGTTAAGTTAGTCCTTCAATTGATTATTTATCTGATGCTCTTGAACCAGTTAGAGACTTTTATACTGAATATCCTGATAATATTAGAGTCTTTTTAAATGAGTAAAATCTTAGAAAGGGTTTAATTGATAGAGCCAATTAAGAAGTTGATGTTGCTGCTTTTATGAAAAATAATGAACATGTAATGGATGGTTCAATCAGAGTTTCAGATCTTAGAAAAATGAGAGTTGAAATTGCTGAATTGAAAAGAGAAGTTAAAATTAAAATGGATAAATTGAAAAGTATAGTTGGATATGAAGAAAATCTTAAAAAGTATATAGAAGAAAGACAAGCATATATAAATAATATTAAAGATTTTGGAACTCTTTTAGAAGAATCAATAAATTAATTTTTTGAAAAGGCTAATCAAGCAAGATTTAATAGTTATGGAAATGTTGCCAAGATTGCATCTATTAAACCTAAGAGAGAATTATTTTCATTAGTAAGAAATTCTATTTTAAATCACAAATTAACAGAAGATTATGATGAAATTGAAGCCTTAAAGAAATAATAAGCATGGAATAAATCTATGTAAAGATTATTGATTTTTCCAAAAGATGATAGAAAATCTTTTTATGAAAATGAATTACCTGAAAAAATAGTTGATTAAGAATTAACAGATTAAGTATTTAGAGCTAGAGTTATAAGAAATAAATTATATGAAACTAGATATGGAGATCTTTATCAAGAGTTTAATTAATAAATAGATAAATTTTATAAGAATGTCATTTAAAATGTTACTTAATCAAATAAATTTAATAATATATAAGAATATTTAGAAGGAAAAGAAGTTAAAGAAATATTAGAATTATTAAAAGAAAATAAAGAAGAAATTATAATTAATTTACAAAAAGAACCTGTAGAATAAGTAAATAAAGAAGAGTTAATTAATCAAATGAAATAAGAAATAGATCAACTTAAATAGAAGGAAGAGATTCCAACCAATCTTGAAGGATTAATATAGGCAGATGAAAATTTAAGCAAAATTATGGCTGACTTCTTTAGATGTCCAGAAGAGTTCAAACCATTATAAAATATGTTTGAATAATTATTGATTTCTATTTATAGAATGAGAGTAAAAAAATTTAAACATTTAAATGAATTAGCAATAATAGATGATTAAATTAATGAAGCTTTAACTTTAGATTCTTTCAAAGTAATTGAAAGTAATCTTATGTTTTCTTTTTCATATATTCTATTATGTAAATTAGAAGAAATGTATTGTTTATTTAAATAAGGTGGTAATTATGAAGTCTAAGCTTTGAAATTTTAATAAGACTATGGATTTTAAATATAAAACTTTAAATAATTTGAAAAACTATTAGATTATTTAAATGATAAATTGAGAGCAGCAGCAACATTATATAATACTTATAGATAAAAGACTCTAGTAGAATCTGATAAATTACTAGATTATATTATGACTCTTAAATCTAGTAAGTGGCCAAGTTTCAAATCCAAAGCAATATATACTAATCTATTAAGTTTAAAAATTAAAACTAATTATGAAAATTAAATAGCCGGATTAGAAGAAAAAAAAATTAGTTAAACTACTCCTGATGATGTATATAGTGCTTTAGAAAGTAAATCACATAAAATGAGCATATTTTATAGATAAAATTTACCAAAATATAGAAGAGGTTAAATATAGAAACGTGTTGCTTTTAGAGATGATTTACATTTTGCTACTAAAAAAGAAATTGAGATATATGGTAAAATATAAGGACTTAAAACACAGAATAAAAGAAGATTAATTATAGGACTAAGTCATTAACTTAAATAATTAGATTTGATTGCAGAAAGATAGGTTGAGATTACATCTAAAGAACTTTAGTAATAAAAAGAAGATTTAGAAAGAGCTTTAAAGAAAAAATGGTTTTGTTATTAACCAATTGAATAATGGTTTAAAGAATTAGTCTAAGAAACAGTAGAAGAAATTTATCATCCAGATCTTCTTTTATCAGAAACTGAATTTAAAGAATACATTCAAATCAGCTTCAATGAATAAAAGAAATTATTAGAATCCTTAAGAGCAGAACTTATTTTAGGTGTATAAAATGAAAGAGATGAAGTGATTTAAGAATAGAAGTAATATATTTTAATTTATTAATTAGATTCAATCCAGAATTACCAGAAATTTAAAATTTAGCATAATAATTAACTGTTGCTGAATCTTTACATGTAGAAGGACTTATTGAAGAAATTGAACCTACTGAAACTTTATTTATTGGCAAAAAAGGAACAACTCTAAAAATAGGAGGAGAATTACCAATTCAATTAAATGAAACTTAATATAGAGAATTAAGAACTAAAATGATTGGAAGAGTTGAATATTTGGTAGGTGATTGGGCTTAAGAACCAAAACTTATAGATTAAATTGATATTGAATTATTGTATGATAAAATTCAATAGATTTAAGATAAGAATAGAAATAAAAAATGATGATTAATTTTATACATTTTATAAGAGTATAACAAAATATAATATCTAAGACTGATTGATTAATTTAATTACATATTATTTTTATAAATCATTGGTCCTATATCAAAGGCTCATGGATATTTGAGTGTTCAATTGATTGATGTATGGATTGCTCTGAATTAATAATTCTATTCAAAGTTGATTCACAACCTGAATATGCAGCTTCTAATTGAAGAATATCCATAAGCTAAGCTAAAATCTCTCATTGATTAATTACCTTATAAGGATATGGCATTCTTAAAATCTTCTGTATTTTAACAAACCAATAATTTATCTCCTAATTCTTCAATCAATACAATTAATACTATAAGATAAACATTCTTATTTGTTGACATCTTTCTTATTATTAAACTCCAAATATTATATAAAGGTAAAGATTAAACTATATTAGTGTAAAAACAAATTAGAATGTCATATATAATATTTTCTATAGCAATATCATAAATTTTGCAATGTTTTATCAGATTTTAATGTTGAAACTCCAAATATTATATGACTGTCTCTTAAGGACAAAATTAGGCATCATCTTTGACTAATGGGTATCGAATATTTCTCATTAAATCTAAGAATGATGCAAATAACCAAAATGCTTGAGCTTCTGAATCAAATTTATCACCAAAAACAGGATTTGATAGTTTATAGAAAAAGTGTGAATGAGTAATACAAATAAATTTACTTGCTATTGTGAATAATATATTGAGTATTGTCACATTCAATTAAATTCCTCTAACATTACAATAAATCAAAAATGTCATTAACATACCTTGACATTATTTATGTTAATTTGCTTAAATAACTGGTAATTTGTTCATAAATTCATTTACATCTTTCTCCAAAGGTAAATTCAAATTTGGAATTAATTTTAATTATTAATAAATTTTAACATTTTCTCCAATATCAACAAAATCTTAGAAATTTCTTTTAAGGATATCTATGATAGGTTTAACTACTTTATCCATTCCATCTAAAGAAGAAAACCAAGCTGTAGGAATACAATGAGGTTATAAACAAATATTCTCTATATAAAATCTTTAATATAGATTTTAAATTTCTTCACTATATCTATCAATTTCGAGACTATATCTCACAGTTTCTACAATAGGAATCTAAATGGATATATATTTATTACTGGTGTTCTCTATTCAATAATCTTTACAGCTATCTTTCTGAGAATACTATTTAATTAAATGAACTTCAATCTATCTAAGAATATAGGGTCTATATTTGAATGTTCGAGTATATCCATTTCTACAAATATTTTTGATGGTCCAAATTCTAATTATACCCAAAAGGATCGACCTTCATATAAATATTGAACCAAATCCTGCAATTATATTCTAAGAACTTTTGAAGCTGTATTAGTTTCTTATTTATTAATAATTTATATTTACTAATTGTATCTATAACTTATAGGTCCAGAAAATCTTTAAATCCAAAATTTTCAACAGTAACTGATGTATTACCACATACACCAAGCAAACCATCTTTAAATATCCAAGTTGTAAAGTCTCTTCTTCTTTATTAACTCATCTAAGTAAGTAAACGTATCTTGTAATAGGGGTTTTACTCAATATGATATTGTAAACCATCTAATATTTTTGTGTTTTCAATATCTTTTGTGTTTTCTGTTCTCTATAATAATTTGTTATAAAGATACTTCAGAAACAAATCTTACTTCTAATTAAGGTCTTATCAATTATGTATTACTCTACATATACATACTAAGAAATTTGATAGAAAACTCTTTTGGATTATTGTGATGAATATGAATTGCTCTATCCTACCAATATTTATAAAATCGTTTGATTTCTTAATTTTTTGGTCTTAAATAAGTAACCATTTATTCTAATAATTCTAATCTTCTCTTTTCTCTTTCTTATCTTTCCAATTCTCTCTATTTTTCTGTTGCTTTCAATTATTCTTATTCTTTCAATGATAATTACTTCATTTTTTCTTGATAATCTTATTCATCTTTATATTATTTCTCACTCTTTGCCTACCATTTTTTTATATGATAATTCATGACTTATCTGTCTAAAGAGATTAAAAAGTTTTCATCTAATTTAGCTCTTTGTTTTTTTAATTGATTCATTTATGTTGTATAAGTTCCAAGATTTTAAGCAAATTGTAATGCCCAAGTAAATGTAAATTTATCTTCATATTCTTAATAACAATATTCAAAACATCTAGCAACAAGTTTTGGTTTTACTTGCAATAATTTTTCAATTATCAAATATCTTTGCCATTTGATTGCTTAATTTTTATCTTTTCTGTATATGTAAACACCTGAATGTCCTTTTTCAAATTCCAAAAGTAATCTTGCCATATCACCATTTTTGTTGAACCAAGTCTTTTAATCAGCTGCTTTGGTTTCTACATAGACTTTTTAATAAAGAGGGAATGATTTTACAGGCTTATGATCTTTGAGTTATTAAAGTATATGCTTCTCAAATCTCACAAATCTATCCAAATAACCACCTGTTACACTACTCTTTTTTTACATCACTAATTCTTCCTTCTTTTAATCAATACTCAAACAAAGACTCATGATCATTTCATCTGTAATCAATTCCTTATTTGCTATATTTTATAATTCTTCCTTAAATTATTATCTAAATGATTTAATAAGTAGAGTCTGATAATCATTTTTTGCATCTGTCAACCAACCTAAGTCTATTTTCCTACCCTCACAAAATTATTAATTTTGCATTAGAATTAATATAAATAATACTAAATTAAAATCAGAATGTAACTAGTTAAAGCATGTGATACTTATATTATTTATTTTAATGTAGATACTATTATTTATTAACCAGAAAAATTATTATGAAGAAATATTAATTTAAATCTTAATAACACTTGAAGCATTTGGAATCACTTTATATATTGATCCACTTTATTCAATAATAATAAATTGCACTTTCATTTTGACATTCATAATTTTAGCATAATATTTTTAGAAAACAGGAATATTTCGAATGTGGTATCATCACCATTTTTATATTGCTCTACCTCTATTTATTCAATCTTAAAGAGTTGAGATTATCGATATTTGTAATATTCTACTCATAGTAATATTGGCAATCCTCTTTTTATCATATACTGAAATTATTGGAGAAATTTAAATATACAAATTTCTGAGGATATTCAAATTTATAATGATTTTGATTACCTTTTCAATTCATCATCATAGTTTATTAGCATATAAGATATGTATTATGATCTATGATTCAATTATTATTATATAAACATTTGGAATTGCATTAGTCACATCACCAAATTTGTTGAAATTTAAGATTATTGCAATCATTTCAATGAATAGATTAACTATATTGATAATTTATTTAACTATTTCATGGGAACCCTTAATTTTTATGATACCCATCATAATATGTCTTTCTTTAAAAATTATAGATATGTTTATTCATAGTGAAATTAGAAATTCGTTATTCAAAACTCCATTTTAATTAAAATAACTTATTCTAATGTAATTCACATATTAATTGGGATTAAGTGCAGGTTTATTTTACCTTTCATAGATTTTGGTTACTCATTCTAAAGAGTGTAATCGACTTAATTGTTTTTGTACATAAAACTTTTAATTTACTCAAGAATAAACATGGAAATCACCAGATTAAGTTCTAAAATAAAATCTAAATTAAGTCCTTAGTGAAATTTTAAGATTGTACAATTTTTCTTATCTTAAAAATTCTTAAGAATATGTAAAGACATTCTTATATCTAAGTTATTATTATTGAGTAGAATTGAAACTCAATATCGAAATGACAAATTGTTTGAAACCCTTTTGAGAAGCCAAAAGCTAAGTTCAACCAAATTTTATGGCTATACTGTGTTTCCATATTAATTTAGAATTCAAGGTCATAGATAAATATTTTATGAAAAATTATTAGAGAAAATTGCAGGAGTAAGAATAAATAGTTAGATTTATTTTAATTATTGTAATTTGGTAGATCAATTAGGATAATAAATTATTAAATTACTAAATTAAAGGTAATAAATTTTGATATTTTTGACATTATAATATCAGAATCCACTTTATTATTTATATCATAATAAGATGTATTCTTATATTAAATTGGTCATGAAATGTGAAAAATTATTAAATGATATTTTGAGATTGAATCCAAATTCAATAGTAACTAAGAATTTAGCATATGCAGTATATTCATTAGTAACATTTCAATAAGAAAAATTGAAGTAGATATCTTCTTTATTAGTTTTATAAAATTTTAAGATTGATCATTTATGGAATACATTAAATAATATGTAATGTTGTTATGTTTAATGTAAATATGATAATGGTTTAATAATGTTAAATCATTCAATTCTATTTCCAAAATTGATGGAAGGTATTAATTTTAATTGAATTTAAGAAAATGAAATATAATCTGAATTAGTGGGTCATTATATTGATAGGATATTACCAAGTCCAGTTAAAGAAGTTCATTAATAATTTTTGAAAAGATTGATAGAAGAAGGGAAACCAAGATTGTTAAATAATGGAATTCAATAATTTTATATAACTACAAATAAAGGGTTTATGAAAGAAATAGATAGTCTTGTTAGATTAGGTTAAAGTATGGAATATTTAACATTTATGACAATTATGGGTTATAAATAGGAAGATAATTGTGGAAAAATCTTATTAAGTTCAAAGGGCAATGTATATTCATATTCAGAATAGGCAATAAATTTACTACAATTAAATAGAATTTTAAAATTGGATCATAAAATAAATTTAAATTTTAAGATTTGTATACCTATTTCTTAAAATATTAATGAATTATGTAATGGATTTATATTAATACCTAAGGTAAATTTAATGTAATCAGATTAAGCATTTAAAAAAATACAATAAAATAATATCAATTAAGTTTCATTTTATAAATATTTTCTTAAACATCCTAAATAATGTAGTGTATTTATATCAATTTATAAATTTTGTAATTCATCCTATGATGATAATAAATTATAATATGAAACACTCTATATTTTTCAATCTAATGAAATAAAAGAGCTTGAAATTAAAATGATGGCTCTAGAATTAATGTTTAAATAAGTAATGATTGTTAATAATATATAATCTGAAACTTATATTACTAGTTATACATCATTTAAATCAGTAATACCTGAAACATATCAAATTACTAATAGTGGTAAAAGTCCTTCTTATGAAGATGAAATGGATGATAAACATTTTGCTATTAGTAATGAAAGTATACATATTTAATAAGATCCACTTAGTATATCTCTTCATTAATTTTTTAAATAAGAATAAATTGATTAAAAAATACTTCTTAATTAAAATAATCATTCATCTATTATAGCTAATTCTTTTTAAACATAAGATTTATTAATATCACCACTTAGAATTAATGATGAATTTAGCAATCGAGATAGTAGAAGAGAACATCAATAATTGATATAAAACAATTTAAATAATGTTGATATACAAACAAATTAATATTTAATTATAAAAGAAGATGATGATATAGAATCACCTATAGAATTGAAAGTAGAAATGGAAATGTAAGTTTCAATTAAAGATATAACTGATCAATAAATGAAAGAATAAATAGAATGGATTAAATCATAAGTTAGAGTCAATAAATTTTAATATCACAATAAATAATAACATTTTGTACCAACTGCTTTAAAAAAGAGATCTAATCATAAATTAACACTTGAATAATAACCATCTACTTCTGTAAAAAGTACAGAATCTTAAAAAGGTCTTGTAAATCACATAATTAATGGGATGATTCAATCTAATCCACATTAATTTTATAGTATTTTAGTTGTTGCATTAATATATGCATTAATATTAATCATTATAGTTATATTAAGTATTATTGCAATTAATGATGAAATACTTCATATATTTTTAGATTCAGCAGGTGGTTAATTTTCTATAACCCTTTTATAGAATATTAATTTAATGGAAATATCTATTCATTTATTAGCAAATGATTAAAAATTTCTTGCTCCTCATTTTTTTATTACTAATTCTACTGATGATTATATTACTTAAATAAGAAATTATAATGATAGAGAATTTATTAATCCAGAAATCTTATTAAATTTAGAAGGATCATCAATATGTATTTTACATACATATTCTAATAATGGTAATTAAATGAAATCTTGTTTTGATACAAGAGATTTCTTAGTAGATTAATTACCATTATTATTTCATAGAATAACAGAAGTTGTAGAATATTAATCATCTAAATTTAATCTATCTAATATGGAAGAAAGTTATTTCTCTTTAAATTATCCCATTTATTTTGATTTAGCAACTAATTTAATTAATTAAACTAATGTTGAGATGAGTAAAACTAAAAATAATTCTTTAAATATAGCATCTATATATGTTATTTCAGGATTGACTTCTTGTATTGGAGTTGCTTTCTTTATTTTTATTGCAGAAATACAAATAGCTAAATGGAGAGTATCTATTGTTAGAACTTATTTTTTATTTCAAAATTTGAATCAATCTTTAATTGATTAAGATAATGAGACTTAAAGATTATTAGAAATTGATGAATTATCACATATGAAATATACTCTATTGAAATTAGATAAAAATGCATAATAATCTCTTAAATAAGAATAAAGAAATATTGATCATAGATTAAAGAAATAATTTTGGATTAAATAATTTGTTTTGATATTCCTTTTAGGTGCATTAGAACTAATTTATTTCATTCCTTATTATGAATTATTTCAAAGTTAAGTACAATAAGTTATTGATTTTCATAATGACATCTATTACTTAGGACTTGCTCAACTTGCTTTTAGTAATCGTTTAGTTCATTTTATATAATAATATGCAAATCCATTTTATTAAGTAGATGAGAATAAATTCTAATTATACGATGAACTATATTCTTATTATGAAGATATATATCTATTCTAATTACCTTATGATGATGAACATGATACTTATTCTCTTACTTATATAGTTAATAATGATATTTGTCAATTGAGTCCAATAGTTTCAATGATTAAGTTAGGTTATACATGTCCATATATATTACAACAAGGTTATTCGAAATATTTGATTAATTCTAAAAATACTTTAAGGATTATGAAATCTGATTATGATATAACATTTGGATTTTAATAAATTCTTTAGGATCAAGACTTTATTGATATTATCATTGGTTATGGTTTTGTATTTCCTTAGTTTAATTTGAATAGAGATAATCTTTTTATAAATTAGAATGTTTATAATGAGAATTCTAAATTTTAGGCTATTTTAATGGCCATTTTAATTCTTATAGCTTTATTAATGGTATTTTTAATGATTATTTATTTGATTTCTAAAGAATTTCTAGCAATTATTTTTGCAGTTAAACATTCCTTATTAATATTCTCAAAAGAATAAATAGCAAGAAATAAACATTTAATTTAGGTATTAAGTAAAGAAGTAACACTTGATTGATTATAATTCCTATAATAATAATATAAGAATAATTAAAAAATTTAAATAATCTCTATTTATGATAAATTTTCTTTCCAAGATGTAATTTGCTGTCACTAAATTACCACAACTTTGTAAAGGTGTTTTACCATAGAAATTTGAATAACTTGTATTAATTGTTTCATAATCATTAGATATATTTAGATCTTGTTATATCGAGTATAAATTAAATAAAAAAAGCTGATAAAGATTTATTAATATTATCATCAAAGCATTTTTACTTAATTACTAATTATTATGAATTATGTACTTATGAAGAAATGAAAGCAGAATTAAAAAAGTTAAAAATAGAAGACATAAAAAATATTTTGTTAAATAATGCATAAGAAATATTGAAATCAGTTATAATTATAATTTATTTTAGAAACAAAATTCAGTAGCCAATTTCGTTTCTATTATACCTGTTTTAAGTAGAAATTTTAATTTAAATGAATTTTCTTAATTAATTGAAGAATAATTAAAAGAGATGATTGAAATTGTAAAAGATCGTCATGAATGCAAGAAATTCTCCAATATTACCTTAACTAGATTTTGTAAATCTATGGGATATATATTAAGAAATAGTGATAATCAAAGTCTTAAATAACACTATTAAACTTTTATATTTTAGATCATAATTAATAAACCTAATACTTAATTGAGACATATCTATTCCATGCTTCATTATTTGTAATTCATTAAATATAATTAAATCATTTCATATCTCAATTAGAAATAATTGGCTACTGAAGTCTCAAAATTCATTCTATAAAGATTTAGAACACAACTTAATTTTGAACCAGATATTTCAGAAAATCCTGAATTTTATTCATAATTATCCTCAGTATAATATTATATATAATATAATAGTTTCTATTTAAGACTAATTATTTTCCCTATGATGATGCTTTATTTATAGAAGAAACATTATTATAAAAGGTCAAATTTAAAGAAGAAAAAGTTGAATTTGCTTATCTTAAATTATTATTTTGTTAATTAAGTAAAGTAGGAGTTGGAGAAAAATTAATCAAAAGAATGTTATAAATACATAAGAAAATGTAAATGGAAAAAGAATTCTTACCTTATTATTTATTATCTCTTTTGTATTTTCAAACTAGTCACATAATGGATTAATTTAGAATGAATCCTACTAAAGAAAATATGGAAAGACTTATAAAAGAACCTCATTATATTTAACCTTTAATTGATTAAGCTATTGATGCCATTAGATAATTTGGATATGCATAAGTTGCTTATCCTTAAGAATCAATTAATTAAACTAAAATTTGTTAAGCTATATTGAATTGTTTTAATATTAAATTATTTGAAAAAGAAAATATTAAAGCATAATTTAATTAAAATAATTCTTAAACAGGAAGAACTAATGAAATAAATAATGATGTTGAAGATTTTCTTTAATCTATAGGGATTGAATTTATAAAAGAATATAATGAAGGATTTTATTCTTATGATTATTGGATACCCAGTTTAAATATTATTATAGAATGTGATGGATCTTTTCATTATCAAACTAATTCATATGATAAAAAGGATAGTTCAACTTTGGCAAGAGATTTCTTAATATTAAATTCTAATAGAAAGTTAATATCAATAAATTGGTTTAAATAAAGAGAAAAAAGATTTACAGAAGATAAATTTGGATATATATCTTAATTATGGAATAAATTAGATAAGAATCCTGATATTATTTATGCTTAATGAGTATTTATTATTTTAATATAATACATTAATCAATTAATGATTTAATTTAAATGAATTTTTTCAAATTTAGAATATTCAAATATTTAATATTAAATTAAATTTTGAATTTTTCATTTCAAAACAAACTCATATCTCAATCTTATATTATTTCATTAAAAATTCCAATACATCTTTATCAAGTTCATTAGATTATTTTATTTATTCTAAACCTTTCTTAACATATTATTTAAGTTCAGGTATAATTGTAATTGTCTTCTAACTCTAATCATTAAAATGCAATAGAACTTCAAGAATTGAACAAATTAATTTAAAATCATATTCCTTTTTCAAACTCTTAACAAAATTTTATTAAATTTTCATACAAAAATCATTTTATGGATCATGCAATTATAAATATTTTAATATTTCTATTTATAATTACAAATCTTTATCTTCTTCTAATTTAAGTTATAAGATTTAAGAAAATATTACAGGATTTTATTAATGATTATAATTAAGAGCAGATAAAATTCCTAAACCAGATTTTTTATCAATATCCTTAATTCTTGTTCCAATTCCTACCAAATACTTTTCCAATATATTTAGATCTATTCTATGAAAACGTTAAAGTACACCAAGTATAATTGATATATGTTCTAATGATAAATCTTTTGGAATAACTTTTGATTATAGTTTTGTTAAAAATTTATCATTTAGATCACAATTAACTTTAGCAATTATCTAAAATATATCTGCATACATATTAGAACTTATAGAATTAATATTATCATATAAATGCCTAAATTAAATTATCAAATTAAAAATACTAAATGATTCGATTGCCCAATTAAGTTGTCATTTTATTATTTTTTATAATAACAAATGATAAAGCAATAATATCAAATATAGGAATTTCATTCAAATTTTTAGAGTTGATCTCATTCAATATGATATCCCATTTTGTGGCTATAAATATATCCTTGTTTTATGATATTAAATCAATATATCCATATAATCCAAATGAATTTAAGGAGGATAGATTTTCTGTTATGTAATTCTGTGAAGTTGTATAAACAGAAAATAATAAATTATGAAATCTTTTGTCAAAATTTTATACCTAATTAATTTTATCATAATATTACATTAAAGTACTTTAAAAATGAATAATATTTTAACAACATAAATCTACTCATAATATTTGTAAACTTTGGTAAATTAATATCAACTTCTTCAATTTGATCAATAAACTTCTCCATTATTTTTTATTCTTCTTTTTTTAATTTTTCATCATTTATTTATGATTTTTTCTTCAATTATAATTGATGCATTTCAATAAACACTCTCCAAAGACGATCTTCAGCTGTTTCAGGTACTTATTCAAATAAATCAGCTTAGAATTTATCTACAACTTATTAACTTTATTAAATTGCCTCATAAAAAGCGACATACCAATATAAAGTTAAGAAGAATAAGCTTTTTTAAATATATGTAGCATTCAAACTTACTTAGTTTACAAAATTTTCAAATATCAATTTATCAAAAACTTTTTGATTTGTAGCACTTTCTACATAACAACTAAGAGATTGTATAAAATAGTTAAACTCCTTTTAATTTATTTCTTTAAAATCTCTTCCAATTAAATTGATAAATTAAGGGAATAATGCTTTATTAAACTCCTTTGAATTGAATTATGCACGAATGATTTCATCATAACCAATAGACTTTTGTATTCCCTTATAAGAAACAGGAGTTTTTAGACAAAGATCAATATATTTTGTCAACTTTTATGTATCTCTTACAAGAATAGACTTCCCTTGACAAAAAGCCTTAAATAATTTCATTAAAATATATTCAATTAAAAAAAATCATCAAATAAACCAAGTCTCTTCTATATACTCATCATTGTCTAATGGTAATAGAACTTAATCAAATATAAAATTCCCACATACAGGACAATCCTTAGATAAAATATCATTTAATTCTTATTAATATTTCTTTTATTATTCATTTCTAGCATTTCTTTAATTATTTAAAGTAATTTAATTCTAAACAGTAAAAAATCCAAATATTGATTCATCAGGTTTACTTTAATTTGTTTGAATTTATAGTTTTTCAATATCATTTAATTATTTTTCTAAATAAAGCAAACTCTAATAAGTTTTTTAATCTAATACTGTAGGATTACTTTTAACATATTATAAAATGCATTCTCTATGAAAACCATGTAAACATTCAAAAATAATATAATCTTCTTGAAATAGTTTTCTCAAACAATTTTCACATTTAGTTTTTTAGGATACAAAAATATATCTATTACTAGTTTACAATAATAATTTTTTCAAATTTTCATTAGATTTGATATATCCTTCAAGTTCATTTTATTATTTTTCAACTTAATCATGATATTCCTCTAAAGTTTCACAAATTTCATCTTTAAAATCATCTAATTTAATATTTTAAGTTAAATAAGGCAATATATCTTCTGCTTTAATTAAGGGAATTTCTCTAGTTAATTGAACTATCTATCTAACATATTTTCCACCCTTCTCCAACATTAATTTAATTTATAGAATCCAAAGTTATCTTTATTTATTATTGTCTTCACATTTTAATGCAATATTCTTTGCATCTTCAATTAGATCTATTTCTATGGCCTTTTTAATAGCATTTTCATAATCACCTAACATTTACAATATATAAACATATGGTTATAATAAATTTGTCTTCACAAATAATTAAGATGCATAATTCAAATCAAATTTATATTTTTCTCCTTATTCATTTTAATTAATTTGTTCATTAATATAATACATAATTTATTCTACCTTTTTAAGATCTGCAAGATATTAAAGATATAAATTATTAAAATTTATATCAGTGATTTTACGAGTTTTTACAAATATACAATATTACATAAATTGAATAGCTAATTCTTTACTTTTAAGAGGAACATCCAATAAAATTGAAAGCATCTTTTAAGCATCCAAAGCATCAATTTTCTTAAATAAATCTAAAGTTTATTATGTATTATATTTCATAATTACATAAGAGTATTTATAAACTAGATTAATTAATAAATCATTATCATTTAAAGATGATAATTTCTCTTATACTGATTTATAATCTTCTTAAATTAATAAATTTTAAACAACTGTTTTATGATCCTATTTTAATTCAATAAAATAAGTCTCTAAATATGTTAATCCATGAACTTTTAAAGTAGGTATCACTGAATCTACTTCTAAATCTGCTTTATATTATTCTAAAAAAGACTTTATTATTCCTTAATTTGTAATTGAAAGCATAAGAAGTTCTAAAATCTTTTTGAATACTATTTATTTTAATTCTTTATCCAATAGATCAGCCATAGGTTTAAGATAATATTCTATTGTAATATTAATTAAAATAATATACCTATCAAACCATCTCTATTATAATTAATTTCTCCCATTTCATATTATAAAATGATTTACTCATAAGATCTATTACTACCAAAGTAATATAGAGCTGCTTTTCCATATAGTTGTAATTTCATATCTACAATTTCTCTAGATATTTGAACCGTTTCTACTTTATCATCAAATAGACTATCTTTCATAGTGCTTCTATTATGTCTATTTCTCATAAAGGTATTTTCAGAAATGTCATTTTGAATGTCTTCATTATTAGGAGGTTTCTATGGATCTAATTATAAAGCTTGTTTGAATAGTATATCTGCATATTTACCTGATATCTAAGAAATATATATAATATAAAATACTTGACCATAAAAAGGAGAATCATATTTTTTATTTACTTACAAAGCTTCTTCATAAGATTTGAGTTCTAACAATTATTCCCATGCATCCTTGTCTTCAAATTCAACACTGATTCTAAAGATACCATTAGTACACCATACCCAAAAACATTCAGTACCTTAATCATATAACATTCCTAAGGCTTTTCCTGAAGAGTTTATATTAATATCAAAATATGCTACAACTGTCATAGAGAGTAAATTTATAATAGTCAAAGTATCAAAAGTTAAAAGATAATAATGATATTTTGTAAGTCCTATACCATATAGTTATTCCAATTTAACTTCTTCTGTTGATGATCGTTTATAGTTTTTAAGTTTTTTTGAATTCTAAAATGTTTAATTTTCTATTAAAATAGAATAGTTAGATAGAAGTATATTATTGCCGTTAGTCCACAAAATTGATGATTATTCTATAAAAATTCTTGGGATATATGATTTGTCTTTTAAAGCAATTCTAGATTTTAGAAATAAATCAGGTGCTTCTTAATATTTTTAAAAGAGTTTCTTAAGATCTTTAGTACCATTCAATATATAGATATGTTTATCGGTAACAATTAAGATCATATGAATAGTGTTTTTCACAACTTTTTTAACATCAACAATTTTTTCAATTTCAGGTATTTGTAAGATGTTTTTACTCAAAACTTCAGTATGCATAAGTTTATCATTGTTATAGTTTAGTGAATATGAATAGATTTTATTGTTTGATGCTATAATAATACAATTAGAGAATGAATAAAGAGAGCCTTCTCCCCATAAGAAAAAACGAATGCTGTAATTATCAACACCTTCTAAAAGTCGAACTTCTTCTTCATCTTTACAAGCATGATAGACATCCCCTTTATTTGAAGCCACAATTATATGATTTCCTTTAGGTTCCAAGAATATACAATCTAATTTTCCATCTTCAGAATCAATTCTTTTTGAACGTTTCATTGATGCATTAAAAAGAGGTTTTGTTACTTTTGAAACTGTATTGAGAACAGCACCTCCTATTTGTTTACCTACATGTCCACTTAATTTCATAATCTGATCTGTAATATCACCTTCAACTTCAGTTTTGATTGGTAATTCTATACATCCATCCTCATTTAGGAATCTCCATCTATAAATCTTTTTTTTATCAGTTGTAAAGACAATGCAATGATCATTAATTGCAAATGAGACAAGATTCTAATCAAGAGGGAAATCGGCTATTTAGAATGGCTTAAGTTAGAATGTATTCTTTTCTTCTATTTCTTAAGGCTCAAATCCATAATCTGCAACCAAGTCTTCATCATTTTCATCGAATAGAGAAATTTAATCTGTCATATGTTATCCAATTATTTATTGATGTATTGATAATCAAATCAATTTCTGCTGGCAATGAATTGAGCAGTGGTGGATAACTTCTCGCTGATGTGCTCTTAGAGTCTGTCAACAATTTCTTATTAGGCAGTTCTAATAAAATATAATAATTTAAAATACCTTTCAGCAGTTTAGGTTTCATAGATTTCTGATTAGACTGCATACCATGCTTATTATCCAGCAAGTCTTTCTTCACTATTTTCCAACTCAAGAGTGTGGAATTCGATCCATGATTAAGCATCTTCAATGGTATCCTTTTATTCTTAGATTTAGACTTCCAATTAAGCTTTTCTTTCAACCAATCTGGTATGTTCATTAGATAAATGAACTGAGAATTCAGCCCAATGAGCAGCTTATCTATCTTCAACATCCTATTATAATTATATATTTAAATACAGTCTTAGCAGCTTTCTCTTAGACTAATTATTATCTGATTTCACTTAAGAGTTAAGCAATCTTTGTCAATGCCTTTTAGTTAACTCCATGGGTAGCTAATTCAGTAAGAGCAGTGATGACTGGCTATTTAAATTAGATTTATCAATCATACTTATAATAAAGCAGTGTGTGATGTGTTATCTGAAAGTTTTTTGTGGAGTGTGTCATATTTGCTCTTCAATTAAGCAAATGATGCTCCAAGGCTCAAATGTTGGATCAATTTAGCGGCATCATCAATAGCATCAATCACATCATCAATAGCAGCAACTTTTGAGACAAAAGTTTCGTGTTATTAGTTTCTTGTGGCTTCTTCTCTTGCATAGGTAGCTTCGTTGTTAGCGATATCTGAAATTGTCACTCTGATATCTTCTTCAGATACTGCAAGTGCTTCAATTGTATCATCTCTCAATTAGGTATTTGAGGCAATTTAGTTTTAGTGATACAAAATTTCCTTTTCCAAATCTTCAACGATCTAAAGATTAATTAAATAGAATCAACTCTGTTGTTTGTTGTTGTGTCAAGTTCAAAAGCATGATCATGGTCATTCTAGTCTTAGACAAGTCCTGCACCAACACCATTCAATAACATATTAACTTCATTGGCTGGGGTTGAGGCTTAAAGATGGGCCTTTATGGCACTCAATACAACATGGCCGAATGGGTCAGAGTTGATTTAAGCCAAAGTTGTGTGGGTGTCAACGAACTTGGCAGCGGTCACAGCAAGAACCAAAGCTAAGAGAGCTATTTTTTACATTTTTAATATTAATTTAAAAACGGATCGAGCTCTTCATTTATACTCATTTTACACTATATTATTATATAATTAATAATTTCTCCACCTCCCCTACATCTCCATCTAACTTACTCTTCTCTATTCTTAAACATCCCCTCTCTACCCTTGGGGATCTCATCTCTCTTTTTTTATTATTATTTTTCAATTTAATAATTCTACATTATTAACTCATCTTAATCATACTTAAACAAAGTATAATATATATTTATATAATATTCAAGCTTGCTTAATTCTTTATTATGGTGAACTAAACTAATTGTATCCATGATCTCTTCTTTATGCCTAAGGTGATAAAGGTCGTCTTGGTTCAAAATCCCTTCCGCCAGGCCCTCCTCTTTATAATTAATCACCTCCTCTTGGATACTAAGGAGGATATTCTCCTCTATAAAATTCATTTGAAGGCCCTCCTCTTTAAGGATATCCACCTTGTCTTCTATACTCACCTGGAGGTGGTTATCCTCTGAACTCTTACGGTGGCATTCCTCTTGGATCCATACCTCTTCCATATTCAGGAGGAGGAGGTCCTCTATAATTAGCAGGAGGCATTCCTCTATATTCAGGAGGGGGAATTCCTCTATAATCAGGAGGAGGAGGAGGTTTTCTGAAATCAGGATGTGGCCCGCCTCTGAAATCTGGAGGAGGTAAACCTCTATATTCTTAATGTGGTCCACCTCTATGATCAGGTGGAGGCCCACCTCTGTATTCTAATGGTGGTCCTCTGTGATCAGGAGGAGGTCCTCCTCTGAAATCTATAGGTGGTCCAGGTGGAGGTCCGCCTCTAGAAGGTATATCTCTGTTATAATCATCACGATAACCCATTGGTTCTTGCATTCTTCTTTTGTACTCAGCACCTTAATAACTGGGAGGTGGCATTCTCCTATATTCTGGAGGATGCATTCCTCTAAATTCAGGAGGACCATCACGAAAATCAGGGGGAGGTTATCCTCGATATTCTGGAGGACCTCTAAAATCTTGAGGTGGTCCAACCCTTCTTGGGTCATATGCTTTTGCAGGTCCTCTCAAATCTTAAGGAGATGGTTCCCCATATGGTTATTATCTAGGACCATAAGGACTACCATATGGAGCAGATATTGGTCTATAATAGCGATCATCAGGGTAGCCTTGATCATATGGAGGATGGTTGAATCTTTCAGGAGGTGGAGGGGGAAATTGAGGATTGATACCAGGAGGAGGTCGTTCAAATCCTCTTGGCATATTGCCATATGGAGGTTGTGGTCGATCTAACGGACGATCCAAGTGTCTTGGAGGTAGTGGGCCTCTTTCTGGTCCTTGTTCCTAATATAAAGGTTTTCGTTGAGGAGGTGGACGTTCTTGAGGACGACCTTAATAATCATCAACTCTACGAGGATCTTCAGGTAATTTTTGAAGATATTGAGGATTTTAACCTGGAGGCTTATCATGACGTGAAGGGTATTTGTCATTGTCAGCAGGTCTAGATGGAGTGTAATACATTAATTTTGAATAATATATATTGTAATCAGTTAGTATTTAATTCTGAAATTATTTTATATATTTTAATAGAATCATTTAGAAACTCGATACACAAACATTTAACCAAGAAATACTTTAATGGAAAAGTAAAATAACATCATTTTTGTGCTCTAAACATATTTAATAATGTACCCCTTCTGGAAAAAAGTAAGAAATACTATTTGAAATAATAGCACTCAAACCCATAATAGCCAACATAAAGGAGAATACTCCTTGACTTGCCATAGATCCAAATATTTTAGGAATGGAACTACTAATCACAGAGAACAAAATGGCTAAAGAAACTGTATAAATGGAACACATAACGTTAATTAAAATAGTATTGTTAAACCATAGTGAAGCAACAAATACGAGAATTAGGAGCATCTAAATAAGTAATATTTAGTGAATAATACATTTGTCTAGCCTAACCTTTTAATTACAAGTTTATATGGCAAATCTGAAATAAAATAGTTATAGGCCAATCTCATAAATCCATAAAACAAAATTGATATTTAAAATGATGTACATGATTTTGTATAGGAAACACCTAAGGCTGATTAGATTCTCTGATATTAACAGAATATCAAGTATGGCAAAAGAGATGATGATACTACTAAAATTGACATGATTTAAAATGGTTTAGTGGATAGAGATTAGGTAAATGTAATTGGTTAATCGAATGATTAATCATTCTCATTTGCAGAATGTTGGCTGTGTTATTATTATTTAAGATCTAAATGAGCAAATGCTAGGAGATCATAATCTACTACACTATCAGCAATATCTCCATCAGGTTATTTAACTAGAAGAGCTGCAATGATTCCTAAAATAAATGCCCATATTGTAAGTCCTCTTAGAGATCTTCTTGTTTGAAGATTGAAGCATTCTCCACAGAAATATTAATCATTATCAAAATACAATTCTAGTTAATTTGCTTAATTTGATTCAAAGATTAATAATGCAAAAAATGCACCTAATCCAATGAATATTTAGAAAATTGAATTCAAATGTTCTAAATTAATAATTAAATAAATACATTTCTATTTAACAAAATATCTCCAAGTTGTTAGAAATGGTGTTGAGTACAAAATTCCAATAGATGGAGCTATCACAAACAATTGAAGTAAGAGATGGATTATCCAATACTAATTTATTCTATTTTGTTATTTATACTTAATCAAAAATAGCCATCAACATAAAAGACATTCCAATTAAACAAACAAATATGCAAATTAAAGCTTATGGTCCTAATTTCTTAAGGAAGAAGTCAGTATGAGGTATGAACAAATTCATGATAAAAATCATAAGAGCATAGCTGATATAGAGGAAGTATTAATGATTAAGGTCTTTATACCCAATTAAGATTTCATGATATGATTACAAAATTGGCCATGCAAAGAAGAGTCCAATAATCTATTATTGTTGGATAGATTACTAACTTAACGAGCAAACCTGATATGAGTACTCTTATTCCTTCTTATTTGAAGTCCATAATCTATTTTAGAATTTCCCTGTAATTAGGGTTCATCAATTTTAATAAAAATAATAATTTAAATATTATTATATTTACTTAGAAATTGTAATTTTGGTTTGAGTTTGAAAATACTATAAAAATATTGTTCTTGAAAAGACTTTTTCAAATATAATTTTGTAATAATAATGTGTTGAGAAATTTTCAATTAAAGATATTTATAAATAATATATATATATGAAATAATATAATTGATTGTATTATTTTTAATACCAATTGTATTTCTGATGATAAACAGTATAAATTTGGATTCATGATTTATTTAATCATATGATATTGCTAAATTATTATAGTTGAATTATGTTTATTACAAATAGGAAAATTGTAAAGCCAAACAATATTTACAGGATAGTATAATAATTTGACCAAACATATAGTAAAATAGTATATCAGATGATAGAATTTTGATCCTTTATTAATGACATACAAGAAAATAACTATTATAATGAAGTTGATGAAGACCATATGCCTTAAATGCATATTTATTTTAAGAATATATTAAATGAGCATTTTATGATTTCATTCAAATAATAAGAAACATAAAATATTTTATTTGTTTTTTAGAATATTTTTAATGGGAAAAATATAAAACTAATTAAAATAGTAAAAAGAATAAAAAGTGATAATCTATATGAAAATAAACAGATATATTTAATTATTCTCGTCACTTTGTTATAGTTTTTATTGGGATTTAGTAATTGTTTAAGTAATAGAATAGCAAAAAAAATAGTAAATAAATTAAAAGTGAATACAACTATTATTAATATATTTATAAGAGGTATATTAGATTGATTTTATTGATTTTAATTTGAATAGATAGAAATTAGTTAGGAATTAAGAAAAGAGATCAATGAAATTATTCCATTAAAGAGAATGTTTTTTAAAATGATATTTTGAATAGTAAATAATAATAATAATAATATAATAAATATATAAATCTAATGCAGTAAGTGACTCCTGCATATGTTAGAAATCTGAATGGAATCACACAAGAGTATTTGATAGATATACATTAGTTTTTTGTGTCCTGTTAATGCTAACACTTATAATATTCAATTTTTGAAATTTAGAATAAGAGATATGGATTCTGGTTAAACACTATTTGAAGTTGAACGAGATCAAGATGAAGAGTCAATAGGTAAATTGTATATTGATTTATGATAGAAAATCTACCTCCAGAATATCAAGATGAGGCTAGACGTATAAAATATCATTTTGGACCATAATTTTTTGAATTGAAGACTGTAGGTGCTTAATTGACTTTTTCAGTGGGCAACAAACCTGTCAAAAATTTTACAATAATAGAGAGACATTATTTTAGAGATCATTTATTGAGAAGCTATGAATTTCAATTTCCTTTTTGCATACCGAATTCAACTAACACTTGGGAACATATCTACACAATTCCAGAGATAGATGAAGCAATGGTAATAAATAATGGTTAAGAATTATTAGAGACAAGAAATGATAGCAAATCCATTTTAGACAAAATCAGATAGTTTTTATTTTGTTGGAGATCAATTAGTGATGCATAACAAGGCAGAATATGACTATTCACCTTTTGATTGATATATATTAAAAATCTATTAATATATCATAATTTGGGTTTGATTATATTTTATTTGACTAACACTTCGAAAGCTTTGGATGTAATGGACCAAGTAGTTGTATATGATTACATCTATTCTATCCATAATTCAAAACTAATGATGTCTTCTTGTCTACCATTCTTTGAAATCAATTCCAACATCTATCCTCCTACAAATGATTCACATAAACTTATTATTTATAATTAATTTAATACATAAAACAGAGATCTCTAATTCTCATTTCAGAGTAATTGATAGTTCCTTATAATATATTTGATAATTCAGCAATAACTCCATTATGATTAATAGTCATTTTAGCAATATAGGGAATAAAGGTTTTTCTAGTTTCTGGTAATTGAGTGTCAGCTGATAATAAAGTCATCATAACATGTGTGTGAAATCTAGCATAAATATCTAGTTTTTGAAGTGGATCATTTTTATCATTAGATTTGAGAGCTCTCAAGAAATCTAAACATAAAACATTAGTTGTGCCTTCCCAAATTGTAAGTACTTGAGCATCTCTTAACATTAAAGGAATATAACTATTTTCCATATATCCTAAAGCACCTAAAGCTTCAATTCCTTCACTCATCCAATACATACATATTTTTGCAGTATATAATTTTAATAATGGAGTTAATATTCTAAACATTTCCTCATCATCTTTAGAAGCTATATTATTTTATATTTTAGAGAATAATTATGCCACTTTAAAATAAAATAAACTACAAGCTCTAACATTCAGATTGAATTTAGTAAGCATTGTTTAATGAGCAGGTTTGTCAATTAATACTTTTCCAAATGCTTTTCTCTTCAAAGAATAATTTACTACAATTGAATATAATCTATTCATAGATCCAACTGCTGAAGATGCATTATATAATCTAGTTACATTTAACATATAACTAATTCCTTTTACACCTTTACCTTCCTCACTTATTAGATATGCTTCACTTCCTTCAAGTAATAATTCAGCTGTTGGTAATTATCTAGTACCCATTTTATCTTTCATTGTCATTATCTTAATATTATTTAAAGTTCCATCATCTTTCTTTACTCTCATTATAAATAGAGATAATGGATATTTTCTAAAATCTTCAATCTTTTTCTCAGGAACTATTCTAGCCAAAGCCAATCTAATTATTTATATAGTACTGATACGTCATTTCACTATCAGTTGCTGATGAAAACCATTTATATCCATATAATTTGTATTTATTACCTCCTTAATGTATAGCAATTGTTGTGGTTGAATTATTTACATCTGATCCACCATCTTTTTCAGTCATCCATTATCCAGAAGTCCAAAATTTAGAAGGTTCTCTAGATGTTAAATTCTCAAATCCTTATTGTACTAATTTCATAGTTTCTTAACATTAGGTTGTTGGATTCTTTAACCATTATTTAAGTAAGTATGCTGCACCATCTGTCATAGCCAAAGGACAACCCTATTAGTTTAGGAATCAATTAATATCTTACAAATAATCCAGATACTGGTTAGTACATTTATAATCTCAATAATTGTATTAGTCTATTCCACACTCCATATTTACTCTCATATGCCATAGCTACTATTCCACACTATTTAGATTATATTATTACTTTTGCAGCATATTCCTTTTCCTTTCTCCATCCTTCTCCTAACACTAATTTATCAACCACATTCCCATAGACATCCTATTTAATCAGTTTTGGTGGATTCAATTCTGCATCTATACTGAATTAGTAAAGAACATCATTGCAAAATATTCCAAATTCTGTAAATTCTTTATCAATCTCCTTAAATTGATCCTAATTATATAGCACATTCTAGAGTTGAGTTCTGAGTATTCCTCCTACTAACCAAGGATTTGATGCTTCCAATTTTGGTTGAGTCATCGATTAAACTAATTCTAAATGCTTTTACATATTTATTTATATGAAATAAGCTATTTTAGATTTTATCAATTCAGGTATTCTTATAACAAAACCCATTGATGCATTCTATACAGAATAATTTGAAAACTTTACAAATGAATGCTACAATCGTCTTATTGCATTTTACATGAAATAATAAAGTGATGAAAAACTTAAGAGTGCTTACATTGCTCTTATGAAAGTTGTACAAAATCCAAAAGTTGAAAACCTCAATCTTTTAGTATTTTGTGGAGCATACATAGCCCAAAAGACTTACTATTATCAGTAAAATCTTATTCAATTAAATACCAAAAATATTGAAAGAATTCATTTAGATTGTTATCACATAATAACCTTCACTCTTAATGGTGTTATAGTATCTGATTAATATATTGAAACTAATCTAAAAAAGTATTTCACTGATAAATACTTGGATTACACAAAGAAAACTGCTCCTCCACCATAATATGTAAAACCCACAAAATTTTTTGGTCGTCCTATTGAATACACCAAATTAGAAAGTGATGAAGGAACAGAATTTGCTTAGACTCTATCAGGAATATTTAAACCTCCTATTAAACATAAGAAACTCCCTGTAGTTGAAGAATAAACTTAATATTAAGTTAGATAATAATTTAAATCACCTCCTATTAGAAGAATGAAAATTGATATTAATTCAATTTCACCTTCTCTTGCAACCGCCTTACATAGAACTAGCTTAGGTTTTGAAAAACCAAAGATTATAAATCATCCAATATTGAAATCTCAATTAGGAGATATGAATTTTATGTAAAGACTCAAAGATCTTGAATAAGATGGTGAATAAAAATTAGAGACTAAGATCTAAAGATCACATAGATAGAATATTGTTGAGTAGCATAACCTTACTTATCCTCCAAAAGAATATTTTTAGAAGAATGTTAAAGTGGATGCTCTATTTAAGAATTTTCTAGAGCTCAAATATGTTTTAGATTAACGAAAAGAAACTATGAGTTCAATCAAAGACATTAATGATTATTAACCTAGAATGCCCTATATTCCTACTTATACTCCATACCTATAATTTGAAAGTCCTTAACCTCAGAAATAGTAATTAATTCAAAAAAGCAGTTTCGAAATACTCCCTCCTTCTCATGAATTGGATAAAGCTACTATAAATAAGTTTGATATACAAGCTTAAACTACAAAATCAACTTTTAATAATTAAATTAATTCTACATTCTTCTTTAAGACAAACAATAAACCATAATCATTTTCAAAACATTCAACTCAAAATTCATTCTTTTAATATATGAACAAACAAAAAGAATACAAATAAAAATTTGATAGATTCCTCTCGAATGAATCATCTCCTGATAGAAATATTAACTAAATCAATAGTCAACTCTTGAAAAAACAAAATTTCTTAAAGAAAAGTTTATAAAGGTTAAAAAAATGAGACATATTTGTGCAATTTTTATATTTTTAATATAATAAAAGAATTAAGAATTTTGGAACCTTCTCTTACTTTTTTTGCCTATATTTATGTTAAATAGAAATATTAGGGAAAGGAATGAAATGAATGAATGAAATAAGATAAATTCTTATATGAATAATCCCATCAATGTCTGTTAAGGGATGTTTATGAAGCTAATGATCTGACTTAATCTTTGAAGAGTTGGATAACGACATCAATGATAGCATTTTCCTCTAAAAATATGTTAAATCAGCATAATTACCTTATCTTCTAGCAGTTTCTGATGCATAGAATTCTCTCTTTTCTTCCAAATCAGCAGTAGCACCAGCAACAGCGTTTAATGAATCTTTCCATAATTTAAGGGCTTTAGCTTATTGGGCTAAGACAGCTGGGAGTTACTAAAAAATCAGAATTAATGAGATACAGTTTCTAATTTTTCAACAAGACCTGTTCTTCTTTCATGTTCTGAATTCAACCATGCGACTTCAGCATTTGTATCTGAAACGTATTTGGCAAGAGCAAAGGCAGCATGGATTTCTTATTCTTAAAGTGTGGCAAGTGTTGATTCTAATTCTACTTATAAATCTTATAAGATGTTAAGGACTTATTCTCCAGTTGTTCCTTCTCTTTTAACTTCAGCAAGTGATTAGAATTTCTAGAGGGCATCTTATTAGAAGAGGTGACTGTAGGCAGACAATTTGTCAGCGATTGTTTAAGCTTTTTCAACAAGTTCAACTCCAGCATTGTTTGTAAGATATCCAGCAACATCTTATTGTAAAAGTTAAACAATTGCTACGGCATCAGCATGATCAGCAAGGGATCTGACAAAAAGTCCATTGGCCCAACATCTTTAATCTTAGAGTTATGCATTTCTTCTTTCAATTTCAGCAAGTCTAGCTTCAGCCCAGGACAACCATTAATATCCATCCTTTATAAAATTATTAAATAATTATACCCTAATTTAGGCTTCAACATCACCTCTAACTGCACCAAGGGATTCCCATTATTATTTATTGAGGGAAGCGACATTTGTCAAGTCACCAATAACTTATGAAAAGATTTCTATAAAGATATAATAAAATAAAGCTTACCCTCATCAGTATTATTCTTTTTGTCTGCAGCAGCTTAGACATTAACATTCTCTGTCTTGAGATCTCTCAAGAGATTGTATACTGATTCAACAGCATCATTTCCTCTTGTACCAGTTTGGAGGAGGACAGCAAATTTGTTTGTATCTGCGGCAAATACAGCAGCCACTAAGCAAATTGTGATGAGTGCTCTCATTTTTTTTTTAATTTAATTATCTAAAAAACGGGTTCATAATTTGGTTTAATAATTAATCATTTAATACTCAAAATTATTACAATAAATAATCATCAAACTAGAGTAAAGACATACATAAAAATAGATAGAATGGATGTAATCTTTATGATACATTATGGATCAATATAATATTTATATACTTAATTAATAATTTTAAAATATTGAAGTAATTATATAAATTTTATATTGTATATTAAATATTTAATATTTTTCATTTAATTAAACTAGAAGTCCATAATAAAAATATTCAAATATTACAAATTTCATTAAATCCTCTTATTTTATTATTAAAATTCAAGATTATTAACTATGAAATGAGATGTTATTTTTGATAATTTTATAAGGTTCATTACTCAATTTTATAAAAATAAAATGAAAAGTAATAATCGTAATACTTCTAATGGGTTACACAGTATGTCAGATAATTCCGATACACAAAGAGACGTAGAATTGGAAGAGATTGACATGAGTAAAATGAATCATTATACATTCTATCAATCTATGAATGCATAACAAACATAATATGAATAGATAGATGGAGAAATCTTCATTTATGAAGTCTTATAAAATATTGTTCACAAGACTATCAAAATAGCAGCAGATAATGAAATAAATAGAAAGATTCCACCAACAACAGCAACTGCTTCTTTATAACTAATCATCTTACCTCTAATACAATCCTTTAATCGACCTGAAGATCCAAAACCAGACTTTTAAACTGGTGGATTTAATGAAGACTATGAACCTGTAAAGAAAATTTTTATTGAAAGCCTCATATCTTCAGAGAATAATGGTTGACAGCAAAAATGATAGTAGAATAATAATAGCCCACAGCTATTAGTAGACAATTAACAACAGCTTAAACCTTAGTTAGATCTAAGTTGAATGTAATATTGATGTATAATTATAAAGGATTAATCTCAAATAAAAAAAGAATAGAAATAATTAGATCCAATTCCAATTGATCTTGATGATCCACTTGATATTAGTATAACAGAAGAATAGCTAAGAGCAGCTAAAGAAAAATAAATATTGGAACGTCAATAATTGTATGAATAGGAAAAGAAAAGAAAATTAAAATTGGAACAAGAAGAATAACTAAAATATGAAATTATTGCTAAAGATAAGAAATCAAAATAATTTACTTATGATTATGATGGAAAATTAATACCTGTTTCCACAACTAAAATTACAAAACTACCTCCACCTACATCTACTTTAGGGTAATAGAATAATTTATAAAATAGATCTAAATTTGAAGAAGAATTAATTACAAAACCTATACAAAAAAAGAAATAATATAATAAGTTAAATACACAAGGGAAAAGAAATGATGAAGACAAGGAGTCTTTTAAATTTAATTAATTAGCTCCTTTAGTTATTGAGAATATGAATTTGTAATCAGGTGTGACCATAAGTTATGAAGGTCGTTTAAAAGAAGGACTTAAATATAATACCATTGATTTGAATAATATGAATAATCCTAATTTAAGAATGGCAAGACTTGAATATTTGGGATTAACTTAAATAATGAATTCCAATAGAAATTAAATAAATACTGGGAATATTAAAGCTGAAGATAAAGAAATTAATTAAAAACCTAATTTCAGTTATGAAAAATTGAAAAGATTTACTTAATAGTCTAATACAGGATAAGGTTAAATTAAGTAATATTAATGTCCCTTATAAAATATAGAATTAATTCCACTAAAATTTATGATTAATTGGCTTCAACTTTATTTGAAGAAGAATCAATGTCATCCATACCAATTAAGAAATCATAAGAAAGTACTTAAAAAATGTAAAAGAATCCAATTGATTAATTCAACCTATCTTTGTATTAGAATACTTCATGGGGGAAAGAAAAGTAAAATTTAAATGCAACATATACTAAATTGATAACAAATAAGGCAATTGATAAGTTTATGACCATTTTTATAAAATAGAGATTTAAAAATGACAATTGGGAATAAGGATAAAAGACCTAGAGAACGTAAATTTTATTCAGAAGGCAGTACATTACCTAATATTAGAAGTCAACGTGTTTTTTATAAAATATGATTAAATTTAATATTTTTTTGTTATTATATGAATTTTCATTAAATATTGATAATTTAAATAGAATATATTTGATTTTAAATATTAGTAGATATTATAAAATGTCAAATTAATTATGTTTCATAATAACAAATCAATTTCAATTTATCATCTAATTCTGCTTTTATAAAATTTATAAAATCCATACAAGAACAATCTAAAGTTAAACGTTTCATCAAATTCATTTATTTGAATATTTAAATTCCATATATGATATCATTTTAATCTATTTATATTCCCTTTAAATCTAAATTTAAATTTATCACAGATTTAATCGATGCTAAACTACAGAGAACACTACTTACATTTATATTCCTTGCCCTAATTTACTTGTACAATAAAAGTACTTATTCAATATTATTTCGATATCTTTAATTATTGCAAAATCACCCAATAATTACATCAATTTATCAAATTCCTTATTATCAACTTATTAATTAAATAAATTAATTTTAATTGAGAGCACACTTGATAAAGAAAGCTAAGTTGTCAGTCTTAATTGTTCTTCTTCATTTATAGAATTGAGTCTTATAAATGTAACAGGAGGATCTGGTATTTGATTCAAAAAAACACTTTAAAATGGTGTAATAGAACTTTGATTAGCTATGGAATGAAGATGTTTAATTAAAGTTCTTTATTAAATTGAATTTTTCAAACTTAACATTAAAATATTAGCTATTTCATCACTTATCTAAATTAAAATAATTTTGATTACCCATATTAATTTTTTATTTATGATATTAATTCATTAACAACTTTTGATTAATGAATACCCTCTAATTCTTTATTAGTACAAAGAAGAGCAGCCTTGACTATACATACTCCAAATTGCCAACTATCAGTCAATTTACCATTAAATTAAGTTGAGTTTAGTTTTTCAGGTGGAAAATATATGGAATCATATTCTAATTCAGTTTTATAAGCATGTCCATCAATTATATATTTATCTTTATATTTTTCATTTGGTTCTTATATTCCAGTTAATTTAAGATTTTCTTAATTGATAATAATGGAATTAGTAGTAATTCTATTTGGATAACAATCATTATTATGAAGGAAAAGTATTGCTTCTAATAATTACTAAATTAAATTCCAAAGTTCATTATTGGAGAATGAAATCTTTTTAATTCTTTTTTCTTAAATAATTTCCTCTAGACTTTATCCCTCATAAGCTTCAATAGAGAATAATTTAACAACATCATATATTTTATTAATTGATGAATAAAATTGTTCAAAATGCTACTTTTTACAAGATCTAGGTTATTTAGTTGATCCAAACATACTATCCATAAAATTAAGTTTTTAATGTAAAAAGAATATATGTATAATTTTACAAATCAAAGTAAAATCAGTGAAATATAAATGAGTATTAAAATAATGGTTAAATAACTCTTCACTTTGACTTCTTAAAACATAAAATTTATGCAAAATAACTTTTTTTCCTTATAATGAACAAAGTGTAGTTTTGCCAAATATTGATTATTTTAATACTTTTTCTGGTTTAATCAATTTGAATAGTTCTGTTTTAGTTGATATTTCTTTTGATAATTCTTTTTGTCTTATAGCATCAGCTCCATCTCGTAAAAAAAAAATTAATGGCTTACAACTAGGAGGTGGTGATTTAATTAATTATGAAAGGTATTCTCCAATCAATTATTCTTTTTGTTTGACAAATTTATGTTCTCCCATAAATGATTGAATTAAGTCTTTCTTCGGAAATTGAGGTAACTTAATTTAATAGTATATATTTACTTGACGGTCTGGATTTAAATCTTGCAAATGAGAATGTAAATCTTATAAGAAACTATATTTGACCCTTATATCCCTTTATTCAAATGTTTATGAATTGATAATACGTAATTTGTACAAAACATTATCAGAGTGAGTCTCCACTCCAATTATTTTGGCATCATATATCATTCTATTTATTATATAATAAATTATATAGAAAATAAACATAATATTTAAATCTAATTATAATTTAAATAACATAATCAAATTAAAACTAATATAATATCAAAATTAAGCATAAACAGCTCCAATCCAACCAAATACAACTCCTGTAATTTCTAAAATAACTATGAAATAATTCAATTTATCTCTATATTCCCTTATATAGATTAAAACAGGAATTAGACAAACCATTGTTGTACCTAAAAGTCCTCCTATTAAAGTAACATAGCGACTTAGAATAGAAATAAGAAAAATTACTTTATATTAGGTATAATTAATGCTAATATTGCACTTCCAAATTGGAGTATTAAAGTTGAATAAATGTGAATCTTTGATCTAAAAGAATCAACACTATCTACTTCAAAAGTTATCTTTCCATCCTAAGCCTAAATTCTTAAATTTCTATGTTTTAATTAATATTCCATCTCATCAGATAATAACATATCATGAATAATTTATCTACAAGCTAATATATTCAAAGGAACAGCAAAGAATAAAGCACAAGACATACCTAATTTACCTATAAAAAAGAAATCTCCATGATAATTATTAATAACCCAATTTTTGGTATCATCTCCAAATCTTAAATATCCACTAATACAAATTAATGAATAAACTATATAACAAATTAAGCATTATCTTTTCCATATTTTAGATTAACGTGTAATAGTTGGATTATGTAATTCCTTTCTAATTGGAAATATAAATAAATGACATAAATAACAGAAAAATGTCATAGCAAAAGTAGTAAAAATATTGAAATCTACATCTATCAATTTGATTTTAATATCATCTTTATATGAACCTCTTACAAAATAATCAAGTGATGTAAGAGAAGTTATGTATATTACAGATATTACACCAACTAATGAAAAATATCTTAATTTGTACAAAGTCTTTTAAAAAGAAATCAATAGGTTAGGTATTATGAATATTAATTATACTATTATTGCCAATTCTCTTTAATCAACTACTATCTCAAAATATCTAAATAATTCATATATAAATAATTAAAAAGAGATCTAGATTTATGTAATTCCCAATAAACATTAACAGATAGTTAATATTTCAAAACATCTCTTCATCTTATTTCCTAAACTCATTTGAATTAGTTCACTAAAAGATGAACATTGTAAATCACCTGCACTCCAACTTAAAATGTGCATCGATATACATGAGATTATTCCACAAAGTGCAATCAACAACAATTCGATTATAAGTCCTTATTCTTTTGCTCTATCTTAAATACAACTCAATATTTATACATGGCAACCCTAGCATTCCAACACCCAAACATGGAGCAAGCAAACTGATAATACTCATTCTTATTCCACCTTTTTTCAGAGGACCGAATGTACGTTGACACCAATTTAGTTACTATTCTTTCTCCTAAACTGGCTCTTCCATCTCCATATAGTTACTAATGAACGTTGATTGCATGTCACTAAAATGTACTTATGAATATGACATTATTAATATAATCAATGACATTATTTTAACCAGACTTGAGAAATTTAGAATTGCTATTCTCAAATAATCCTTAGAAAAATTCTATAAACTAACACATCATCTCTAATCTATCAAACTCATTATACAAAAGAAATTTACATCTTAATCTCATATCAAACTTCATTAAACATTCCATATAACTAAACTAATTCTATTATTCTATAACAAATTTATATATACTATACTTTTTTTTATTTTTAAATTATACAAATAACTATCATGTAATACTTTTTTTATTTAAATTTAGAGATTAATACAACATTATCTACTACTTAAATTATTTTACAATTTTTATATATTCTATCAATATATATATTTAAAATATTATAAGGAAATCAAAAAAAACTTAATAAATTACTATTTAATATATAGATTCTTAATAGTAACTTAGAAAAATGGTTTCGTAATTATTTATATATATTTAAATTAAATATATATGTATATAATTTAAATCAAATAAATAAATAAAATGTTTTTCTCCTCTTCTTTTTAAGAATTTATGGAAAAAGAAAAGTCTATCTATTCCACTTTGTAAAAACATCTTGATATAATATTAGTATACTTATATATTTAAATAGGCGAATTAATTAGATTTCACTTATCATTCTGTGTTTCAACTATTTAGCCATATATCTATATTACACAATACTTAAGCAAATCTCTTTTAGGCTCTAATGAAAATGGTAGGTAGTTTAGTGGAATAAAATAAATAGTAAAATATAAATGATTTACTTCTTCTTGATAATTAACCAAAATCAACCAAATTTTTATAACCAAATTTTTTTGAAATTTTTGAAGACAAATAAATTCAAACATCAAAAATATAAAAACTATTGAATGCAACAGAAGATAATAAAAAAATTTCAATATAAACTGAAATTGAACTTCCAAAAGAAAAAGTGTATAGAGAATCTGTTAAGAACAGAAAAGAACGATAATAAATGGATGCTCATGAATGTGAAGAATGTGAACGATTTTATAAAGCATTACCAAATACGAATTAAGCAGAAAAATTAAAACAGGATTTTTCAAGGCATAGAATTAATCATAAATTAAATCAAGAAAAATTACTATTAACTCCAGAATGATTTGTATATATATCTATATTTATGTATTTAAAGTTTATTCTTTTTATTATTAAATTTGCATTCCTTTATAAAAAAAATAAATATATATTAATCTGAAAGAATTTATTTTTTAATTAGAAAAATAATTATTTTGTACTTCAATATTAAGAAAATTAATTATATTTTAATAAATTTTTTATATCTAGAAATAAAATTAAAAAAATATTTATAATTATAGACTTCAAATATAAAGGGTAATTAATAGATATTAAATCATTAAATATATATAGCTACCATTTGAATAATTAAAGGGGAGCATTTAAATTTAAGTTTTTAATAAATGAATAATTTTCTATTTTTATTGTCATTTCTAATTTAGTTTTTATTCTTTCAAATTACTCACATTTCTTAATTTCTTTATTTAGAATTGAAATTTACAATAATTTAAAGAAAGAAAAGTAATAAAAATAATTAAAAATTGAAAGATTTTGCATTTTAAAATTCTTAATTATTCTGAAATAATTAAAAAATATTTGGAATATTAAATTTTATGTGATTTTAGAAATAAATGAATAATTTTAAAGATTTATTTTTGTATCCTAAATAGAATTCTATTTTTAGTTTTTTTAAAAATTATCTTAAAGGTTTAATTTTAAGGCAAACGAGGTTTTATCATAATCTTTAACATAATCATCATGAACTATTAATTTAAGTTTTAAGAATCGTTTCATAGAAGTTTCTATCGAAGAAAATTATTTATTTAATAATAATTAATAAATTCTGGTTAACTTGAATAGTGAATTAATCCTATAAATAATGGGGAAATGAAGATAGTTTCTGAAGAAAGTTCAGAAATAAAAATGAAATGAGAATTACATGATTTATGGATGTTTGTATAAGATTATAGTTTTAAATTGATAAAGGTTCTAAAATTCTGAAAAATGATTTCTACTGACATTTCTATCGTATTAAATTAATCTAAGAGTATGATTTCTCTTAATTTTCATTAATTATAATATCTCAATAATTAAATATACATGAATTAATAGATATCATAGGAATATTTCATTCAGAAATTTTCATCTTTACATTTGAGTGAGAGTAAGAATAAAATTGATTGTAGCTGATGATGATACTTCAAGAAATGAGAGTCCGGTTTTGGATTCTAGATTAATGGAGTTTGTGAGTGGATTGGCAGCTCATATAAAAATAAAATTAGAAAATTTCAAACCCAGCTAAAACTCTTAACTTTCTAAACAAAACGATGGTAGTATATACTTTGGTGTGATGGAGGATAGCCTAAAACATGGAATAGGTATTTAACTATGGCCTAAAATTGGAAATTTATTAAAAGGGTATAAATGAATATTTAAGTTTTCTTAGGACTTGGTAAAATGATTTACTGGAAGGTGTATGTACAATGTTTTATTCTAATGGAGATATGTAAGTATAATAATTTTATAGTAGTTTTGAAGCTCAATTCTCATAAGGTAGGGCTATTGGATTTGGTATGTTTAAATCGGAAAAAAAAGTTGTAAAAGGTATAAATATTTGTAATTTATTTTAGGAATCTGGATCAACAATCAGCTTTAAGGTGAAGGATAAGAGATAAGGAATGATGGGACTACTTATTATGGATAGTTTTGGGATGGCAGGAAGCATGGGAGAGGCATATAATTATTTCCTGATGGATGCAAGTATAATTCTTATATAAATCTTTAGATATGAAGGATTCTTTCAAAATAATAAATTTGAAGGAGATGGTCTATTTACATGGAGTGATGGTAGTTATTACTAAGGTCAATTTCATAGAGGATTAATTTTAGGATTTGGTAATTACAATAATAATAATGGACTTTAATTAATGGGACAGGTATTATATTTTAATTAAGTTTATTAGTTTTAAGAAATTAAAAAAAAAAAATTGTTAGAATAGAATCTCAATAAAAATCTATAAACCATAACATTTTTGAATTAATATAACTAAACATTGCTAATCGAAAAGATACGCATTCTCTGACTTGATGATTTATATATTTATCAAATTTATTTAAACATTTGATTCACTTAGATTGTCTATATTATAATTAAATTTATTATATAAAAATAAAATTCGTTTTTGGAATTTTTAACATTTAATTATCAGGTGTTGGCTTCATTATTAATTACAATAAATGTATAAATTAGCAGTCTGCACATTGCTTATCCTTAGCGTAACAGCAATAGATGTCACCAACTCAGTTTGGACAAGTCACGACCAAAAAGCTTTTGCCTAAATCAAATAATCAGGTTGGGGAAATTTCATTTTGAACTTTGGTGAACTCCATTTAACAACAGGAGGTATCCTTGCAGAATTAAACACAGAAATTGCCAAACTTGTAATGCCTTTTTTCATTAATTCATATAGATTGACGAATTGGATGAGGAATTAGCAGAAGTCCATCACTAATATGCAAGAAGAACAGATGTTCATAATAGAGAAGTCAATAGACTTTCATAAGAAATCTAAGATAAAGAAAGAGGTAACCTTATTAACTCTATATAATTTAGAGGTCTTCAATGCTCATGATTTCTATGATAATGTTTTGATCCCATAAAGAGACAGATTTGCTGCTTAACTTGAATAATTATAAGATAACATTGTTTAAAACAGAAGAACACTTAATGAAGCTACAGTCTAAAGAGCTAATGATCATGCTGAATTTGAATCCTTAGTTGCTGAACACAATGAAGCTATTAGTGCTATTGATGAATCCTTATAATTATTAAGTCAATTGGAATCACCATCCCTTGTTTAAATCTAAAAAGTCTAAAAGAATTTGACCAAAATTTAATAATCCCTCAAGAGACACAGCACATTCTAAACATTCATTAAGACTCTTTTAGAAATTGCAGTTGAAGCAAACTTTGCTGATTAAGGTGCTCTTAGAGAAGTAATTAATTATAATGATAATGCTTTAGATTCTTACTGCCTTCAACAACTTGAGAGTGTAATTGGTTGACTCACTTAATCAACTCACTGCTGATGAAGCTGAAGCATAAAAAGACTTCGAAGCAAGAGTTATCTAATTAAACTAAGAACATGCTGAATTCCAAAGAGCTGTTATTGTAAAGACTGCTGAAATTGAGGCTAATGCAAGTATTGAATTCATACTATTGATTTTTAGACAAGATTGAATAAACCCTTGATTTGATTGATGTCTTACATGCTGATTTGGATACTTTGAATGGATAATTGTAAGCAGAAAACGATGACTTCGCCTTTGCAACTGATGTCTATAATGCCACTGTTGCAGAATACAATAAGGAATTGAATGCTGCCCATTAAGCTTTGGATTTATTAAATTAACCAAGATTCACCGATTATGTTAAATCATAACTCAAGGGAGCATTTTGATATTATTCATTCAATAATAGTAAATGAATTCATTGTATAAACCATTCTTCATTAAATTCATACAATTAAATATAAGTCTATCTCTATTTATTAATTATATTATTGTAAATCTTTTATTTAATTTTTGAGTACATATATATAATATATGGATTCAAAATAAAATTATGTTATTAAATAGAATGTAACAAAACAATAAATCATAATATCATAATAAAATATAGCTCTTTTTTTTAGTTAACATATTGATTCTTGCAATTTGAAGATCTTCTTCAATTTATTTTCTTTCTCCAGTTTCTGGATCAATTTTAATTCTAATCTCTTCACAATAATATGCAGCTGGAGTTAATTTTATAATTGCATGTATTGGAATCTCTAATTAAGGTACTTCTGATATTTCATTTCTATGAAAATAAGCATAAAGACATCTTAAAATAGCCTAATGTCCTATAACTAAAACAGGTTCTCGAGATCTCTCAATTTCATAAATAATTGGTTCTATCCTACTTATCAAATCTAAATAGGATTCTCCTCTTGGATATCTATATGTTAATTTGTTCACCTTTCTTTCCTATTTGGTGTTAATATTACAAAAGATACAGCAAAATCTTCAGGAAATTATATTGCAATTTAAGTATAAGTTAAACCATCACAAATGCCTACATTTATTTCATCTAAAGTCTTTAATTACAAATAGTTTATCTTAAGAATATTACATACAATTTCAGCTGTATGAGTTGCTCTTTTCATTGTAGAAGTTAAACAATGAATTTGATTTCTCTATTCTTATGTGGGAAATTCATCAAGCAAAAATTTCCCTAATTATTCTGAATATTAGATTCCTTATTAAGATAAATCACAATCTCCACCTACTCTATTTTCTTAATTAAATGTGCTCCCTCCATGTCTTGTTAAATATATTGGTCTTGGATAGATATGTAGATTCATCAAGTATGATATTATTTTTGATAATAAATATCCTTTCACTTTATGAATTTAAATCTTAATATAAATCAATATGATACATCTTCACCAATATTAATTAATTTGATAAATGATAAATTCTCATCTAGATCTATCTTTTAATACACTTCCTCATACATTTTTATTCTTCCTAAAAAATCTTTTGTAGCATCTTCAGGATTCATTGAAACATAATCAGGATTATTAAGTTTTGTTAATCTGATATTATTTTGAATCACATCTGCGTCATCACAAATTGATTCAATCCAAAGAGTTTATACATTTTGACATTATTATAATAAAGAACATTAAACCATATTTCTCCTCTCTTTTGTTGTATTTGTCCCATCAAAAATAGCAATTTCTCCATCACTATTTAAATAATTAATCAAATCATTCAATGCCATCTAAGCACATTCATTTCTTGCTTTAGTTGCCTAATTAATGATCAATATACTTATTCATTTTTTGAATCAAAGAAGCTCTTATCACATTCAGTTCCACAAATTTCCCTTCTATAATTTCCAATATTGAACACCTTACAATTGTAACCTAACCAATTCAAATATCTATGAAGTTTCCTAGATATATATGTTTTTCCTCTAGCTGGTAATCCAACCATACATAAAGCTATTTTTTAAGACTTATGACAATCTTGCATAAATAATTTAAAATTTCAATTTTATAATATTCTTTAAGAAATGCTTCAATACTTCGTCATTATTCATATTATATTATCATCTTTGATGTATATAAATATTTATTTAAAAATTATTCATTTATTATTCTTAAATATACATTCATCACTTATAATTTTATTATCATTTTATATATCAAATAATCAAGTCTCCTTTTAATATAATAATTCCTTATATTTAAATATATCTACATTTTCCCTTTAATAATCTATTCTATTTCAGATAAGAGCCAACACTTCAATAATTTAAATAAGTATTAAATCTAGTAATTATTTTTATTTATAAAAGTTAAATTTTATCAATTAAGTTTAAGATTTCTTATTTCCTGAAGTGGTTACTCTATTCCTCTTATTCTTGCTGTTAAATTTAAATCTTTTGCCATCAATGTTACCCTTTTAGCATGAAAGGTACACTATACTGAATCTTCGAATAAATCTACCATATATTGTTCAGTTAATGTTTATAGACATTCTAAGGATTTACTAGAATATCTAAATTCTTTAAATCCAAGTTCATCCGATACCTTAATACCTGCCCATCTTACAAATCTTTAAAATCCTGCTCGGCGGCAAACTAATATACTTGAAGTTTAAAGTTATCTAATTTCTTATAATACTTTAGACATTGGTTTATTTCTCTTTTATAGTTTATCCCTTGCTTTTTATACTTAAATTCCAGAAATTCTTTCATCTTTCTTTCTTTCAGATTTTTTGCTTTCCTCATTTGACTTTTCTTCAATTATGCTTTTCTCATCTGAATTAAACAAAGAATGCATAAAACTTGGCATTTATTCATTATTATCCACTTAAAAAGATTAATTATTATTCTCTTTTGCTTTCTTTTTTCTATTTGCCATTTCTCTTATAAAACTATTTAAAACTATTTAAAAATAATAAAAATATTAAGTGTTTGCAACAAAAAATAAAGTTATGTTTCATTAAATCTAAAAATTAATTAAAAACATCTTTATACTTACTAAACTTTAAGGAACTATTGATTATGTTAAATATTAATTTTATATCAATAATATATTTAAGATAATGCAATAATTATAGATTTAATTGCAAAATTCTCTTAATTAACTCAATGAGAATAATTAGAAATTCTTAGAATTAATATTTCCATAATAAAACACAACTAAATCATTAAAAAAGCAAAAAATATAAACAGATAAATTTACATAAACAATTGATATGAATCAACAGCATTAAAAAACATCTGCTCTTATAGAGTTTAATTAAAATTAACTAGATGTCATTGATGATATGATTAAAGAATTTGAATTTAAAATATCCTAATAATTAGAATAACAATAATTTGATCAATACAAATAGCGAATTTCATAATAATAATTAGAAATAAATAATCTAAAGAAAAAATTATAATCTAGATTAGATTCTAAATATGGCCCTAATCATTTAGAAGTTGAAATAAATAAAAAAGAAATTCTAAAATATTAAAAAATGATCAAAAAACAATAAAAAGAAAATTAAGACTTAAATCAGTTAAATTAATAGTATGAAATAGCTGAAAATGCTCTTCAATCAATTTAATAATCTAAAACACTTTGAATGGTCTAAATAAATAAATTCTAAAAATATATATTAATGATCCTTAATATTATAGTAATTTCATTATTACAATAAATGATTTCTTTTTTCTTTGTCTTTATTTGCATTCTGAAAGTTGTTCCTCATTTTTTTCAGAATATTTGTTAAAAAAACCCAAATATATTACAATTATTTTATGAATTAATCTATGATAAATTTCATGAAAGTCTATAAGATTTATTTAAATTTAGGTTAAATCTTAATAAAAGTAATCTAAATCAGAACGATTCAATTTTTTTTATTTTCTTTAATTCTCAATATATAATTTCTTTATTAAAGATTCGATTTATTTATATAGATAATTAAACACTAATTATCTTATTAGTGTAATTCTGAATAGAAATTAAAGAGATTATTATCCTAAATAGTAATTTAATAATAAAAACTTCTATCTTTTTAGAATTTTTAAGTATAAAAATTTTATTAATCTATTTATTTTCATTTGTATGGTATTAATAATGATAATTTATGTTTTATATGCAGTTTTAGGATTGATCTCTTATCTATTTGTTATCAAACCATTAACAGAGATGATCCGATTAAAACTTCAATTCGGTAAGGATTGTAAGATTTCTTTTAATTTTTTTGGAAAGGAGATATATGATTAATTAAAAGAAACAAAGGAAAGTAAAAATGAAAGAGATATTTTTAATAAGTAGAAAACAGCCTACAATAAATATCAATATAAATTTTTTATGACCAATATGCTTTGGATTATAAGAATTTCTATTGCAGATCCTTTATATTAAAAAGAGGCTCTCTTAAATCATTAATTATATTAGAAAGTAGATCCTGTTTGTCATAAGTAAATTATTTTATGAAATATTAGTGATTTATTATCTAAAGGACTTATGTGGTCAAAAGGTGAATAATGGAAAAAATAAAGACTACTATTATCAAGTTCTTTTGAATTTGATTCTTTAAAGAAAAAAGTACCTATGATAAATGAGATTACTTAAAGTAAGATAGACAATTTTTCAAATGAAAATGTTTTATCATCCTTGTAGTCTATCACTGGTTTAATTGTAATAAAGAGTTTTTTTGGAATTCAAACAGATCAAATTTACATAAACAATACAGAATTACAAGTAGAAATTGCTAATATAATGAATGAAATGGGATATATGAGATTTAAATCATAAATTTAATCTACAAAAAGACTCATTTTTGGTACAAAAGCATGGAAGATTTTCCCTACAAAAGAAGAAAAGAAATTATTATAAAGAGTGAAAGACATGAGATTAATAGTTGAAAATTTAGTATAATAAAGAATAAAGTATTTTGAAGATTCAAATAATTCATAGATTAATAATAATGAAAACTTTTTAAATATATTGGTGAATGAATATCTTAAAATAAAAAATAAAAAATAATAAGAAACTACATTAGATTAAATTATTTAGGAATTCATCACATTATAATTTGCTGGAACTGACACAACAGCAGTATTATTATACCATTGTCTCTATTTTTTGGCTTATTATCCACAGGCTTAAGAAGAGATAAGAAGAGAAATAAATGAATCTTGTCCTTCATCATATATAAATGAAAATGAAATTAATAATTTAAAGAAACTTTCAGCATTTATTAATGAAGTCTTGAGATTAAAGAATCCTGCTATGAGACCTATTATAAGAGTGGCCACATAAGATCATAAATTAAAGGATTTAAAAATTAAGAAAGGTAATATATTTATCAATTAATTTAATAAGGATGGTTAGTATGTATTGATTATTTTTTGTAAAATTAATCAGAAAAACATTTTGATAATGCTGGATAATTTAATTACACTAGATGGTTGTAGGATAAACCAATCAAAGAAGATAATAATTTTATTTATATGCCTTTTTCAGCAGGTCCTAGAAATTGTATTGGATCTTAGATGGCTTTATTGGAAGTTAAAATCATATTAGGTTAAATTTTAAAAAGATATTAAATAATGATAAATAAAAATGTGGAAGTTTCATGGGAAATACATTTTAACCATTAACTCAGTCCAACGAATGCTGTAATTTTAAATAAAATAAAATGATTTAATCTTATTAAGTATTTAAAAAAAAAATAATCATAATTTTTTTCATTTAAATTTATAAATAATATCTAGCTTAATTATATTTATTTAATTAGATAATGAAAAAATGAGTGTAATAATTTAATAAAAAAAAATGGTATAATATTATTATAGTAATTTGATTAAATTTATTGTAAATGATAAAGTGATAAATATTTTGAGATTAAATCAAGTATGTTTTGAATAATTTACAAATTAGTCTTTTGTATTTATTTTGAAATAATAATAAAAATAGAAACAAGAGATTATAATATGAGAAGATTAATATTTAATGCAGATTAAGTTAGAAGAGCTTCAACTGTTTTATAAAAGTTTGATATTAGATAAAGTTTAACAGGATCAAAGTAAGAATTATATTATAAATTGAGTAACAAAGATCTGATTGATGTCATGGTTTATGTTTTATAAAAGCCTTGTGAGATTAGAACTTCAACTGATGTGTTTATGTTGAGATCAGCAACTAGATCAATTGAATTTTTTAATAACCTAGACTCAGATTTATTGCATGAATAATGTTGCAAATCATTAAAATATAAATATTTGCCAGCAGGACATTTTGTATTTAAGGAAGGAGATATTGGAGATAAATTTTATATAATAATAAGTGGAAGAGTATAGGTTTTGAAAGACTTTAATCCAAATGATTTATAAGCATCGATATATGATCATGAAATAAAATAACTATCTAATGGTGATACTTTTGGAGAAAGAGGAATGGATATGGAAGCAACAAGAACTGCATCTTGTAGAACTTTAGAGAATAGTCATTTAGCTTATTTGGAGAGAGATAGCTATTTAACAATTTTAAATAATGTTAAGCATTTGATGAAAAAGACATATTTTGAAGAATTTGCAAATTTAGATTTGTTTCATAATTGGAAATTTCAAGATATAAAAGCATTTTATGATAAAGCTTTTATAAAGAAATATTCAATGAATGCTTGTGTATATAAGGAAGGAGGTTCATTAGATTATGTATATATTATAAAGAAGGGTGAATTTAAAATAGTGAAAACAGTATTAACTTCAACAATAGATTTGAATGAAATGTTTATGGGAGATTTTGAGAAGATTTTATTAGGAATGAATCATAAATAAAAAACATTATCAGAAATATTTGAAGCAAAATATCAAAAGAGAAAATTTGGAAATAATTATTATAAATAAATGAAGAAATTAGTAACAATAAAATATATAACAAGTGGTTAAATGTTTGGAGAAATGGAATTATTAATGTAAAATTAAATTACTAGAACACATTCAGTTTATTCAAATACTGATTAATCTGAATTATATTAATTAAAAGTAGAACATTTTGAAGCTATACTAGATAAAATACCTTAAATTAAATAATAATGGATATAATTATCAGAATAAAAAAATAAAAATTTTATGAAATAACTATTATCTTATGAAAAAAACTTTAATGATTTAACTGAAGCAAAGAAAGAAATTGAAAAAAATATTAATCTAGACTTTTTGGAAATAGGAACTAGTGAAAAACCTAAACCAGCTAAACAACTACCTAGAATTGATACTGAAATATCTACAACCAGAAAATAAAAATTCATCAAAACACAAATAGAAATGTAAATGTAATAATAAAGTAAAAAAAAATATTTAATTAAAAAATAATACTAAAATAGCTACTTCTTTAATTCAACATCATCAAGAATGAGAACTGATGAATAAGAATAAGAAGAAACTCAAAATGAATATAATTTTGTCCATCTCACCTGTAAATGAGAATAATTAATATGTATATATTTATATATAGCTATTTATTTATTCCAACTATATATTTCAACCTATTTGTACTCCTCTTCCTGTAAATGCTTAAAACTACCCTCTCTACTCTTATTATTAAGGTTAAGCTGGTTAATTGTAGTATGGTTATTATTAGTATTATTACTATTATTGATTAGTATTTTATCCCCAATCATTCTATTGATTTGTTTGGATCAATCCTCCCATTTAATCATATTATAATATTTTGAACTCTCTATAAGCCAAAAATGCCACATAACATGCTCCAATATAATAGAAAAACAAAATAAAAAATGTTACTCCAAATCTTGTTGGCTAAAAGAATGAAATGCTCAATTCAACATTCATACCAAAAAATATAAAAATCATCAATAACTACATAAGTAAAATTTTAATACATTTTATAAAAAGTAAAATACAGCAATCACACAATTACAATAATTTAATTATGCCCATGCCATATATAGTATGAATATAGTAAAGAAATCATAAAATCCTGCCATTTATTGTAAAACGAATAATTTAATCAAGCCAACCACAAATTAACTTACTCCTAAAATTTATAACATTTAAACTGCTTTTTTTGTTCCTTATGTAGGTGGTGGAATAGATTAAAAAGGTATGCACATTTATTATTATATTTAATAATTAATTATAATTATATATTTTCAAACTTATACCTCTATAAACCCATTTTGTATTTCTACTTCCTCCTATAAGTACTCTTTAAGATATTCTTAAGTCTATGGTCCAATAATAGGTATACCATTTTTCGAATGATTACCTACAACATATATATATAATTTACCTTTCCCAACAATTATTTTAAGTTTAACATATTTATAACCCAATCTATATTTATATAATCGAATTTGCTCAAGTAATCCATCCAAAAGAGCTTTTATTTCAACTTTATAAAAATTGTGAAAATCTACTCTGCAAATACCATCTTCAATATTTATAAGTTTAAGAAATAGTTCCTTACCCTCCTCTTAAAGGGTTTCTATTTTTTAGATACAAATTTATAAAGCATCTTTAATTACAACTCTTTTTATTTCTTTCTCCTTTTTTAATTAAAAGATCTCTCCTTTATTCTATTATAATAGTTTCATCTATACTCTATTTTCATTTAATTTTTAAATTAATTTTTTCCTTTCTTCTTTTTCAATTTATTTATTTTAAGATTATTATCTTTTATTTTATGAATAACTTTTAGTCTAAAATGTTGAATACGAATTTCTTCTAGTTTTATATAAATCATTATTTTATGTAAAGTAATAATTTTCAAAGTTGTTCTCTGGGAACTTATGATTTACTTAATAATTTTGATATTAGACCTGTTGATATTTATCCTCATAATCTCCAAATTTACAATTATTAATCAGAATGATAATTATACATACAGTACTAATAATTAAAAACCATGTATCTAATTATGAAATTATAGATGGAATATATGTTAAAAAGTGCCAGACAATGACCAATAGTGTTGATATCAAATAAAAAAGTAAGTTGAACAATTATTAAATTAAATACCATTTTATTGTTAATAATGTACTAAAACTTAAATAAATTAGTTCATCAATAGTAGGAGTCAAGAACTCTAATAATGATAACTTTTATTCAAATATAGAGTAAATGTTTATATAGATTATGTAAATCGTCCAATAAAAAAGAAAGTGTGATAAAAGTCTTAAAAAAAGTTTAATCATAATTTATTATTAAATTATTATAAAAATTACTTTACTTTATGATTGGAGTTAATCAAACTAATAGAATATAAAAGATTAGACATACTATTTTATTCTTATAAATACTGATAAATATATATATATTTTTATAAAAGATTTAAGATTCAAATGATAACATCTATTTTCCCTTCTATTATTTCCACTTATTGTTAAAGGTACTACTATATATACTATTTTGTAATTGGACCAATTATAGGTTTTTAATTTTTTGAATGTAAACCTATAAACTTATATAAAATTTTATACCTTTCCCTACTATTATTTGCAATTTTATTTATTTTTATTAATTGCAAAGTTTATATGATTCAATTTTCTCAAATACTCCATCAAGTATATTTTCAATTTCAGCAGAAAAGAACTTATGAAAATCAATTCTACAAAATCCATTATCATCAATAACCATTAAATCAAGGAATAAATTCCTACCTATTTTCTCTAATTTTTTCTTTTCCAATCTTATTTATTATAATTGTTAATTACATTAATTTTCATTTATATTACAAGCTTTAAAATTCATAATAAATTCTTACTTTAATATTATTTTATTACTTTAGCTTTTTGATTATTTATAGCAATAACTTAATTTCGATTTAATTCAAAATCAGCCTTTTTTTATTATTTAGTTTATTAATCACACTATCAAAATAGATAAAATAATACTTTTTTAATATCAAATTTAAAATTCTTTTATTCTATTATTTTTATTGCTGTTTAATATAATGATTATCCTTCAATATTTTGAATTTAATTAACTTTTTTAAATTCTTCTATTTTATATTGTGATTTTGTTAATTCATCTTTGTTTTTGCTCTCTATTGCTTTTTATTCATCTACTATTAATTAATTTATTTCTCTTAATATAAGTTTTTCTTCTTTAGGTTTAAGAGTTTATAAAAATTATTAACAATTTTCAAAATTAATTATCAATTATAATGATAATGCAATTTCAGAATATTTTAGATTAGAAAATTATTTACATAACTTTTAAATTTGATTTTCGTAATCTATTATTTCAATTATTTTAATAGACTACTTCTCATTCCCATAAATTGTTTTAGTCAAACTAATTTTAGTATTATCATTTTATTCTAAAAAATTTGTAATTTTAATTTTAAATTCATCACTAACAGCATCATCAAGTTCTTCCATATTCCCATTATCAAATTAATTGGTACTTTCTGTATTATTATCCTGAATAACTTTTTACTATAAATGTTACTCATGATAAATTTGCTATTTATCCTCTTATTCATTATTAGATTCCCTTTTTTTATTCTTATTCTTTCGATTTCCCCTTTTATTTGTTTTCTTTTTAATTTATCCATTATCTTAGTTTATAATTTCATCATTTTATTATTAAATATAAGGTTCTTTTTCATCTTAATTCCAATAAATATATTATTAATTATAAATCATCTAGATAGAAATAAAATTTTACTCCATCTTAATCCAATTATTTTACTTGAATTGGTTACAAATAAGGACACTTTTCATCTTTATAATATCTTTCATATACATTAAATTCTTTATTCTCATTATCTTAATAATAAATTGGATCTTTAAAATCTTATATGTTTTGAACACCTCCATAATCTTCATAATAAAAATCAGGATTATTATTAAAATTTTATGATATCTAATTGGATTTTTAACAATTATAATGAGTAATATATTCATTTAAATTATTAGAATATTGATTGTAATTATCTTCTAAGGGTATTGCTCCAGAATTTTAATTACTTTAATTTTCTAAAGGATTTTGCTTAAATTGAGTTGAACCATCTTAACCTTAAAGTTGATTCAAAACTAGATCTCTATAATTTTTATCATCCTTCTAAGACTTTGATAAGTTCGGATTGTCCAAAAATTGATGAAAATCATTTTCTGCGTCTTCTTAATTAAGGATACCAGCATTTTTCTAGTCTTTTGAATCAAATCCCAAAAATACACTACAGAAATCATTTTTTTCATCATTGCTTGTTCGCTAAGTCGATGTTGATAAAATTTTGATTTTTTGTGACATATTTATATTAAAAATAATATATAAAATATATTAGATGAATTAATAGTTATAATTCATAGATATCTTTAAATATAAAGATAGATTAGGAATAATAAATTATAATAAAGATTTCTATTTTAGAAATTAATATCATCCATTATATTATAAAGGTAATTATGATATGAAATATGAAAATTTAACTCTAAATTTGATAATTTTATAATAGAAAATATTTAATATACAATTTTATTATTAAATACATTTTATTAAATATCATTTTAATTAAAAACTTTATTTTAAGAATGATAAATAAATCATATTAAATCATCTTGAACTACCATCTATCTAAGATTTCTATCTAATTAAATATCTAAAAATAATGAAGTTTATGGAAGTAAAATTATAAAATTCTTTACTATATTAAACTCCCATCTAAAGTATTTTTCAATAAGTGTTAACAATGTAAATATACTGATTAAAAGTATCACAATAAATGAAATATTTATCAACTTTTTTTATATAAATGAATATTTACAGATAATTATGAAATTAATTAATTTGTAGTATCAGTCAATTAATTTTAAAATTAATCTCTTAAATCATTTAAATCATCATAAGCTATTAATCCTATTTCTAAATCAGATTTTAAATCTATAATTTCAATTTAAAAATGATTAGTTGATTCATATTCATTAATTACATTATTTCTCACTTTATTTAATGTTTCTATCATTCCTCTACGCATAACACCATCTAATGCAGAATCACAATGTTATTAAGCACTCACTATTTTATACTAAAAATTAAATTAATTATACATCTGGTAAAAAAGTACAAATATCTTCAACCATTAAATTATAAAAATCAGTTACAAATTCATCAGATGTTATATATCCTGAAGAATCAAAGTTTTAAAATACCTCTAAAAACTTATCTATTTTGTTAATATGATCCATGAATACATTTATAAAATCACTGGCATTTTTATCTGAAAAGAAATACATTAAAGTAACTTCTGCTTAAATAGTATAACTAATTTCTCTCATTGAAAATGTTCCACTACTGGCCATACTTAAATCAGATAAAAGATTAAAAAATCTAGTAGATTCAGGATATTTTGTATAATAATTCTATGCTAATGAATTAGATATAAAACAAAACACAAAACATATCCCATATATTGTAGCAAATGAAAAAATTGAAGGCAATTATTACATCTTTTATTAAACTCCAACAAATCCTTATTAATTTTATTTGTCTCTCTAAAATGCTTAATTTTATGCAATCCTATCCTTTTTCATTTCTTCATTAATTAAAAAAACTTCCTTTACTTCAAGATCAAATTAATATTTAAATAATACATCTGAATCCTTCATTAACAAACTTGCATAACCTCTATATCTATCTATATCTCTTTATAACCAAACTATATCTAAATATGAAAACAATTCCAAAAATTCATCATATTGTTATAAGTAAAATTTATAGAACAATATACAAACTATTAGAAGTACACCTCCTATAATTACAATTGGGATTAATAATTGATACCAATTATTAGATACTAAAGTAGCCCTATTTGTAGAATAATCTAACATTTCTTCATTTAACTCCTAACATAATTATCTCAAAGGCATAAAATTTTTGAATAAATAAGTAAAGAATCCTTAGGTATAGTCAATGTTTTCATTAAATAAAAAATCAGTCTTTATAAAATTTAATGAAGCCTCTAATTCTAATTGAATTGCTTCTCTCAATCTTATAGTATATTCTATTGTTGTTGGATAATCTGCCATTTTGATTGCGACATATCTATCTTCAAAAAAAGGGTCAAGATATGGATTTTAGAGTTAGTTTTCAAAACTAGTCTTTAATTC